AAATCTTTCTCTCAGTTTATTTTCTGAGAAATCATTATCCAAAAATCATTCTCAACAATAGGAATGAATATATTTTTATTTATTGCTCATAGCTTCTTAACTTCTTTAAGGTTAGTTTTTGAAGTTTGAAAACCCTTACTTTTCTTGTTATGGTATAATCTAGAAGTTGCATGCCTAAAATTACTATAACAAGAGTAAGATGCATGAATAAAAGAATTAACATAAACTTCAACAAATTTGGCTTGTTAATTGCCTTATGTGATTTATTTTACATGTACCTTATTCTAGATTTGTCATAGAGAGATCTTTGAACTTTTAGAATCTTTCCCAAAATTAGCTATTTCCTTGACAAGGATGGCGACATTTCTGGTGAGTTTATTAGTCTTCTGATGAAACATTTCAACTTCTTTAGGTAATGAATAGTCGATCAAGACTTTAGCCTTATTGATTTCAACAATTAGACTACTATATATACTAATTGAATCAATTTAATACTTTAACTTAATTAGTATATGACTTGTTTTAATTATACATAATTTTTTGAAATTTCATTTTGAAGTTGTAAATAGCTCATGCACAATGCACGTGCGTATGCTTTTAACTTATATAAAATTATTTTTTGTCTTCATTTGAGATTGTGTTTGATATTGCATCAATAATTAAATTATGATACCAAAATAGAAAATTAATAAACTTTGAGACAAGCAATAAATAATTAAATCCTTTAATTAAATATACTAATAGGAATTTGATTTGTGATTATATATATATATGCAATAATGGGTCTTGTTCAACACTAAATAAGTATTAAAATAAACACTAAGTGAGACCTTTTTTCTTTGTCGGATTCCAATTAAAACATTCAAGGTTGTATAAAGGCTAGACCCTGCTTCAGGAAGGAAAAATTAAAAACCAATAATCTCCTTCTGATTCCATTCATATTATATTAATTGTTACTTAATATTAATATATATTTTAAGAAATTAATTTAACTAATTATTATGATAAATAATTAATTTCACTAAAATACTGTTATTAATTTTTTTAGTTATTATATAATTGATAAAAAAATATTCTTAATAAATAATAAATATTTTAAGACAAATAAATAGTATTTAAATAATGGGTTGAAAGGATTATTTAATTAACAAAACATCTAGTAAATAAACGTATAATAAATAACAGTTTTTTAATGTATATTTAAAAGTATGTGATATAAAAGAACATATATATATAATTATTAAATTTTATAACATATAATGTTCTAGTAATATTAAATATTATAATTTTTAATAAAAAAATATATTTGTTAAATTTATATTTCATAATAATGATTAAAAAATGAATGAACAAATAATTTGATGGTGGCATGGAGGATGGTTATTGCTTTGCCGTAAATAGCCGCCCCATGCGTGGGTGTGGGCATTGTGTGTCACATCTGTGGAATTTCAGGGAAGACAGCATTCACATTCACAATAATCACAGCAACAAAATCAGACTCATCCTCAACCCATAGCGTAGAAGTTAGGTCAAGTTTTTAAATCCTACTTTCACCCACTCCTCCACATTTAATTCACCTCACCATCCCACTGTTTCAAAATGTTATTTGAATATAGGTAAGTAATAGAAAATTTTATTATTAACAAAAACATTGCCAAAGAAAATAATAGTAAGATTTTAATGTTGAGAGTTAAGACAATTTTAAAAGTTTGAATATATGAGAATTCTATGCTATGTTACACTACATAATATTATTATTATTGTTACTTAAGAACTATACATATCAACATATTTTTTGGATAAAAATAAATATTAATTACCAATCAGAGGTTAGTTTAAGTGGCAAACAACTCGATATTTTTTAAATAAAGTTTTAAATTCGAGTCTTTGTATAGGTCAAAAATCTCTAGTGATAAACTCATTAATCACATTTAGGTATGCAACCGGGTTTAATTCAAATTGAATGCATTTTGACTTATCATAGTTCTCAATCATTTTGTGACACCAGATATGGCTGAACTATCTACAATGAGGGGAGTGAATGTACAGGAAAAAAGTTTAGATAAGAGAATATGTTCTTGTATCCTTTTTTTTAGAAAGCTCGACTAATGAGAAAAAGTATTTGGCTGCAGTAAAAAGAGGTTGACCCACTTTATTCGCTTGGTGAATGATCTTCGCTTCACGAGTACAACAAAAATAATCATTTTAATCTCTAATGATAAATTTATTCATCATATTTAAGTGTGTGATTTGGGTTAGATCCAGATTAAATCAGTTGAAAAAAAAATATTAATTAACAAATTGTACGTATAAACTTCTAATTTATTTGAAATTTAATAGGTATAATCAATCGATATATGACTTTATTAGACGTAGAATTATTTAATGTTTACGAAAAATATTCCCAAAATTGCATTATTCAATGTAGACATATATCCCCCTAGTACAGTATAATCCATAATAGAAGCGAAGGTTGGTTGTTATACATATATTTTCTTGTTCTGTACGTACATTAACATTTTATATTTTTTTATTAGAAATATAATATATAGACAAAAATAAGTACAGAACGATCTCGAAATGATGTTTTTTAATGGTTTTTTCTCCAAGTTGTTGTAATATGCTGTATAATATCTATCAGTCTATGTGTTCCATTCAATGTTATATAGACAGCTGTCATATGCATTATCTTGATTTGCCTGTGTGGATTAAATAGCTTACCTTAAAATTAAACCAAGAGGGTGCTGTGAATGACCAATTAAGGTGTGTTTGATTACATGTTGAGGCTACTTTAATCGATTTTAATAAAAATATAATAGATTATTATATTCACAAAAGTTGAAACACATTAAATGATGCTGATAATCTATTGTTGTTAACATAATTAATTCTGATTTTAATTCAAATAGGCCCCAATATTGAATGGAGGGAATCACATCCACTTTTTCAATAATTGTCTTACTCTATACATACTCTTTTAAATTTCATGAAATCTTTTATATGTATTAGACAAAATTTAGTTACAATTTTTTAGTAATTTTTATTAAAAATAAAAAATTTAAAAATCATGGTTAAATTTTATCTTATAAATAACATATTTTTTTAAAAATATGTTATAAAACAATATATTCTGATAATATTTTTAATTCAACTTTTAATCAATATTTTTAAAAATGTTATTTTTTAAGAGGTGTGCTAAAAATATTTCTCAACCTTTGTCTATTGAATTCGGTGACAATTTGGTAGGTGTAGTCTGGAAGCACGATGTTTCTTATTCTCACATTTAGTACGAACTAATATAATTAATGTCACAAAATGTGGGCACGCATTAAATAACATCAATGTTTTGAAAAAGAAAAATGAAAAAATATGGAAGATCCAAAGAGGAGCTACTATTAAAAAAATGTTGTGGTAATATTTCATAAAATAAATATTTTTATATTTGATTGTAAAAAGGTAAATAATAAAACCTTTCTATATTTAATAGAAGAGAATAAAAGTATATTTTAAGCATGAAAAGATTCTCAAGAATAATTATAAGCACGTAAATTAACTAGTGCAAAATTATTTTAAATTTTAATACTTTAATTCCAAATTACAGTCTTTTTCATAATATTAAATGAGTAATGAAAAAAAATAAATCTCACATAATTTTTATGATTTTTAGCGAATGTTAATTAATGAATAAAAATATATGTAAATTTTTTCTAAAAATCTATTTGTAAGAAAATAATATAGTTAAATATAAAAAATTGAATATATCAAAATGCAATATAAAAATATTATTTATTAATTATATAAATATGCATTTTTATTAAAAAGAATTGCAAGAGTTTGAAAGAGCCTGTCATAACCAAGATCTGCCACTATTTGTTTAATCAAACAGTTATTATAAAGATGATGATTCGTATTACTTTTATACTAATTGAGACACTCACATGTTGAAATACAAAAAAAGAGAAAGAAAAATAGCACTCAAAAGCATATTTATATTTTTAATTAATAATTAAAGTAACAGTAATATTATTTTTAAAAATTAATTGTAAGCATTCAATTTTTTTTTAAATATCTTAAATATCTTAAAATTAGTCTTAAGGCTTGATAATAACATTCCTAATAATAAATACACAAAAATCTGTAGATTAATTACATTGTTATTAGGATTAATACTATTGTTATTCTTCTTGTAAAATAATGTTAATAATATATTCTTTAACACATTATTTGTAATATTTTTTTTGGTTAAAATTTATTAAATATGAGACGTCCTTCTTAGTCAATGACATGGGACTGTTCAATATCTTCTTCATACGTATGGCTTACGTAAATGGGACGGTGGTGTCTTTCAAAGCTTCCATGCACACATGGCGGATTCGCAGTGCATGCATGTCACCATCTTCGTTTTCTTCCAAGTTACTCATCTACGGTGAATAGATACTAATTTTTCATATATGATCAATATTAACATTTATAAAATAGTTAAAATAAAGTTTTAAAATAGTTGTAATAATTTGGAGAGCTAGAAATAAACTAAATCTTTATTTTAGTTTTTGAAAGATTTTGAATCTAATATTTTAATTTTTAAAAAATTTAATATAGTATATTAGTCTTTAACTTTTTTCTTCGTTATTATAAGCTCTATTAACATTCACAGCATCCTTTTAAAAGTTTTTAAAGAGTTAATAAATTCTTTACAAAATTTTAAATTGATTGTTACTTAGGAGTTTTTCGTAAAGGTTAAAGAAAATAAACATCTTATTTAATAAAATAATTTTATGAAGTTATTCTTATTATTTATCAATATGAATTTACTGAAAATTTAACACATAATTCTATTAACTATTTAATTAAGGTCAATCAAAATAGAATAATTAAAATATATTATAAAATTCTAAAATGTTATTTAACATAAAAAAATCATTATTAAAATAACACTTAAACTGAAGAGAAAATAATATTTCCCTTTTGAAACAATTTGATAATAATAATGTTCTTACATCGCTTGTCATATCATTGTCAATAACATTAACTGATATAATGGCAATGGAGATTCGAGAGAGTAGTGAGAGAATTGCCAACCCCATTTAATTGAACCATACGTCCCATACGTGCCTTGATCATCTTTGCCTTTAATATATCAACTTTTATCATCAAGCTGATGAAATAATGATAGTTGAAAATGGTTGAAAATGAAACATCTTCTCTTACTTAAAAGCTTTATGTTTGATTTTTCTTCTGCCAATTGTTAATCTTTACTTAACCATATGGCATATCTTATAAATCGAGATAAAATTTTGTTGAATGCCTTATCAACAACTTAACTATAAGCTAAAATAATTTTTAACATGTATAAATGATGCTTTTACTACTTTTAACGCGTTGAGTTTAAATATTTAATTAAAAATAATACAATTTTATTACAAGTGTTTATATTTGAAAGTTGATATTAATATTTTTTATAATTTATTTAACTAATAAGCTTTATTTTGGATTTTTCAAAATTTTTATTTATTATATAATTAAGAATTTACCATACTTACCTATTTTATTAATTGCAAATTTAAATAATATGTTAATTTTATACACAATATAATAATTTAGTGAAAAACACACCAATTCAAAAATTTTCTTTAAAAAAAATAAAAGTTTCTTTACATGTTTGAGAGCTTTCATATTACGTTCTAAATAAACTTTGAGGTAAGACATATTTTTAATTATCTGTTTTTTTTTAAAGGTCGAGCTAATTTACAAAAGTTGACAAAAAAATAATAATTTATTAAAGGTAAAAACAAACGATGATAATTAGCAGACTTAGACCAACATTTTATATAGCAAAATGTAGCTAATTATATTCAGGAAAGTTTAGTGTTACCTAATTTATTTTCACCTGTATTTATGAGGGGCATGACAGTACACTCTGTTGCACTGAAGTTTTCTACCCATTAAATGCATATATATATATATATTAAAATGTAGTGTATGTCTTTAAATGGTTTATTTTGAATAATTACTTTTATTGCTATTCTACGATAATTAAGGAAAATCTCTTAATTTTTTTTAATAAGCAAGTATTTTAATTAAGGATAAATCCTAAACATGATTATTTTTAATGTTGTTTTGCATTTCATTTTCATAGGTTTCTCCAAGGATAGGCGAGAACCGTTAATATATAAACTGAAAACAACTCGTTCATTTAAAAGGCACAACAAACTGTGAACATTGTGGTCGTTGGCCGTACCATTGATCCATGACAGCATTTTATAATTGAGAATTTATGCTATAAATTATGTGTATATAATTGATTGACTATGTCAAAGAGAATCAATGACACTAGTAACATATGTATCACTTTTGGCATGTAGTAAAGTTAAACTGTCATATTTTGAAATAGCTAGCATATGTACTAGGTTACATTGGAGTAAAATTTAGAAGAGATTGATACAAATTACAATCTCCACTTTGTATAGTAAAAAGGAAATAATTTGTAAATTAAAATGTGTACCCTATTGTTTTTGTGAGTAAAGCTTGCGAGTCCTTGCATGTAGAATCAAAGCCAAAAAAGTTCCAAGGAAACAAAAGGAACCCCATATGACAAAAGTGCTTTTGTAACATTCCATCCCCATGCATTTGCCATGGTCAGGTTCATGCCCTTCCTTACGGTAAATAAGTGCAGCTGAATAGCCAAATAGAAAGGACCCAATTGGAATGTTGGCCACCACCACATTATGGTTCACTGAGAAATGCTTTGTGCCAAATAGCTCAGTGGTTGTGGAAACAGCAATGGAAGTGATTGCCCCAGTACACACTCCAATTATAGCAGTGCTTATGTAAAGGGCAAGGTTACTTTTGTTGAGAAGTAAGAAGAATGCACCTGATGTTGGAACCATCACTGCCAACATAGAAGCAGGTCTTGAAATTCTATGCTTTCCCCTGATCACAAAAATATATAGTTGTTAGAAGCTTTTAATTTTATGGCTTATTTGTCTTCTTTAATGTAGATCAACTAACACATTCATAGTCATTATATGTATTAAATGAGAAGTGTAAATGCACTTGTACTGGTTGGTGTTAGATATAGGAGGTTAGAAGAGGCATAGAAATTGTTTCCCATTACCTGTAGAAGTAGTCCATAAGAGATGGCATGAGACGGCCAAAGAACCCAAATGCTGAAGATAAAGACACCAAAGATGAAGTTCCAGAACAACCTCGGGATTCAGCTATTTGTCCTAAGTTATTAAGATATACTAAACCAATTGTTGCACCAAAAAAATAGACAAAGAAATATAACCAGAAATTTATTCTTCTTAGCATCAACTTCACTCCAATTTCTTCTATAATACCAAACTCTTCTTCAAAAGAATCTCTACTCTCTTCACCCTCTTTCACCTCATTCTCTGCCCTCTCTTCATTAGTATTCTCCTCCATAGTAAAATGGTATACTCTTAGCTTTTCTCTATTTTTATGCCATGACCCTTGTAGTTCCTTGATCTTCACTGAAAGTGGAACTATAAGAGGGATGAGAAGAGACACTAGAATACCAATAAGAATACCCAATGAGGATATTTTGCTTGTGACAAATTGCAAGCTACTCAACACAGCATATATTCCAGTGGCAATTGTTATAACAAACGTCACCGCAAACCCAACACCAGAGTACTTTGGGCTTGTGACTTCAATTTCTCTAACTAGAGGAGCTGTTACTAGGCCAACTATCACAGGTAAGAGAGAGTTCAGAAAGAGAAAGGTTTTTGCCTCCTTGTGAGGAGAAACAGCATCAACAATGTTGGTATAAATCTTTGCACTTAGCCCTTGATAACTGGTGGTTATTCCCACTGCAACTTGGCGATCAGGTAGAAAGTTTCTTATGGTGACAACATAGCAAACTGTGTTAATCCAACAAATGCTATTGCCAGCAAGAAAAGTTAGTAAGAAGACATGCCAGTATGACAAAGAGGAAATTTGGTTGGTTATGAAGAGATATTGCACACCATAACCAATTAGCCCAAGAGTTGAACCAATCATGAGGACTAGCCAAAGGGGAAGGTAAACAGAAGCAAGGCCAGAAAACCAACCAAAAAGCTTCCCTGCATCAGAGGCAAAAGCAAGGTTATTGAGCTGCATTTGGGAGATGGAAAGAAGCTGCTTTAGCTGAGAAGAATAAGCGGGGAAATTGGTGTTTGTTCCATTTATGGCTTGGAGCCAAATAATGGCCACAAGGCTTAGCCATTGAAGAGTGGTAGAAGGCATAGTATAAAGAAGCTTAGTTGAGAAAAAAACAAAACACTCAAACTACCCTTCTATGCTGATAAGATGGTATAGGATCTGAGAGCTTAAATATGTTGAGAAAAAGTTGAAATAAAGCTAAAGACCTTATAAGGTGTGAATACCAAAGTGAGAAATATGCCACATAATGGAATAACGTGGCTCTACATGTAACATGTGGTTTTGTATCATGGACTTGAACATATTACGTTTGGGAGAGGAACTATATATATATGTGTGTGTGTGTGTGTGTGTGTGTGTGTGTAAGTGGAAAAAACATTTATGGGGTAGTTAGGAATTTGAAGTGAAATTTGAACACAGAAACAGACTCATTTGGCCACAAGGAGATGGACGGAAAGTCAAATTAAATGAAGTGGTGAAACTTGCACGATGACTTAAAATTTCTGGCTGTCGGTGAAGTGCGCATCACATAGAACAATGCCACTGAATTTGTTCTTTCAGGTGAGTGAGTTTCTTCCTTTATTATACACTACAAACTATGACTATGTTTGAAGAGGGAAATGGATTCTTTCTCATTCATGATAGGTTAACATTTCCACTTTTTTATCCTTTTTATTTCATTCTATTTATATTTTATTGTTATCTATTTTTAATTTTTTATTATTTTTTCTTTTCTACGTGTCTTTTCATAATATTCATTTCACACTCTTTTATAATGAGGAGGAAGAAAAATATAATTCATAAATTAATTATAAATCTTGTCTATTTTTTTATTAAATCATAAATTAATTTTACTTTTTAAAAATATTAATTTTAGTTCATATATTTTCTAAATTATTGATTTGAATACTTTTTATTGAAATAATTTAACAAAAAATTAATACTCACAAATTTGAGTTAATCGTATAATTATTTTATTGTTATTAGAGAAAATTTTAAATTTAAAAATAAAAAATAAATTATTTTTAAAGAGATTAAAATCATAAAATTTTATAAAAATATAGAAAATAGAAATATGTTTAAGCCAAAGATTCATGCACTAACGTGAGGTTGTGCAATAGTTACGTCAATATGACGTGATTCATGACAATGATGTGTGGACCAAAATAAGGTCGCTGTTGAACCATCCACGGCATGTTCTACTTTGAAAACTTGGTTACATTTCATTGTTAATCATCAAACATATCTTTAAGTAACTCAAATACCATAAATTATATTGATTTAATCATGGACTTTATCCATGATTTTCATATATGATTTTCATACATCAACGTAATTAACCAAAGTAAAAGAACTAAATATCAGACTGAAATGTACTCTTCAAGCTACAGATTCCTTACATTTGATTTGACGTAGAAAAACGACAACTAATGGATTGTGATTTGCATTTTGCCTCTTTATCATGACTTCTGATTTGCGACATGTAGTTTCCATGAGCACCTGACAGTAGAATTATTAAGCTACGCTAAATGCAACAAATACTTAAGAAATTTAAAATAAAAAACATTTTAAAATATTATTAACGAACATTTCATAAATTATAATACATTTTATTATGATTTTTGATGTACATTTCATAAAACTAGGAACCGTCTAATTTTCAATCATTAGTTATTTGAAACTAGGAGACACAATTGTACTTGTGTTCAAACTTACTGGCAGAATTAGCAACAGGCACAAGCAACTACCAGAAACAGAAATGGACGAATTATATTTGGTGATTGTCATATTAGATGACTTATATAATAAATAAGATTATCCTCAATATAAGCAAATCTCTTAACAAACAAAATTATAACTAATTAAACAAAAAGGACGATAGTATCCTCTATTCCAATTTTCAATCATTTTAAAAAAAAAAATTGCATTTAAGCTCCAGCTATCTTTCCACAGAACATGCAAGATTCAAGTTAAGATCATGGCACCCAATGTGAGATTCACACATGACATTAATAAAAGGCAAGTTCATGCTAAATGAGGGAATAGGCCATTTAGACAGTTAAGGATTTATGGTCGTATTTGACTTGGCTCCATGGAATATAAGTCAGATTAAGGTTTTGTAAAAGGTTTATGTAATTAATAGGTCAAGTTCTTACGTTAAAAACATGGCACACAGATGAGGCTCACAAATGACGCTATTATTGGGTAATTTCATGCATATAAAGATGTTTCTGGCACCATTTCTCCATGTACTTATATTCATTCTGCCAATTAAATGTGGTAAACTGCAACCGTGCTATTATGTTATAAAAATCAGTGATCTGACCTGACTTGGCTCGCGTAAGATTCAAGTCAAGTGAAGGTTTTTTTCGTAAATTTGTTAGGAGTATATTTATAAGTTATAATTTTGATTCTCTTATATATTAAAAATGTAACTCATTAATATGCTTCTTCTAAAATGGCATAATTAAAATACTTTTTCTTAAAAACAAGTAATTAAGTAAAAGTCATAGAATTTCGTTTTAAAATGCATGTATTAGAGCATATCAAGTGACAAGTGGGAATATGAGAAGAATTAATCTTAAGCACATAATTATATTTAGATAATCAAGATTATATATGGTTGAATGATCAAAATTAGTTCCTCTCTCACTCTCACCTAATAGTTTCCATATGTGTGTGTACATGTAATGGTTTGCATTGGGGATTGTTTCAAACTTATCAGGCCTAATGCCATAATCTAATCACTTCAAGGGGAAGCCATCCACTTTAGTCGGAAAAGATGTGCCAAGTTAATCATAGTTCCTATTTTGTGGTGGAATAATGGAGGTCAATTTTCAACCCAAAAGCACTTGGCCATGAACATGACGATGACTACATATATGGCTCACGTCACGATAAAAATAATTTGGCCCATCAACAATCAATATAAATATTACTTAATGTAACATATCTCTATTTGGTAAAGAATAAAATACCATACTCTCACTATACATTCACCAAAAAATTAAAAAGGAAAAAAAATTGCCCCCACTACATTAATTAATTCAGCTAACTCCCCCCATCATATACTTGCTTGCATAAATGGTTCATTTCTTCGTGTATATTGTACATAACTGTCAGTAACATATAAAATGAAATATACACAGCCCTTATCTTTTGAGTCAACCGGTATCAATTGATGGTGTCAGCTAAGTAATGTATTGACAGAGTAAAAGATAGATACATAGATAGATATAGAGAATTACTTTATCTTTCACATAAATTAAGAAGAATGTTCATGATCTATTAACATGTTAGGTTTTCTCTTGGTGAATGATGCATGTACAATGATAATTGTAGTGAGAATTTCTGATTATTAGCATATATATATATATATACAAGTAACACATATCTTTCAACGATATTAAACAACTGCAAACTAACTTGAGTGCATTCACATTTAAATTAAAAATGTTTATTTTTTATCACCGAGAGAGATATTTTCGAGGTATATTTAAAAGAAAGTTTTTAGAAAAGAAAAGTGAAGAGAACGTACATTTTAATTTTAAATTAAAACAATTATATGTCATTTATAATAACAAATATATTATTAATACATTAAGTTTATATTAATATATTTAAAATATAATTTTTTTTCATTCTCTTCTTTCTAAAATTCCCCTTCTCAAACAATTCATTAAATGTCTCTTTCATATTTGAAGATTTATTTCTAATATGCACATATGAAAAGATAATATATAAATGCGAAGTAAAAATACTAATACGGATATAATGTCACATATAATGTTAATTTTTAGCTGTTCAAACAACAGAACAACATATATAAAAGCCAATTTGAGTGTGTTTAGTGTTTAATATCATAGCTTGATATGTACGTGAGTCCTAATTCTTTAAATCTTTTTCAGTAACATATTTAATTATAAAATTGTTTACGTGATGCTCTCTTAAGTATATAGCTCCTCAAGAAGTATCCCCTTCATGCCCTTATACTTGGCCTCCAAAACGATTTCAAAGAGAGTTCATTTGCTTTGAGGATCAAACACACAAAACGTAACTAATAAATATATACAACACCACGCCAAAAATGCTCAGGAATTGAGATTTAATCCTATACGACTTATTTTTCCATTATTGATCATCAAATGCTGAGTACATGTCTATAAGAGAGTGCAAAATCTGAGGAGCAACCTTTATTGAACTAGAGAGAATTGAGAGGGTTATTCCAGTGAAAAACCTACTGGCATCGTTGTTGAACACAACTATCTGAGTGATATATTAAGTGTCTTCACTTATTATGTTTTGGTGAATAACCCTCTCCCTAACATTGCCCTGCTTAAGAATATTATAAAAATTCATGGCATGTGTGCAGTTTAAAGCAAGGTGGTGAATGTAATAGCATAGCTGATGATAAAAAAGCTTCCTTAAATGGTGAAATCTACTGCCAACCCTAAAATAATATCATTCTGATAAACACTTTCAAGTTGAAACATAATCTTGATCGCTCGTGAAAGTATTCCTAAATTCTCAAGTTCTCCACAATTCTGATGCAATCACCAAATACTGTTACCAAAATGCCAAAAGTAATTCCTCACTTTTCACTGTGCTCTTTGATTGAATGTTCCCTAACTTTTCTTCTTCTACGTTATGCAATAGAGTTAAGCTGTTTTGATGAATAACCAGCTTCAGTTATCCTCAGTACTATTGTTTCAAGCATTTTATAAATGTCTGAAGAACATTCATGCTCTCTGTCCCCTGCAACAAAGCGATGAACTCTACCCTGCACTTCAATCAAGCTCCAACCTGCAACTTTATTGGCAATTCTTTCGACCATTAATCTGCGTATTCTAACTACATCTTCCCATTTTCTTGCTTTTGCATATATTCCAGCTAACTGTACATAATGCCCATCATGGGTTGGATCCAACTGTATCAACTTATTTCCAATCTTTTCCCCCATTTCCACAAATCCATGAATCTTACATGCATCAAGTAATATTGCCCACAGTACTGGATCCGGCGTAACTGCCATCATTTCAATCAACCCAACAGCTTCATCAATTAAACCAGCACGAGCCAGGAGATCAACCATGCACCCGTAGTGCTCCATTTCTGGCTCAATGCCATAACCTTCCACCATTAACTTAAAATAATGCCTGCCTTCACTAACCAAACCAGCCCTACCACATGCATTTAGGACACCAACAAAAGTCACGCTCACAGGACAAAAACCTTCATCTATGAACTTCTGAAACAGCGCAAGCGCTTCCTTGGGATAATCATGGGAAGCCAACCCACAAATCATGACATTCCAAGTCCATATATCCTTTTTCAACATTCCATCAAACAAGGCTCTTGCCCGTTCAATGCAACCACACTTTGCATACATGTCAACCAAAGCAGTCCCTATAGGAACAGTTATTGGAAACCTCGAAGCCTCAATGGTGGAATGAATTAACCTCCCACAGCCAAGCAAACCCAACTGAGCGGAAGCCGAAAGCACAGTAACCAATATAGCCTCATTGGGCCTGATCCCTCTCTCCCTCATAACCCTAAAACACTCCAACCCATCTTCCAAAAGCCCATTTTGAACATACCCCATTATCATTGTACTCCAAGACACAACATCCCTCTCAGGCATTTCATCAAATATCTTCTCGGCAACACGAACCTCTCCATTTCTGACCAAACCAGTCAACATGGAGTTCCACGTCACCACATCACTCCAAAGGGTGTCTTCCTCAAACACCTTTTTGGAAGAATCAACACTGGAACACTCAAAGTAAAAGTGAATCAGCGCGTTACGAACAAACACGTTGCATGCATAACCGAACTTGATCACGTGGGCATGAATCTGAACCCCTGGGTTGTTATTGTTGTTGTTGTTGGGGTTCTTGGTGCACGCGTGTAACACAAAGGTGAAGGTATGTTTGTTGGGGTTGAGAAAACGACGTCGCAGGGAGGAGTAGAGAGCGATGGAGAGAGAGGGTGATGAGTTAGCCTTAGCGTGGCAACGAATGACGGTGTTGAAGGCGAACACGGAGGGGAAAGTGATTGAGTTGAAGACAGAGATGCAGTATTCCAGTGGAAAGGGCACGAATGAGGAGAGAGAAAGTTGAGAGAGAAGGTGAACTACGAAGAACCGGTGATTGCCCGAAACGACGACGTTTCCATGGGTTTGTTTGATTTGGCGCAAGGAAGGTAGTTGGGGAAGAGAGGGGAAAAGAGGTTTGGTTTTATTGAGAAACATAAAGAAAATGAAATTGGTAACACTAATGTCGTAATGTAAAGCTTCTTAATGTTGCATTGTAATATGTTCCACTCCAACCAAATCAAAGGTTTCAATTTGTATAAGGTGAGTTGCAATAGTTCTAATGTTTATACCAACACTCATTATAACATACACTTTTAGACTCATATAAATGAGGTAAGGTGGGTAGTAAAGTATCTATTTCTGCACTTATTTTTATCAATTTTTGTAAAGAAATATTCATATCTAAGTAATTAAAACATGTTTAAAAGTGTATCAATATATAAACATAAATATACAGTTCTTGTTTCATTTATTCTTTTAAAATAGAAATCTCCATGAGTTCACTTGACTTATCAGTTAAAGCATACTTTATATCATTTAAGCTATAATTTATCTTATTCTATCACTGATATTATTATTACTAAGATAGTAATTAAATATATTATTTTACAGTAATAAAATACATAAACTAATATTTTTCTTCAAAAATTAAGATTATTTAATACTTTTTTAACTGAGCAGTGTATATAAAATCAAATGATAATTATTTTTAAAAAAGAGAAACAAAAGAATTTAATGAATTAATTTAATTAACACTGATATTTATATGATAAATAACTTCTATCATTTAGATGATGACATGAATTTGAATTTTAAGAGAATAGAATAATTCTTTTAAGTGAGAGGTACACTTTAAAAAATTAAGTATCAATATTATAATAAAACATTTTTATGTATATGATTAATTAAAAAATTAAATTTTTAATAATAATAATAATAACAATAATAGATTATATTAAAAAATTTGGGTCTGTATCACTTTAATCATGAACGGATAAACTGTGATAATATGTTAAAAAATTTAGACTTAACTTACTTCTGAAAATTAATTCATAAGAGAAATATTACACAAACTGGTGAAGAGTATTCTGAAAACTATTTTTAACCAACATGAAACATCTTAACTTGATATATATATATATATATATATATATATATATATATATATATATATATATATATATATATATTAAAGATCAAAATCTTATAAAAGAAAGAAAGAAATGCTTGTGAAAAGATAGAAAACTTATGTACCCTCTACATTGAATTAGGAATACAGTCCCCATTCATGAATGATTCAAAATGAATCGAATCCATTAAAACAAAAAATTAAGCATATCTCTTCTGCATAATTGCTTGCTTTTAAAGAAATTAATACCTGTAGAACAAAGCAGAAGAGTTTAGATACCAAGTACATGACACACTTCTTCCATATTTTGAACTGATATACTTGAAAATTACTCCTTACAGACCATGCATCTTAGCATGCATGTGCAGAAACATCATTTTTCTATGGATTTACATTTAGTTTATGCTCATTTACAAATTAAAGTATCGACCACGAGATTCAGGTGCTTTGTTCTCTTATATCTCCAACAAGTCGAATATAATCAAATAGAATTGAAATTGGATAGAAAATCACATGTCAGCATCATGCCCATACTAACTGATGTGAACTACACAAATTTAAAATTATTATCTTCCTTCTTATTCCCGACATATATATATCATACTCGACTCAAACAAACTTTTTTTTGTTATTTGGAAAATTATGATTACCTTTTACTTTATGAGTTATTTTTTTATTTTAATCTTTTTCAAAGAAATTACTCATACTTAAATATATAAAGAAGAGATCAGGGGAGCATTCAAAAATTTATAAAAATAGCTTATGACTTTTAATTATAATTTTTTTCGTATAACTTCTTAAAACAAATAATCTTTAACTTATTTTAAAAAAGTCCACAGTCAAATTTTGTAAATTTAAAAAATTATTAAATAAACAATAGTATTTCACACTCGTATATTGACACTCTGTTCATGTAAGTATTGTTCACGTCCAAGAACGTGAGATGTTGGCTTTCTGCAGTATCCAAATGCATTATAGAAATATTAGTTATATAATATAACAAAATTAATATTGATATATATATATATATATATATATATAATAATAATACTATTTTATAATTATTTTTTTATTATATCATCTATCTTCTCACTTCTCTCTATTTTCTTTTTACTCTTCCCTTAAATTATAAAATAATTTTTTTTATAAGAGCGTCATTATTCTAACAAAATCATATAAAAGTTACATATTTTAAGAAAGAGAGAGAGGAGAGACAGAGAGGAGTATGAAATAGAATGATTGTTGTAATGGAAAGAAGTAAAAAAATATTGGAGGAATTTGATGCGAATGTATCATTATTCTACACATTATAATATGAGGTGTCTCCATGAATCATGATTAAATTCAAGTATATAGAGACTTGCACCACATTCCAAATCTCACAACTAGGCTCTTGAAGTTCATTCCCATCATTTTCTATGGCATATCACAAGGCTCTTCTCAAGCTTGTCGTAAAAGAAGCTGTTCTTATCAAACCATCAAAACCCACTCCTTCCTCTATTCTTTCTCTGTCTACAATTGACAACATACCTGACCTTAATCGCCTATGCCAAACCATTCATGTATACCGATCAACAATTCATGATTTCCCAAATGGGCAACTACTACAAGACCCTACTCATGTGATCAAAGAAGCACTCTCAAAGGCTTTGCTTTATTATTACCCTCTTGCAGGTAGGTTAGTAAAGCACACTGATGGAAAACTTAGACTCAATTGTAGTGAAGATGGTGTTCCATTCTTGGAGGCAAATGCTGACTGCCACCTTTCATCTCTACATTACTTGGATGGCAGTGACATGGAATATGCAAAACATTTAGTGTTTGATCTTCCTTCTCAAGATGAAAATGGTTACCAATACCCCTTGGTGTTCAAGGTGACAAAATTTCCATGCGGTGGTTTCACAATTGGAATGGGATTGTCACATGCTGTTTGTGACGGCATTGGAGCATCTCAGTTATTCAGAGCCATCATTGAACTTGTAAGGGGAAAAAGCGAGCCTTCTGTGAAGCCTGTGTGGGAGAGAGAGAAACTAGTTGGATCAATCACCGAACAACCATTGCAAATGGATTCTGTGGATGAATCTTCAGCTGCAGTTTCACCCTTTCTACCGACTAAAGTTCTTCTGAATGAATGCATTAAGGTGGATAGTGAGAGCATTAGAAGACTCAAGATGAGTTTGATGAAGGAATGTGACAATGTTGAAAACTTCACAAGTTTTGAATCACTTGCTGCGTATGTGTGGAGATCAAGAGCTAGAGCCTTAGAATTGAGCTATGATGGGAAAATCATGCTAAATATCACAGTTGGGGTGAGAAGGCACATGATGGATCCTCCTTTGCCTAAAGGGTATTATGGGAATGCTATTGTGGATGCAGAAGTTATCTTAACAGTGAGAGAACTCAATGAAAAACCACTTTCTGAGGTTGTGAAGCTCATCAAAGAAAGCAAGAAGGTTGCTTTTAACAGTGATTATGTTAGAAACTTTATCAACACTCTAGAGACAGAACAAGAGGATTTTAACATTGAAGGAACTGGTGCATTCACAACTATGACTGATTGGAAGCACTTGGGTTTCTTGGAAAATGTAGATTTTGGATTTAAGGAACAAGTGAATACTGTACCTGCACCATGTGACATGTTTGGGTCAGTGGATTTATGCATTTTCTCACCTCTTAGTAAAGTGGATTCTTCAATGAAAGGAGGAGTGAGGATTTTTGTGTCCCTTCCTAGTGCTGCCATGATCAAGTTCAAGGAGGAGATGGAGGATCTCAGCCTTTTGAATTGAATACTTAAGAAGTGAAGTGAAATACAGTAACAAATAATGTATCAGATCTGTTAAACATTTTTTCAAGGTAATTTGTACGTTGTATGAATGTAAGATAAATGCCTTTACACACGGCATATATCTTCGAGATTAAAACTTTTATGCTGTAAATGAAAGCATACATGGATGGTTCGAATATATTTCTGTCATTCCTTTCATTTGTTATCAAATTTCTTGTCTTTTTATATATTAACGACCAATTCCCAAGTGCGACGTTTGATGAAGGCTCAATGGAGTGAAATTAGATAAATAGTCGTCGATGAAGTAAAGAGAAGATAGAGAACATAGATGACACAGAAAAGTTATACCATTGTAGTAAAATTGTTTTGTTTTTAGATAGATACTAAATAATTATATTAATAGTTTTATATTTTGTAAGATAAAAATAAAAATGAATTGGCCAATTTTAATAACTTCTACCTAAGTACTTTATTGTATAAAAAAAATTCTTAAGTTAAAATCGATTTTTATTTTTTTTAGTTCTCTCACTTAAGTAGATTCCATGGCTTTTGTGTCTTTGCACATGCAAAAGGTGTAGCATGCATACAAAAGAAACACGTTGTAGTTCGTATCTTTGTTTATGGAAAATATTTCATAGACATTCTTAGAATATAAATACTTATAGAGATAAGAAAGGGATCAATATAATAGATAGTAATAGTATTAAAATATTTAAAAATCAGAATTATATATTCAAAGACATGATAAGTGTAGCCATAAATTGTCGTTTTGCAACAAAACAGAGACATTGTTATGTACATAAAAGTCGAATCCATGGCCTCGTGCAGTGTTTATTCTGTGTTGCATGTTAGATAAGGTTATGGTCCCTGCAGGCACATGTACAGAAAGGTTTGACAAAGAAGTGATCAAAATAGGATCCACGAAGATTAATTACAAAGAAGACAATTATATTATACAACTTTGTACTTTAAATTACTAAAAATTAACATTATATATAATATATATTAAAAAAACAACATACTTTAAATATAAAAGATAACACCTAAAAATATTTCTTACCATTCCTAATACATAAAACATTTTCCAAATACTATAATAGAATATTTGAAACGGGAACGACCAAAATCCAAAACGTTCAGAGTTTTAAAGAGTTAATGAATCAAAAAGTTAAAAATTACAATGTACTTGTATTGGAAATTATGAGATATATTAAAATATTTTTATTTTTATAATTATAGAAGAGTTAGTTTTTCCATACTTTAAATTTATATGTGTACGTGTGTGTGAGGTCTATTTTTTCTAGTTCTAAATTGATAACTTTAACCTTAACTTATTATATAACAATAATTTATTTGTTTTTTTAATTGTTTAAGAATATATAATAAAATTTTAATACATTTTTTATTAAAAATTATAGTATTTAATATTTTTAATGCATTGGCTCTTATACATAGGTTTTTATTAAATACTTTTAGAAACATATTAGGAAGGTTGTTATTTATTTATCATGTAAAAAGAAAAATAAATTAGAAGAAGAGAGACTTTAATCTCCTCAATTTTACTGCCCTTCTTTCTAAATTTTTAAACTAAATACGATAAAATTAATAAAAATTTTCCATATAAAATTCCTAAAACATACCTATGGTAATTATCACATGAATAGTTTTAAAATATTAAAAAAATTAATTATTTTAGTCGTTAAAACTATAAGCACAATTTAATTTAATCTTTAAAATTATGAAATAAAACTTTAATGAATAATTTTAGAGACTAGAATAATTAATTTTATAATTTTAAAGATTAAAATGATTATTTTTATAAATAGAAAAATATTACTTTTATAATTTTAGAGATTAAAATGATTGAATTCTAATAGTTTTTATATTATTTTTTTTTATAAATTCAAAGACTAAACTCACATGCCAATAATTTTAGAAATTAAAATGATGTATTATTTTATTAATATGTAATTATTAAAAAGTATGAATTAAAAAAATACATAACACACTAGGTTAGATTGAGACAAACCAAAGTCTAATTCAAATTTATTTTTAAAACACACCAAATTTAAATTTTTAAAACTCAATCCATCAAAATTAATTTTGAGCCAAATTAAGTAAATGAAACGGAAAGAATCATAAATTTCCCTAATAAGAACGCATGTGTTGCTGATCTCCACCTCTTCTGATAATTGATGCAGAAATCATAAGAAAACACAGCTACAAAGTGATAGCTCCTTCTGCTATTTTTATTTCTTTATTTCTTTATTTCTTTATTTTTAGAAAAAATTACAAAAAAGTATGGAAACTTTTCAAATTAAAAATTTTTAGTGACATTTTTTTATACTTTTTAAAAAATTATTATTATTATTATTGTTTTACAAATCGTCATAGTTTGACCTTTTACAATCCTCTAATATTTTTCAAAAAATTGTGCCATTTTTGAAACTTCATAATTTTTGGTTGCTCTGTTAATATTTACACAAAAAATTAATAATAATAATTTTTTTCAAAAATATCATATTTTATTATATATAATTTTTAAATTTCATACATATATAAAAAAAAAAAACCCTCCCCGCTTCTTCACATGCCTTCACAGAGAAATAATGAAGAGTATATAGTATTGTACCTACAACTTCCAAATCATACCATGCTGTATGGATCCTATGGGCTTGAGCCTTTTCTTTTCTTTTTTTTTCTTTTTCCTGTATTGCATTGTTAGGCTTTAATGTTCGGGCTCTTTAGTGCAAGCCATGTTGACCCAAAACAATATACCATGTGCCTATACATTTTTTCAAATAATTAAAAGATGAATTATTTGAATAAGAGAGAAAAAATAAAAAATAAAAATACAGATAATCACATTTAAAATAAAAAAATAATTTTAAAAAAATTTATCAACAATTTTTTATCATTGTTTTTATAATAAATCAATAAATTATAACAATAAAATAAATATTTAATAAAATAAAATACAAATTTTAAAAAAATTACAACTTGAGCAGTTATAACACTAAGAACACTCTATACAAATTAATTTTACTGCAAAAAAAAATTAATTCATAAAGGTTTTTTATGTGTGTTAATCTAAGCTACAAATTGTTGTATTGCATATATAAGATGCAAATTTTATTTTATTTTAAAATAAATACTGCATTTGAAAGGGATGAAACTTGCAAATGAATTGGCAAAATTACCTTTAATAACGAAATAGTTTTTTGTATTATTTTAACAAATTATTATTTTTTATTTTTTTTCAAAAGACCAACATAAGATCAATGATACCCACTGACAGCTCAATAGATTAGCCAACCCATGATACTGCATTCCTTATACACACTGGGATACTCCTCGCAGCTCGCATATTCCTTTAAGCTTCAAACGACACAGAATAGCAATTAGCAAAGGATGAGGACACAGCAACTTTGGAAGCAGTCGATGTGGGACAAAACATGGTGGTGGAAGCGGCATTTGTTCTCCACCACAGCCAAAAGCAATGAAAATGGTGTCCATTTGCTTCCTCAAATGCCAAACTTCACTCACACTCCATACCCATACACAGGACCTTCAGCCTCTGATCTCTTGAAGAGGAGAAAACAATATCTCCCATCATCTGCTGGCCCCTTATACACCCACCCAGTAAGCCTTTTTGCTCCGAACACTTTGTTCTGTTTGATATGAAGTGCTTTTGCATAAAAGTTTGTTCCTTTTTTTTGTTGTGGCAGTTAAATCTGGTGGAGGGTAAAATGCAATATGTTTTTGATGAAAATGGTCGAAGATACCTTGATGCTTTTGGTGGCATTGCCACAGTTTCATGTGGGCATTGCCACCCTGATGTGGTTGAAGCAACCGTTAAGCAAATTAGGCTCCTGCAGCATACCACTGTCCTCTATTTGAACCATGCTGTTGTTGATTTTGCTGAGGCTCCTGCTAAGAAGTTTCCCGGGGAACTCAAGGTTTTCTTTTCTTTCTCTTTCTTTCGTTTTTTTTTTTTTTTTTTTTTGTCTTTTAATTTCTTTTTTGGGTTTAGTAGAACAACATACCACTGTCCCCTATATTAGTTCACTTTTAGTTAAGGGTTTTTTGAACGTGTGAGAAAGTAGATACAGTAGTGAGTTTTTATTAAACTTATGTAATATAAAGGATTTAATACATTGATAACATTAAATATAATAGTATTATAATAAAAACATTTTATTTATTGACTTTTTTATGTGTCTTTGGACACATTAGGAAAACCGTTTAGTTATTTTACTTCCTAATTTTTTAACAATAATGCTTATTTCACAACCTAAATAGTATAGAGATGTGAAATAGGTAGAAAGAAGAATGGGATAGAAACAGAAGAAAAAAATAACAGATTTAATAAATAACATGATAGAAAGGAAAGAAAGAAAAAATAGTGAAATGAGATAGAAATAAATGTTAGAAAAAATGAGCGTGAAAAAAAATAAATCAAGTTTTTATTCAATTAAACGTGTGTTTGGAAAGTTCAAATATTACATTAAATAACATTTTAACGTAAAAGTTATAATTTGTATCGTTGAAATGAGTCCACGTTTACACTATGTTGCTTAAAAGATTTTCATTTTTTTTTTAAGCTGTTTTCTCCACAAATTCTGGCACTGAAGCCAATGAACTGGCTATGATGATTGCCCGGCTGTACACTGGCTACCATGATATAATTTCCATAAGAAATGGCTACCATGGCAATGCAACCTCAACAATGAGTGCCACTGCTCAATTTTTTCACAAGTTTAATGTTGTACAGGTGCCATTTTTGCTTCAGAATGATGGTTTTCTCTTTAGAACCAGTGCTGGTTTGATTATATCATAGCATCAATTAAAGCTATATATACTTGTCACTGTGTCTATGCCAGTAGACTGGAGTTCACCATGTCCTTAATCCCGACCCCTATAGAGGTGTCTTCGGTTCAGATGGAGTGAAATATGCAAATGATGTCCAAGATGTAATTGATTATGGAACTTGTGGTCATGTAGCTGGGTTCATTGCTGAGCCTATTCAGGTAATAGTAATGCTATCATTGATCAGTAAAACATTAAAAAAAACATAATAATGGTACTTTGTCTCTCACAATGGGATGCATTTTACTAAGTGAAAGTGGTTCATACTTATACATGGCAGGGAGTGGGTGGAGTTATAGAATTGGCTCCAGGTTACTTGCCTGCAGTTTATAACATCATTAAAAAAGCTGGAGGTCTCTTTATAGCTGATGAGGTTCAGGCAGGGTTTGGTCGAACTGGCACTCACTTCTGGGGCTTTGAGGCTCATGGAATTACCCCTGATATTGTAACATTGGCAAAGGTAACACTTCCGTAGTCGTAAGTGGCATTGGTGATTTGTTTTAAAGTGCCCTTACTGGGAATTCAATGAAAGTTGTATTAATGATTTGGCAGGGCACACAACATTGATGCATATCATGAAGGGTACCATTTTCCTAGACTATATGTACATAGTGAATATAAGACATGTATCCACTAGCACGAAGGAAATATACTATATAGTTCAAATAGTCAAGTGGTATTATGAATCCTGATGGGTATATATGGATCAATTTGCTGCTGTATATAGATAATTTTTAATTTGATACGGGGATAGAGGAAATCTTGAATTTTTTAGCTGAGTTCAAGTGGAAATTATGGCTGAAGGTTTGCATTTTCCACTACTTTTTTTGTCTAACATTGCTTATTACATATGATTGTAATACTACAATGATCCCGCTTTTTGATTCAGTGAAAAATTGTTAAGCCATTCTTGAATTACATAACGTAGAAAGCAGTGGTAGTGTATGTGAATCATTGAACTGATTCGAGTAGATGTTTGAAACTCCACCAATACTGTTTGGAGATTATGCAAATTACCAAGCGTTAATTTGAAATACTGACAAATCATGCACCTGCAAAGCTTGATCACTTTATTACATCTCTGGGCATTTTATGCTTCACTATTCATGTCTTCTCAGGGAATTGGTAATGGTGCACCAATTGGTGCAGTGGTTACAACTCCTGAGATTGCAAAGGTCTTGACTTACCGTTACTATTTTAGCACATTTGGAGGAAACCTTGTTAGTACTGCTGCTGGATTAGCTGTGTTGAACGTAATTGAGAAGGAAAAACTTCAGCAAAATGCATTTGTTGTTGGATCATATTTAAAAGGGCGTCTTAGTTTGCTAAAGGAAAAGCATGAGTGTATGTTTCTTTTCTCTTTAAGTTTTTGTTTTGTTGCCTAAGGATGAAGAATTGTGGCGCTGAGCAGAGATATTTGTAATTGTATTATGATGACTGACACATTCTTATCTGCCAGTAATTGGTGATGTGAGGGGAAGAGGACTATTGCTTGGAGTTGAACTTGTGAAAGATCGTCATTTGAAAACTCCTGCAAAAGATGAAATGCTGCAGATTTTTGAACACATGAAAGGTTTATGTTAGATTTCTAAATGGTTCAAACATTGTGTGTGATACACAAAATTAGTATGTCATAGATCTATTTGAAAGAACTTATGATTTGTATACTGTTTTCAGCTTATTTAAGTAAATTTTCTCATTAAATTTATGACATAGTCATCGTTTAAAAATAATTTATTGAATAAATATTTAAACAAGTTGTTATTCAAATACATCTTGTACATGATTTGTATATCTAGCACAAACATTGTGGCGCATAAATGTTTTTATTTTATTGAACTTTGCTATTGTTTTTCAGATATGGGAGTGTTGATTGGGAAAGGTGGCTTTCATGGAAATGTTTTAAGGATCACACCTCCACTTTGCTTTACTAAGGAAGATGCAGGTTGATTGTTATTATCCTCATTATCATTACTTTTTTCTTTCTCTTTTTAGTACTCTTTTTTTTCCCCTTTGCTAATTCAGGCTATTTTCTCAATTATTGTAGATTTTCTTGTGGACGTAATGGACTACACAATGTCAAAGATGTGAAGCCTATTCAGTAATCTTGGATGAATAATATCTTCTAACTCTGATTCCATCCATGCTTATAGATTTTATGTTGAACTTGGAATAAAACTTTGAATAAACATGTTCTATCTCTGATTTCCCTTTATTCCCATGTCAGATGTGAGGTGTCTTTCATTTTTCATTTTTTTAACATAATGTTATTTGATTTGATTATAAATTTATTCTAACCTCATAACAATATACAGGTATACATAAAAATAAATAGCCACATTTACCAAATACTTTATGACAGAATCTGTTTAATAAACAATATAAAGATTGTGCTGGAAATTTGACAGAAAGAGTTGGAATTCCGAAGTCAGAAAATCGAAATACTGCTATGCTTTTGTTGATCTGAGTAGCACAATATTGTCACAAAATGACATTTCAATTATGATTCAAATGCAAAGTAACACAAGCACATCCACCTTTAATACCTTGACAATTAGTTCCATATGATTTTAATTTTAATGCTGAAAACTTTTAAGCTTTCCTTACATATTAAAATAACTTTATAATTCTAATTGTGATAATTATGGTGTTTAAATATTTAATAAGTAGCTCATAAATTTATGTCATTTTAATTTTGTCCACCCATTCAAGAATGTTAAAAAGAAGATATTCATCGAATAAATGTATTTTTTTATTATTATTCACTATAATGGGCTCTTAATCATGTGTTGAAAATGACTATCCATTTAAAAATGAAAATAAAAAACTAAAAAGTTAATTTTCACAAATGAAAAGTTAGTATAAAAGAGTGGCCCTCCATTTTTAACAGGATTCACCTAAGATTTATTAAATGATAAAAAAAATATTTAAAAAAGTCTACAATTTCTATCCTCATAATATTGCAATTTTTACATTCCATCTCTTTTAGTAGTTATTTTTCACAACACTTTTTTTCTACAAAAACATGTCTAAAAGACAAAAAAAAAAAAAAAATAATAATAATCCTATTGGCGACTTTGACCTTCAAACTAGACAATATAAACTAGGGACTAAAAAGTATTAAAGAAATAAATAAAATAATTAAATTAAAATCTTACAAAATGTAAAAATGTAAAATATATTTATTTTTGAATTTTATTTGATAAAATATTTGGATGTAAAATTTGATAGTAGAACTTGCTTATCTTTTAAACACATTTTTAACTAAATAATTATGATTAATTATGTTAAATTAAAGTGTATTATATATTTTTTTTAATATAAATGACATGGAGATTATAAATGGAAAAACTTTTTATCCTTTAATTCATGTGTTCAGTAATAAAGTGTATTATGTTTAATATAAGTTATGAAAGTGAAAATATAATTAAAGTAATATTTAAGGAGATAAAATGCTTTTTTTTTTGTCCCAACCGTTTTTTTAATAAATCCGGTTATGTATAAATTTTTTTCTTAAGAAAAAAAAAAGGGAATTGTGCAAAACGAGTCGTTTTGTTTGTTCAGTTCTGTAACTTCTGTTACCCTAACGGATACACTTGTATGGCGCGTTGTTCCTGAACTTGTGGAGGCTGCACTGCACTGTGGTGAATATTTGTGATTTTTGTTATTATTATTTTCTTAATCTCGAATTTGATTTAATGTTCGTGCTTTGAATTTGATATATAAGATCCTCTTCAAAAAAGGTGTGATAATTATTGTTGCACGATGCACGCTATCTATTTCAATAAATTTTCCAAGTTGTAAAATGGTGACTGAGGCTTAGACTTTGTTGCATGTTGTTTGGTAATCCTAACAATGCACACACTATGTTTGATGGAAAGCTTGAATGGTTCTGTGTTGGACTGAGTCGCATAGCATCTAATTTGTTTGTGTTCATTTTGATTGTTTATTAATCATTGTTATTAAACATAACTCCTCTCACAGCATGGATTTCTGCTTTCTCTTATCATCCGAGTATGCTAGAATTTTGCTGCTAATAGTATATAGAAGTTCGAGTGAAACCATTTTGTTGCTAATAATTATGTAGAATGAGAGTAGAGAGCGTTAAACTCTAACCACTCATGGGAGAGGCGGTTGCTTCCTAAACCCTAAACCTCCAAGATTAAGTACGTGTCTGAAATACAAAAAAATCACCTTATGAAGTGGTTTGAAACCAGTTTTATAATTAGATTTTGGTTTAAAAAAAAAACTTTTAAGCCGGAAAAGTATATTGGTTTTAAATTCAAACCTTATAATTGGTTTATAAATGGATTTTGTTTTATGCCAAACCTATTTGTGCACATCCCCAATTCTTACTAGAGCTAGGCAACTAGCAACCAGTTTTTTCCTTTTCCATAGTATAATCCTTTTTTTTTTTTTGGGGGCAGATAACTGTTGCTGAAAAGTGTTAAATACAAGGAATTTCGCTGCCTAAAACCTTTAATTCTATGGAGACCGAAGTTGACTCAAAAGATAGCTCTCTCATTCTGCTCAAACAAGGAGCTGAAGCTGTAAGTGTAATCATTCCCTGGATTTGTAGAAGCAATTAACACCTGCGCTTTAAGTAAAGTTTCTATCTTGTTTTATTGGTATGCCCTGCCCACGTTGTAAGTGCAATCTCTCCATGGGTTTTTGGGAGCAATTGATTTCTTCTGTGTAAATTTTCAATCTTTTCTTGTTTACTTGTTCTACCCACCTTGTTGGATGATTCTCATCGATGGAATCGCATTGACTGTGCCTGGTTATCTTGTTTTGCAAATCTTTATGTCCTTTTTATGTTTCTTATTGTAGAGGGTTTTTGAGTCATCTTTTGTGGGAAGGAGGTCTGTTGTCAAGGAACGCTTCTCAAAGAAGTACAGGCATCCAACTTTGGATTCTAAATTGACAGTCAAGCGTTTAAATGCGGTCAGATTTAGAAATTTTTTATCTTTTTATTCCTGCTCAAGTGCTGTGTATTTAGCAGTGTGTTGTTGCATTTCTTCAATGCTTTGTTTCACCAATCGGTTTTGGAGCAGGAGGCCAGGTGCATGACCAAAGCAAGGCGACTTGGGGTTTATACTCCAGTGCTGTATGCTGTGGATCCTGTCTTGCACACTTTAACTTTTGAATATGTTGAGGGCCCTTCTGTCAAAGATGTTTTGCTTGAATTCGGGTCACATGGTGTTGATAAAGACCAGCTGAACAATATTGCATCCCAAATTGGTGATGCTATTGGAAAGTTACATGATGGTGGCCTTATTCATGGTGATTTAACGACATCAAACATGTTACTGAAGAATGATACCAATCAGTTGGTGAGTTCATTCATGTCCTCTTGGTTCATGCAATGTCCATTCAGGTTAAGCAATATGAGAGATATTATCAACATGTTTTTCAGAAGTAAAGTGTCTTTTGTGTAGGTTCTTATTGATTTTGGTTTGAGCTTCACATCAACTCTACCAGAAGATAAAGCTGTTGATTTGTATGTTCTGGAAAGAGCCCTTCTGTCAATGCATTCTTCATGTGGGAATGTGGTAAGCCAACTTTTCATTTGCCCCCTTAGTCCTAAACCATTATGCCATAGAATATTAAGGATGTGAAAACAGCCAACTTTTCCTTATATCACTAATGAACTTATCAATCACCCTTTTTCCTTTATACCAAAGAGGTCTGAGTTCACTTTCTAATGAGGGTGACTGAAGCCTTATTATTCTATGCGATACTTTCTGGTTAGACAAACAGAAGTTATGAACAAGTAATCAATTGACTGACATGTTTCAATATTGAATTTTGTCTGGACAGATGGATCAGATACTTGCTGCATACCGCAAGTCATCAAAGCAGTGGTCATCCACATTGAACAAGCTGGCGCAAGGTGCTACCTCCCTCTTGTGCATGTTTAAATTTAACACTTTTTCAAGAACTAGTATACTCACTTCCATACATTTTCACTACTTGTAGTGCGACAAAGAGGACGAAAGAGGACCATGGTTGGATGATTCTTTCTTGAATTTCTCTTCATTGTTGAAGTATAAGAAAGAGATGACAACTAATGAATGTATTAGTGTAATTTATTTTTGCCTTCTCTCTCTCTCTCTCTGCTTGCATATTTGTAATAGTCACATTTCTTCCAGTTTGAAAAAATGCAATTGACTTTTGAACTTTTGTTTGACATCTATTCCTACTCTGGGTGTAACACTGCAATTAACAACCAAAATTGTTTCGAAGTCATTTGACTTCTTATTTTGATAGGTCAAAGGCTGTGCTTGTTAGTTGTTATGAAATAGAAAAATAATCAATATGAAAGTGTACGGGGTGAATCATCAATAATCAATAATGATATGAAATAGATAAATACATTCAGGAGTCAAATGCAGCACTTCATTTATTTTTTTTCTGAAATTTACTCTAAGAACATCCAAAACCCTAAAAAATGCAAGAAACTCAATAGATGTCCAGTAGCCGAACTAATTTGGAGAAGAAAAGACTCAATGGCCACTATTTCAAGAAACATTCCAAAATTCAGGTAAAGAATATTAAGCCTAATAAAGGTGTGTTTGCAGTTCAGTTTGATCGATTTTAAGTTAAAATATTTTAATTTAATTGTTATAAAAACTTAAATTTTATTTAGATCAGTTTAAACAATATTGATTCAAATTAATTAAATCAATTTTTTTTTGTGATTTGAATTAAATCAATTATTTCAGCTTTTACCTTATTTTATTAAAAAACAAATTAGATTTCTTTAATTAGAATATAGAGTTTTAAACTAGTACAAAAATTCTATTAGTGGCTAGTTTTTCATTTAAAAATGAAATTTATTATATAAACATCAAATAAAAGTAAATGTGAAAAAACCATTTTAAAAATAAAAAGTATCATAAATCACAGCTTGGTTTAAATTATAAATTACTTAGCTGGGTGTGGTGGTGGTCTCATGGAATAGGCTCCATATCTCATGTATCTACTCAATTTAACCCTTTTAAAGTGAGTAAATATATTAAGTAAAAAAATAAGATTTATGTATATTAATTTAAAGTTAGTCAAGACTTGATATTTCTATCAAAATTAACAATATATATATATATATATATATATATATATATATATATATATATATATCTTTATTTTTTAATGAAATACACTCATTTTATTTTCTATTTCCGCGTAGAGCTTAAAACACTGATTGACAATGACAAGCACTTCCGATCCACTCCTTTGCACGCGAAGCATGTCTCCATTTATTTGTGATTTACCTTTTTGCAAATACCATTTTATGCTAATATTTTCTAACTCCTCGTCACAAATATGAATTTGGAAAGCATAATGCGAACAAAATTTATCGACGATACATAATTCAATTGGACGCTACAGCAAAATCATATTCAATTTATCCATTAACGATGATAAAAACAGGTGGTTTTTTTTTTAAGTGTGACGTATTGAAATTTTTTTTTATTAAAATAAAAATATTTTTTATTTTAAAATCATAAAATAAATTTAATACAATATGTCACATGGTTTGCTTGCATTAGAATTATTCATCAAGTAGCAATGAAGGAATGCTAATAATATATATATATTTAAAACATTTTTAATTATTGTTTAAAATTTATTGAAAATTATCTAAAAATATATAAAAAATATTAATTTAAGAGTAAAAAAAAAAATGAAACTAACATAACTTTTTGTGATGTTTAGTAAATTTTAGTCAAAAGCTTGTATTTTCAAAAAAGTGTGAGACTGAGAAGGTGTCTTGGTGGCATTCGTCAAAAGCAGTGATATGTATCTCAAAAAAGTAAACTATTATTGTTCCATAGTGCATCCAGCATGCATATTCTTGGTACACTATCATCCTTCTCCGAGAAACCCTTTGAGAATATGAATGCAAGTGTCAACTTACAAATTTCCCTAGGATTTCTGGGTGTGAAACCTGGACCAATAATTTTATTAGTGCGATCCAGGAATTATCTGCTCATAGTCATGTATCTTTGATCTCCACTCACAATGGTGCATGTGCCTTTAAAGTTCTCCACAACAGAAAACATATATTTACTTGCTTCTAGTGCTGTCCTTGAGCGTCCCCAGCATTCACTAAGCAGTTCTGACATTTATCCAACAAATATGTGTCTAGTTAACAATAGATATTGATGATGATAATGATTAAACCATTTGTTTTCGAGTTTCACGTAGGCTAAATTATGTATTTGTTTTACTCAAGTGAAAATGATACTTACAACCGCACGTAACCTTGCATTTTGTAGATCTTATTTTATAGGTAAGTTCCAAGTAATGTTAATTAGTTTTAACAAATCAAAATCTTACAAATTTGCATATTCGAAAGAGCACCAAAGTAAGTAAAATGATTGTAAGCTAGTACATTTTCAAATCTCGCTTCCCTCCTATTCTAGGTGCCACTTTCCCATTCCATGTGTTATTGTCAACTTGTTCAACCAATGCCACTTCTTAAGTTGGGATTGTGATGATTCCAATTGAACAATGGATGGATAAGACCAAAGGAGAGTAACGTGATCAGTTCTATATATAGATATGAAGCAGAAACAAATCCATCATCCATCTCATCTCACAAAATACATATTCTCATATTGCCAGTTTGCCACCTCTTTGTTATCAACACAATTTTAATTCCATGGCAAAACCTAAAGAAGCCCCTTTCCCTTGATATGAAGAATGTTGTGATCATTAAACCTTCCAAGCCTACTCCATCTAATATTCTTCCTCTATCCACCATTGACAGTGATCCTGTTCTCAACATTCTTTGTCAAACTATTTATGTTTACCAAGCAAATATTGATTCCTCTAAGGGCCAAGTAGATCCTGCATGTGTGATAAAAGAAGCCATTTCAAAGGCTTTGGTTTACTATTATCCTCTTGCTGGGAAGATAATAACATTTGATGATGGAAAACTTGGAATCAATTGCAATGCTGATGGAGTTCCATTCTTGGAGGCAAATGCTAATTGTGAACTCTCTTCTCTTCACTATCTTGAAGGGATTGATGTTCCAACAGCACACAAATTGGTGTTTGATAACCCTTCTCATGATGAAACTAGTCACCATCCCTTGGTTTTGAAGGTGACTAAGTTTCTTTGTGGGGGTTTCACTATTGGAATGGGCTTGTCACATGTTGTTTGTGATGGGTTTGGTGCCTCTCAAATTTTTAGAGCCTTGGTTGAACTTGCAAGTGGAAAAAGTGAGCCCTCAGTGAAACCTGTGTGGGAAAGGGAGAGACTAATGGGGACACTTCTTAAGGAACCACTCCAATTTCCCGTAGATGAGACTTCAATGGCAATTTCACCATTTTGGCCAACTAAGGAGATTTCACATGAATGCTTTAGCATAAATGGTAAGAGCATACAAAGACTCAAAATGAAACTGATGAAGGAGAGTGACAATGTGAAGGAAAGCTTCACAACTCTTGAAACACTTGGTGCCTATGTTTGGAGGTCAAAGGCTAAAGCTTTGGAATTGAACACTGATGGAAAAACTTTGTTGAGTTTAGCAGTAGGGGTGAGACATCTATTGGATCCACCTTTGCCTGAAGGGTATTATGGTAATGCTTTTGTTGGTGCAAATATGGTGCTAACAATGAAAGAACTTAATGAAAGGCCACTCTCAGAGGTAGTGAAGCTCATCAAGGAGAGCAAAAAGCTTTCTTTTAACAATGAATACATAAAGAACTCAATCAACATGTTGGAGACAATGAGAAAAACGAACATTAAGATTGAAGGAACAGGTGTGTCTATGGTATTAACTGATTGGAGGCAACTTGGTTTGTTGGAAGAAGTGGATTTTGGATGGAAGGCTTCAGTGAATATAGTTCCAGTGCCATGGAACATGTTTGGCTATGTGGACTTGTGTCTTTTCTTGCCTCCTAGTAACTTGGATCCCTCAATGAAGGGAGGAGTTAGGGTCTTTGTATCCCTCCCTAAAGCTTCTATGCCTAAGTTCAGGGAGGAGATGGAGGCCCTTAGGCTTATGAGATTTGATGAAGGTAGCACCTAATTAGGAGAACAAATTAGATTAAAAATATATCAAATTTGTTTCTTGTTTTTTGAATAAGACCTTTTCTATCTTTATCCTTGAACTTTTGTTCTTGGGCTAAGCTTATTATTCATTTCTTTTCAAAGTTAAATGAGCATGCTACTTGCAATATTTCTACATTTTTTTACCAAAAAGTTTTCTGTGTAATGGAAAGAGTGAACTGTTAAAATGATCCTCTAAAATTATGGTGATATTACTTTAGTACTTTACATGATTAGTTTTCACTGAATAAATCTCTGAAAAATATAAAATGTCACCACGTTCTTGGTGAGGAGTGGAATGACATCCCAAAAATAAATTCAGTAACTATGCTGTATCTTTAGAAACTAATTTAGGGACAATAATCTTTAGAAAAAATAATATAGACACAGCTTAATATTCAGATAACCAATTCAAAGCTTTACACTTCTATATAAACTGAAAATTGATCGTCACAGTTGCACTTAGATTCTATCCTTTTCATCACGTTCTATATTTGTTCTTTCATTTCTCGATTTTATAGCAACTAATAAAGAAAATAGTTAAAGACATGTTCAAATATATTTTTAATTTCTATAATTTTTTCTTGATTTTAGTTATTTTAAAAATTTAATATTTGGTCTTGATAATTTTCAAATATATTTTTAGTCTCTAATTTTTTTTAGTATATTTTAAAAGTTAAATTTGTGGTCCAAATACTTTTATTTTATTTAGGTTTCAAAATGACCAAATCAACTGTAGCAGAGTCAGTTGAGTTGATATATGAGTTTATTTAACTTTAATTACTATGATTAGTATAAAGTAACAATTGTATTTCATTTACAAGTTTGTGTCGACATTTTTATCAACGTCTTTTGCTTTTGAAATTGTTCAATGAAAGTTTTGTGCTTGTGTAATATTATTACAAATGATATTTGTCCATGCTTCAAATTTGAGTTTTGAAACCTATGTTTAGACAAAGTATAGAAACTTTTCAACCCTTATTTTCAATAATGATCGCAAATGAAAAAGATAATTGAAGCTCAAATTTGCAACTTAAATATTAAACTTTAACGTGGAGTCGCAAATTATAGTCATCCTAAATATCTTACAGTAACTTTCCAGAAACAAAAAAGAGCTAACCGCTCATTAAATCGATTTTGTTAAGCATTATTAAGAATTTAAAAGTAAAAACAAATTATTAAAAAGTACAACATTTTTTATTATTGATACATTTTATCATTATTTTTAATTAAAAATATTTATAAATTTCTTCATCAGTGCACTAAGGAAAATAATTAGCAAAACCATAATTTTGTTGAAGAGAGAAAAATAATAGTTAAAACAAAACTCAAGAAAATTATAACTGGTTCTGAAACTATAAGATGCAAGTTAATATAATATACATCGTAGTACAGTGCCTTTGAGAACAATTCTTAATGCTAATGAAACAAATTAAAATCGATCAAGAAAATTCCAATCAACCGGTACAGTATTCCTATACTGAATTGACCAAGAAAATAGGAAACAAACATTATTATCAGTGACAACCAGAATACATCACACACTGGTGAAAAATAATGCATCTGTTGTCTGTCACCGCATGAAAGGAACTAACCCCCTCATCTCGGTTCCATTTCCATTACAGAGGAAGTAAATTTTCTTCCAATTTTCTTCGGAGAATACTTCACGATTAATAAGCCTTTGCCTGTCAAAAATGAAAACATGACCACTTCAAGATTCTCAAACAGTCAAACACAGTTGCCAAGCTATGGAATCTGTTTTCTTCAAGTATCAACCAAAACAGGTAAAGGGTAATACTATTTCAAAAGATACGATGTAGATTATTGCTCCAACAATAACCAGTAGAAGCTAGATTTTCGTTAACATAATCAGAATAGAAGATTTGTAACCAAGACATGATTGACAATAACATTATTTTAGACTGAATATTTTAAGCTTAAATATGTTTTTAGTTCCTCAAATTATACCACAATGTGACTTTCGTCCCTACAAAATATTATTTTTTGTTTTAATCCCTATATTTTTAAAAATTGTTGTATCGTGGTCCTTCTCAATGTTCTCATAATCCAACTAGACAAAAAAGTGACATGTGGCATAAAAATTGACACATGATAATATCATTTAACAGTTACTGGGGACCAAAACCAAATATTTTAAACTGTAAAACCAAACCAAAAAAAAATGTAGAAAATAAAGATGCGATATATTTTGAGGGACCGAAAATATATTTAACTCGGTATGTTATTAACAAATGATGCCCTTTCTATCTACTGCTATTCAGTAAATATTGTTACCATGATGTAATAAGCTTTGTTATTAAGCTGGCTAACCTAAAAACCGTGTAAGCATACCTTAAATAGTAGTGACAAACAGTCTCGGCTTCCTCTAAAGTATATCGAGGAAACATAACACGGGCATCAACGGGAACATCTGGTAAGTCTTTTCGAAGCTTTCCTACTGCTGTTGAATGAGAAAAAGCCCCTACCATCATATCATCATGCATCATTGATCTAAAAGCCTTCACCTGCAATAGTGTGATGGAAACATCTAATCATTTGCACAAAAGCCTAAATGCCGACCCAAGTAATATTTAGGAAGACTAATACAAATGATAGAAATTAAAGCTCTCTTCCATCCCATTATTAATGGATGATCCACATTTCCAAAGAAAAAAACTTACAGCAACAAGATAGAACGCTCCAGAAGCAGAAATATGATCCATAATGCAATATAATGCCAACATTGTTCTAAAATAAAAAGAAGCAATGTACCAACCATTGTAAGTTCTCTAGCATGTATTGGCCGACAAGAACGAATTGTGACTGGCTCCTCGTACTCACTGAATGTAAACCAGTTATTATACTAGAGACAGACAACCGAAGCAAATAAGTAACATAGTCAAAACATAGCATTACAATTTTAAGAACAAATCATTTCAAACAACGAGCATCACTTTAACATCAAGGAATATATTTCTCACTTGATCAACTGCAATAAGAACAGGCATGTCTTTAACAAGTGATAACTCTTTCCTCAAACGAACTATCACTCCAACAGCTGCATGTGTTTGTTCAATGCCAGTCTTCACCAGCTCGTATAAACTTGTACCTTCAGGAATCGCCAAGGAATCAGCATCTTTCAACCATCCAACACCAGCACCCTCACCTAATGGGATTGGATCAAGTATTTGGCATGACAGTTGCTTTAGGTAGGACTCATTGTACTTCATAAAATCCTGCAAACAAATAACCCACACAGAAATAGCCAACCACTTGAGACATACTAATAAAGTAGTGATCAAGAAATGCATATTGTTTCATTATTTTCTCTTCTGCGTAACATTTTGTACGTTTAGCATATCCTATCCTAAGAGTTAAAGAAGTAAACACACAGCACAAGTAAAACTCAACAACAGTGAAATTCCCAGTCTTGCCTTGAGAACAATCTCAGCCTGCACAGGCGTGTCCCATAGACCTGTTTGTGGATGCTTATAGAAAAATCCTCCATGAGTCCATTCCTTGCCTTTAGGAACATAAAAAACCAACCAACCTTCTTCACGAGCCCATTGAACAAGCATTGCAAGCGCAATGCTCTTCCCACAGCTAACAGGCCCATCCAACACAACTTGCTTCCTAACTTTAACCCCTGAAACAAAAAATAAAATCACAATTGCACCACCAAAGACACAAAATAATAATAATAAGAATTCAAAAGGATGAACTATGAAGCATCTGGGGCAATAAAAAGCAGCACAAAAACCGCACCTTTACCGCTAGAGGACCACATTGGGGGATCAACCACACGCCTGAAGTTATCACGAAGGTCCAAAAAGCTCTGGCGAACGAGTAAAGCGTTGCGCATGGAGTCCTGGAACTCGTTCACCATACCCATTGGCAACCCCTCGGGCAAAACCGCTTTCAGGGCATCCTTCCTGCAAAACCAAAGCCATCCAGAAACACAAAATCCCAAAAAACAAAGTCAAATTCAAAGCGCACGCAAGGTGTTCGAAGAAGTGCCACAACGACAAACGAAGCACACAGAGTAACAGAAAGAGAGTACGTGAGATTGAAGTAGGTGCAGACGTCGTTGCGTGAGAGATGGGAAAGGGAAGCGGCGGAGGAGAATAAGGGGCGTCCATTGGGACCCACATTAAGAGAAGGGTCTTTGTCGTCGGCGGCGAGTCGCCGGAGACGGTCCTGTTCGTCGAAGAGTACATCGGCGGTGGCGGCGAACTTTTTTGGATCGGGTTTGAATGTGGGTTTTTGGGGCTTAGAAGAGTAACTGAGAGATGAGATTTTAGTGTAATTTTGATGCCATGTGTTATGGCTCGCTGCGGTTCTTCCAAGGGACCGCAACATCTCTGTTTTTGTATTTTTTATGAATGAATCACAGAAATGGGGAAGTGAGTGAGGTTTTTGTTTTTTGGGTTTTGGAGGAATACAAAACTGAAATGAAAAGGGAAATGGAGAATTGTTTGGGGGCATCATGGTAATTTCAGTGTCGTTCTAATTCTCACTCTTGGGCCAGAACTTTGTTGTTCTGTTATGTGATTACTTGGGCTTTATACGAGACTTTGTTTAGATAAGTGAAGTATATGAAGAAAAAAGCCTAATCCCATTCAAGGTTTATGTCAAAGGCTGAAAGAACTAGTAATGGAATTTATAAATGTCTTAATAATGATACAATCATAAGCTGTTAATGAACTGAACATGGAACACTTACTCTTATTTATAGCTGTTGATTTTATTCTGAAGTCATATCAAATAATAATTGAGAGTTAACACTTAGCATTGAAATTTAAACTTGAACACAAGTGGTTGGCACTCTTATTCTACTATCAAGCGTTTATTTTAAAATGAGTAATTAACTGACTATTTAAAATTCTTTCAACAAATATTAACCAATATTTTAAGGTTACTGGTTTTAACTGGTTAATGAATTAAAAGTAGAATTTTTATTTTAAAATATAATAAATACACCTTTTTTCTATTACTTTCATTGTAGTTCAACATTTTTTTAAAATTACTCTCAAATTTTTAACCATTGCCCAAAGGGCTATAGCAAGACTCAATTCTTTGTAGAGAAAAATATGTATACATGTATTTGAGTGTTCTCCATTACTTTATATTTAAATCATGCCAAAGTTTATGGCATGCAAATAAAATGTGAGAAGGTGTGTGAATTACGAAGACAGGTTATGAAATGAACCATACATTAACAATTGTGCAAATCTAACATTTGTATGTGTCGTATTTCTGCTATAAATTTTAGTTTAAAAAATAAAAAATACAAAAAGTAATTGCTAGTGAAAAGAAATAAAGCATAAGACCGCGTGCAAGTTGGAGAAAGACAGATCACAGATCCAAATTCCCACAAAAATAGTTCCTCATGTGTACCAAGCACACTTAGTTGTTATCTCTCTTCTAACTGCACTTTTACCGCAACTCTAACAAGTTATAGCTTTAATCTTGGCTAGACCTCTCTCCCATTTTGAATTTTGGTGTTAGTGTCACCTCATTTGTGCTTGAATCTGTGTCTCAAACCTCATACCAAGGTATCCTAATGTTGCTTGATTGGTTGGTCCTTATAGTTATTTGGGTTGTACACAGTATTTGTAATTCTAAATGTGAAGATCATACCATTGCATGAAATCTCTCAAGTGAACATATTTATCAAAATCGAATCAAACATGTTGCAACTTTTTTGCCATTGTCAATCATTTCGTCTTTGCTTTTGTAGATTTTTTTTAACTATAATATAGTGATTGTTGTTTGAGGAGATTAGTTTTGTCACTTTGCTGATTAGTGCCATAACTTGGAAGGTCCTACAATGGTGGGAATAACAGCACTAGTAGATCTATGGAAGAAAAATCAAAGTTTTAGCGCGACACGAACCTATCAATCTCCTTCCTTGTTTACTGCATCTGCCATCGTTGCCCCTTTTGCCGCTGTCACCTCTTTTGCCTCTAAGGACTTCTTTAGGTATGATCCTTCACCCGTTTTTCTCTTCATCATAATTTTACCTTGTCTAATTAATATTAACATTTTATTATGATCATTAATTTGTTTTACATGGATTTAATAAAAACTATTGTATTGAATTTGATCTAAATGGTAATTATTTATACACTTCTTTAATTATGTGCTAAGAACACATAATAAAAAATAAGTTTCCTTAACATCAGTCTTTTGGAGTTGAGTTTTAAGTATTTATAAATAGAATGTTTTTATAAGATTAATACATATATATTTATTGTATTAAAATTATAAAAATACAATAAATATTTTTTTTAATAAAATTTTACTATTATTAGTTGTTTTTTAGGATTGATGTTAACATTTTTCTAAAAAATTTATAAATAATGTTTTTATTAAAATATAATATTTAATAATATCAATACATTAAATTATATAATTTTTTAACAAAAAATATTATATAAGTTATTATTTTATATACATTTACAACAATTTTAAAAAAATTGATAGTTAAAATTTTGATTTTTCTCTAGACTCATCCATTCAATTTTTCGTTTTCATTACTAAAAAGAGCCGTGATATTGCAACTATAATATTGTTGATGTTGTAGTGAATGAAGCCGAAGGGGGAAAGGGCTCATAGTTTTTATGTATCTTATGACCTTGCAATTTAAATGGTGCATCTTAGAAACATTATTTTAAGAATTCTACAAAATATACATTAGTTGTCTAAAATATAAGCTGAAAAAATGTTGATATTGTTCCTCATTGGAACTATGCAGTTTTCCTCTCTTTTTTCTCCCCTAAATGTTTTACATCATTGGTCAACATTGATTTTATATTGACAACTTGAGTTTCAGGACACCAATTGCTTATTGTGATGCTGGAGCGACAATTTCTGAACATTACATTCCTAGTGCAGCAAGTGTACCTGGAAAATATTTCTACCATGATTCTCTAAAATATAATTCCAAGCACTACGACATTGCATTTAAACCATTCTTTTCAGCTTTTGATTTGAAGTCGTTTTCAATCATTACATTAAGGTCATTCTTAATGTTCTATTTGCCTCTTTTGGAGCCACATGCTAAGATGGAACAAGATGATGATGAATTTCCGCAACACAAACAAGGTGATCTTTGTTGCAAATTAAGTGTTCCCTTCAGAAAGTCAATATTGCAAATCATCCGTGAGGTGAGCCTTGTTTTACGTATTTTATATTATTGGTTCTAAAAAGTCATGGCATGCAATATTAATTATAATGTGACCTACCATTAGTGTAATTTGTTATTATTTGTTGTTAGAAACTTAGAATCATTAGGTGATGAGATGCTATATGTAGCTTTGCATCATCGAAAACCTTCCTAGACTATCAAATTAAACTTAAAAGAAAAGGGTCATATATATGAATGTCCACCTTTGTATTTCTTTTTAATCTTCAATATTAATGCAGCCAAAACGCCAAAGATGATAGTTTAATCATTCAATTCGAATCAATTGCGATGATGCCATAATTGGTTTTCTCCACATCGATTATTTATATTTTCGATTATATATTAATGATCCATTAATTATGATATTGGTACTCAAAATTTTCTGTTAAGAAATTACAAAAAATGCCAAAAGTAACAAAAATAAATCTGTCCTATAATTAATTTCTACTTTAGTGTGTGAAGTCTTGTATTATTGTTCTTTATAGTTTAACAATTTTTTAAGGTATGCTAATAAGTTGATTTATTTCGACTTTATTATAGGTCGCTGTGGTGACAACTACACGCATTTTAGAAAGATTGGTTGTCCGTTATGTTTCTAGAAAAAGGGCATGGAGACTACTTAAAGGTGCAGCTTTTTTTTTTTTTTCAAATCATTTCTAAATTTAAAATTATTGAGATTGGGTGACCAAGAATAAGCATAATAAAGGCAAATATTATGATGGTTTGATATCATTTTTTGAAAAATCTTATACATATTAAACTTATGCAATTTCTTGAACAGATGTTCCTGAATCAGCTGCTCGCAAGGCTGGAAGGAAAATGCCAAGTTTAGTTTACTTCTATTCAGTGAGCAGAGCAACATTTAGAGGTGAAAGCAATCAATCAATTATGCGTTTATTATAATGTTAATTGTGCTATTAACTAATTAAGTTATCTTGTGCTAATATTTGTGTGCAGGGCACTTGATAGGGTTTTCAGCATCATGGCTTGTTCAAGTAGGCATAAGATTATTTCAGTTCTTTAATCCTATGTCAAAGAATAATGATGGTATTAGCAAAGCTGAGAGAATGAGGATTCTTAGGCATAAGGTTTTCATAGCCACAGTTAGGTGCAATGCATCTCTAATTTTTGCCTCTGTTGGGGCAGCAATTGGGGCTACCCTTTTCCGTCCTTCAATTGGCCAGTGGGTTGGTAAGAACATATATATATATGAAATTATGAATTGCATATATACATTGTCATGTTACCACTAAAATAGTACTATATTATTAATTATTGACTAAAACTTATTACAAATTATAAAAATATGAGAAAGAATCACCAAGTTTTAATAAATTTTAAATAATAATAATCCATGTGTTAAAGAGAGTATATTGTTAGTATTTGTAATTAATGACTTAATTTGCTTTGGTTGAACCTTTAGTATTGCTTATTTTGCAGGTGGCGTTGTTGGAGATTTGGTTGGTCCGGTTATTGTAGCAGTTTGTGCTGAGAAAGTTTTCTGCTTGAAGCTTTAGTGTTGTTGTTCATTGTTGTCTTCTTGTTTCAAATAAGAGTGGTGTATTATGAAAATTTGTAGTATTTTTGTGCCATTTCTAATTGAAACTCTTCCATATATAGAGTTGCTAGACCTTGTGGATGCACAAGGTACTCTTGCATTCATGAAAATCAGAGCATAGTATTGTTTCAAATAATTTTCAATAAATAATCCTTAAGTTATTATACCTCCTCTTATCTTTTTTATAAGAAATAAAATAAAACATTTTTTTATTATAAAAAACAAATGATAGATTCAACATACATTAATTGATAAAAATTTTTATATTTTATTTTATTAGTATTATTAAATATACAAATTATTAATTACACCCTTTTAAATATATAAAATATAACATAATTAATTACTTTCTTTGGTCCAAATAATTTAGTCTTTTATTTTTTATAAAAATATTTTCATGAATTATTAATTTTCTACCTTAATGTTTTCAAAATGCTGCTAACGTATTGGAAAAAGATCGCCATCAAATAAATATTCCAACAATAATAATGATATGGGTTTATCAAAGTCATCTGATAAATAATGAGATTATATTAATATTGCATAACTTTTCTTCATACACTTATACATAGTTTCTTCCTCACACCACTCTCTAATCACTAATTAAATTAAAACGCATCCATCAAGATTCAAATAGAAAGCACAAGATCGGGTAACGAGCCTTGAACCCGAACCTGAGGTGTGCTTCGCCAAACCCGAGCCTGATCCCCATCCTCGGAAACACGAAGCACCACAGTGAGTAAGGTGTTGAAGTACTCACGCAGCTGAGCAATAATCCCGTGCTTGAGCCTCCACACGTGCACCCAATACTCCCCCACTCCTTCCCACCCTTCAACTATCACACGGTCACCAATGGCCCTCATTCTTCGAGGCCTAAACTTGAAAGCCCTAGGCGTTGACTCTCCGGTCAACGTTTTCATCATGTGGTGGCGATGAGGAGGTCCATGATACCACCATTCCAACTCTAAACCTACCAATTTTGCAACCTTCTCTGTGTTACCATCACGTAATGCCTTGTACACCATTTTTACCGTCTTCCGGTTGTGGTTTTCGTGTTCCACCGCCGTCATCTCGCCGGAACTTGTCTTCATGGTAGAAGAACGGCTGTAGCTCGTGCTATATATACACACTGATGCTTACTTGGTAAGGTAGAAGAAAATTAGAAAAGGAGGAAGCTTTTTTTTTTTTTAAATTAATATAACTATATAATGATTTATTATAATAATTAATTAATTAATTAATATATTATCTTAGGTTAATTTATCAATTTTTATTTTAAATTTTAAAAACTATTAAATTAGAGTATATTTATTTAAAATATAAAGTTCTTTTTTCTTTTCTTCTCTTCAAAACCTCCTTAAATAATTCTTTATGCTTTATAAGAGTTTAGGCTTATGCTTTGGAGCATTTGAAAGAATATTTTTTGAATAACTAGTTGTTTTTTGAAATAATTTATGATTTTTATAATTTTTTAAATTTACTTTAATAAATTTTTTGGTATGCTTTATTAAAATATTTTTAAAAATTTATTTCAAAAAATTTTGATCAAATTTATGGCATAAGAACTCATATATAAAAAATATTAAATAACACTCTAAATTAATTTATAATTATTTTAAAAAATAAATTATTTAAATGATTTTTTATATAATTTATCAAAAATTTAATTTATTTTATTAAATTTATGACATAAATTTTAATATAATAAACATGAATTAAATAAATGTTTGATTAAGTATCTAGATGTTCTGGCAAGAGTGGGACTTGGCGACATTTCAACTGTTGTGGTAATTTTATTTAAAGTTTGTATAAGTATATATTATAAATGTGATTAATTTAAAATATTTTTTAAAATTTAAAGTGAAGAATTATAATTATTAATTTAAAATTACATCAATTGTTTAATTATTAACAGTAGTAACCCACTTTAAAATTAAAACTGTCAATTTCCATTCTAATAAAGATTCCGGGTGGGGATACCATGTATTAAATAATGAAGTTGTTAAAATGATGCAAATGCGAGCATATAAAGGAATCACTAGGAGTTGAAGAATGTAGTAAAGACAGAGAAAGTGATTCTAGCACAGAAAAAGACAAAGCTAGTTAGCATATTTTGTTATATGATTTTAATCATTTATTTCTATTCAAAGTAATTATTCAATGAAACGTGCATAAATTTATTAACTTAAAAATATAAAATACATTTACTATTTTTATTCGATAAATAGCACAATTATAAGAAGAAAATATTTAAAATTATTCAAAACAATGGGTTTTGATTTTGAAACTCATTTTAGAATTTAGCTAGCATTGGAAACGCTTTTGAAATTTTATTAATTTCAATAAAATGTGAAATGTAATTATATCTTAAGCAATAAAATATTCAACCTTTTGCATTATTCAATTATTTTTATTTATTTTTAGCGATCCAGGCAACTTTTGCTTTAAGTAAAAGAAAATAGGTAGCATTCGCACTGGAGTCAGAATGGGCTTGTGGGCTTCGTCTCTTCGACACTGGGTCCGCATCTTCAGTTGGACCCTGTTTGGGCCCGACCAAAGTCTAGTATATTATACTTGTGCTAACATTTTTCCTCTTATATTTTCTCGTTTCTTTCTTGCGGAATCATGGGTGTGTAAATAATTTGGCTTTTTTTATGCCGGAAAAAAATAAAAAAATATACCAAAATATGATACTTTGAGAAAAATTATAAAAATATTGAAATGAAAAAAGTGATACTGAAAATTTTGTTAGTATTTTAAAAAAGCTATTATTTAAAAAAATTGCTTTTTTTATTTTTTATTTTTCATGACCTTTCTTTCTTTTATCGGCACTGACATTAAAAATTGTATATTAACGATTTTTAAATTTCATAATTCTATAAGTTTTTTAAAAATACCATATTTTGGTATATATAATTTTTAAATTATATATATATAAAAACCAAATAATTTGGCACAAGACTTGAATAAGATAATATTTCAGATTTACAATAGAGTCGGTATAGAAGTACTTTGAAAATGCATTTTCTAATTTTGAAGGTGGTAGATTAATTAAGAAATGTAGATAATTAATAAAAAATGCTCATAAATAGGAAAATGAATATTGACGGAGGAAAAAAGTCATAAATTAATGAGTAAACTTTTATACATGTGATTATAGCTTTAATAAAAGAGTAACTTTTGTCTAATTAGCTAACTACTTTTTACTATTATCAAAGTCAATTATTATTTTTCTTATATTACAACAAGTCCAAAAATGACAGTCATAATTTAAAATAAATAAACTATTATAAATGAGTAATCTCATTTTGTCATAATCTTGTAAACTATCATCATCGTCAAATTAAATTAATTAGTAAGTCATTATTTATAGTTTTAATATCAAGTCCTTAATATTATAGTTCTTAACAAATTCCACATGATTTAAAAATAATGTAATCAAATCATTAAATCTTATACAGATGAATAAAATCATTAGTTAATTAAAATATTATAAAAAAGTGTTCTGCTGTTTTGTTCATGTGGGAACACCTTTTGGATCTTTACATCTTTATCCTAAAAATTTCCAGGAAGAAGATTCTTCCAATTTTCATGTCACATTTGACTTTTTCCTCTTCTTCCAGAAACTTGATGGCGGTCAAAAGAGGACTCCTTCCAATTTCCAGAATATGAATTTTATATGAACAACTCTCAGAAAAACTTGAAATTAGGCATATCTAACTGCACCCCTTTTCAATTTTTTCATAAGTAAATCTATTTTAGATTATTGGATTTGTTTAATCATTGTCTCCTAAGTATATCATTTTAAGTCTCCTAAGATTCTTACTTGCAGTATCCAATATGTAATTTGAGTTTAGTTATATTTCATGGATCCAGAACTTGAGATCAGAACGAACTAATCATTATTAACTTATTACTATTATAGCTAACTTTTCAAGTGTATTAATATGATATTTCATGGTGCTTCATTACATGGATGTGGGTAGAAAAGGACTTGAGAAATTTCAAAGTTTCAGAAAGCAAAAGCTTGGAATCTTAGGGAGAAAAAGGGGTGAAGCAAGGTTTTTTCTGAATGTAATTGTCCAACCATATGGCTTTATTAAGGGTTGGGTTGTAACCTTGTGAGTGGGTGCTCGCCCTCTTCTAGAACAATGTTGCACGTCACAAGTCATGTATCATCTTTTCGATTAGACGCCAAAGAAGCTAACCCATAAGTTAATTATTTTTTTAAAATAATCAAATATTAGAATTATTTTTTTATATAATATTTTTTATTATAAACTTATAAATAATTAAAATTACTTAAAAATAGATAAAAATTAAATTTATAAATATTAAATACTTAATATGAATTATTATTATGTAAATTTAATCTTTATGAAAATATAAACAATTATTAATTTCAATGTACTAGAGATTAAATTATGTCTCTCTCTCTCTCTATATATATATATATGTTATATTTAATTATGTTCATTTATCAATTCTATAAAGACATGATTATGTCAATTATATACAATTATATATAAAAAAGGATTAATTTTTATAAAATATTTTTAAAAGTTACAAAAAAATTAAGATATGCAAATGGTAATAAAATGATAGTTAATTATAAATTATCAAATGCAAATATTTACAAAGATAAAATATATTTTATAATATCTTTTATAATAATGAAAAATATGAGTCAAATAAATTCAGAAACACATTTCTAACATTATTATACCCTTTTTATATTAATAATATAGGTTTAACTATGTAAATAGTACCAAACAAAATAATCTTTTCAATTCCTAAAAACACTTAGAATGAGAGAACTTAATGTATTATAAGAGGTTATTAAAGAAGTATGAGTGTCACTTTGCAAATATTTGACAATATCTAAAATTTATATCAAATTTTAAAAATATTTTTATTTTTGTTGATCTTTTAATAAATTTTTTATTTAGATAAACAATATATAATCTATTTTAATATTTTATATAAAGATTTGCAATTAATTACTAGCCTAGAGTATCTCTTTCCTACTCTGACACTTTATTAACATGAAATCCTAAATAATTTAAAAGTAATGTTTATGATCTTATTATACTTTTATTTAAGAATTATTATTAGATTTATTGTTTGTAAAATTTTATTTATTTTTCATTCATCATAATTGGTTTTGCTTTTGTTGGTATGTAAGAAATTTTTTACCAAACTCTTATGCTAAGAAGAGACAATTTTATGAGTTAGTTTTAGTAGACACAATTTATTAAATTAATTCATCAACAAAATTCAAAAATAAAAAAGCCAACTTTTTAAAAAATAAAAATTTTGAATATTTTAATAATACAAGATTGAAAGTAACCTTTACAACAAAAAATATATATATATAATAAAGTATTAACCTTAATAATATAATTATTTTGATTAGTATGGAACAACATGCTATACATGACACCATTTGTTCACTCATGATTCATTTCGTTCAACAAAAGAATTTAGTTGAAGTGGTTTATGAAATTTAGACTTAAAAACACTATTTTTCCCTACAAAAGTGACAAAAATTTTAATACTTTGTCTCCAAAACTAATGTGGGGAAGAATATAAGTTAATTTCTTGTGTAATTATAAAAAGAAAATAACGTAGATATCTACGTGAAAATAAGTTTAACTTAACCTTAATATCAAAAAATAAGATCAACACTCTTAAAAGAAAATATTACCAATTCAACAAAATTATCCAAGACTTACTTTAAATTTTTCCTAACAAAAAAATAATAAAATTAGAGTTCACCAAACCTAGAAGATTATTTCCACAACGGATATGATTGTTTTGACATTTTCCCTTCACTACATTAAGGGAAAAGAGGACAAAAATTATGGGCAACATTTACTAACAATAAGATGTCCAACAAAAGAAAAGCAGAACAAAACTTAAAGAAAGAATTACACAGCAATTAAAACTGATGACAAGACCCAAAGACAAAATCATTCATCAGTAAAAGAGTTTTAATAATTCACAAGGCATACGACAATAGTTACAACAATTATTGTAATCTCTACCTTTTGAGCTTTTGAGTTATAAATAGCTTTCTCAACTCATAGAAGAGACATTGCAAAATAAAACCCTTTCCAAGCTAAGTCCTCTATTGTAATAATAACCTTGAAAGCCAACCCAAAACCTCTTAAGTTCTTATTCCTTCTGAAACAAAATATTGTATCAATATTATTATCAATATTTTCAAGAAACATAAAATGTTCACAAAATTTTGTAAGTAATTTCTATAAAGTTTTAATAATTTTTAATACGAGATCTTATTTCAGTTTTTTTTTTTATCTGTTTTAAACTCAGTTTTTATTTTTCTCTTTTCTTCTTCATTTTTCTTGTCATTTTTATTACTATGTCTTCTCCCTCAGAATTGATTCGTGTATCTGAAATTATAATTAAGAAATATTAAATTAAAGATAAAATTTGCATAATTTTTTTTAACAAATTTTAACCAACAATAATGTTAGAGTGTATTAGTAAAAAATTTTAAATAAAAAATAATTAATTTTTAATGTAAATAATATAACTTTAAACAACTGATTAAAAAGTAAATAATAATATAATAACTGAAACATAAATTACATAACAACCAATGTCAGCATATACTGTAGAAATATGATATAATAAATAAACACCACCAACATAACACTAAATCCTAAAGTTTTGGAGGATGCAATTAGTGCTAGATTGGCTTTGGCATGAGGGAAATGGACTGCAAAGGGATGACATAACTGTTGAAAGGCATAGCATCGGGAAAATGCAACTTCATAAAAACAAATACAACAAATAACTTAGCAAAATAAATATATCTCTTCTCAGTCTGTATCAGCCGCCACCAGTCAAACCCACAACTTTGACCCAAATAAAAAACTTCATTATTCATGTTTGTATAATAATAATAATAATATACATTTTCTTGGATACCTTCCCAGAAATCTCTTCTAGTGATCCTTTGTTCCAATACGTAACCATCTTCATCTCCTCCTTATTCTTCTCTCTTCCTTTAACGTTATTAAGCCAACCCCTTCATATTTTTGTTCTCTCTTAGACAACTCTGTAGCATTTTTACCTCAAACTTCTACATTCATGACCACTTCTTTCTCTGACCTGCTTTCATCTTCCACCGACCACAACCTGGGAGGCTCCGAAAGGCCTCACGTGTTGTCGGATAGAACAGGTTCTGGTGTCCCAAAATTCAAGTCTTCAACCCCTCCATCGCTCCCTCTCTCTTCTCCTCCTAATTCTCATCATTCTCTTCCTCCTGTTTCTCCTTCTTTCTTTAATATCCCTCCTGGGTTAAGCCTTGCTGAACTTCTTGACTCTCCGGTTCTCCTCAACTCGTCTAACGTATGTCTCACTTCGTTCCAATCCTTTTCTCACTCTATTATTAACCATGTTTGTTTAATTCAAACATGATATTCAAGTTTCATTTTTTTTTTAATTAGAATACGTAAATTTACCTTGGACTTCAGTTGACTTTGTTATTTCTTCTTCTTTAGCTATGAATTTCAGAGGATTCTTCAATCTTCATTGGTTTGGTTAATATGTTCAACCAGTGAGCTATTTTTAACATGCTTTTTTTACCTTCTTTTTTTTTTGTGTTTACCCATTTTTGATAAAAGATATTTTTGAAATTTTGATTTTTAAAATCTTAATTGAATAAGGCTTTGTTGTTATTATTGTACCTCATTTTTGTACTCTTGCGTCTTGTGATTCATGTTGCATCATCTGATAAAGTTCATGGTAATTAATGGGTATCTGCTTCTTCCTGGTGTTTTTGTCTAATCAGGTTTTGCCATCTCCGACGACTGGAGCATTTGCTGGTCAAAGCTTCAATTGGAAGATCAGTTCTGGAGAAAGCCACCAAAATGTCAAAGAAGAAGACAAAAGCTTCTCAAGTTTCTCTTTCCAAACACAAGCACAACCTCCTGTTCCATCTTCAACTAGCACATCTCAAACAGTGCGTCACCAATTTCAATGCATAGGCTTATGCGAAATTCTATTCTTTTTTTTTTCTCTTGTTGGTTTAAAGAACTGGTTCAATTCTCTGACATCTTTCAACTTTTCTTTTCTTCTGTGTGTATATCAACAGGGTTGGAGTTTTCAGGAAACAACTAAACATGATAGTTTTTCTTCAGGAATGAGTATGAGTACGGTGAAAACTGAAAACTCTTCTATGCAGAGTTTCATCCCTGAGAATAACCACAAGAGTGGTTTTCAATCAGATTATAACAGTTACCATCCACAGGCTCAGACCTTGAATAGAAAATCAGATGATGGGTACAACTGGAGGAAATATGGGCAAAAACAAGTGAAAGGAAGTGAAAATCCAAGAAGCTACTACAAATGCACATACCCCAATTGCCCAACAAAGAAAAAGGTTGAAAGATCTTTGGATGGCCAAATCACTGAGATAGTTTACAAAGGTACTCATAACCATCCTAAGCCTCAGGCTACAAGGAGAAACTCATTGTCTACCTCATCACTTGCAATCCCTCATTCAAATCATGTCAGCACTGAAATACCAAATACCAATCATGGCAATGGACATATGGATTCAGTTGCCACCCCAGAAAACTCATCAATATCAGTGGGAGATGACGATTTTGATCATAGTAAATCAGGAGGAGATGAGTTTGATGATGATGAACCTGATGCCAAAAGATGGTGACCTTTTACTTCTTTATGTGATTCACTTTCTTAACACGTTATGTTATAACAAATCAATTGCATGCTTCATTTTAATTAATTTTTTAATCAATATTATTCAGGAAAATAGAAGGTGAAAATGAGGGTATATCAGCAGCAGGAAGTAGAACAGTGAAAGAACCCAGAGTTGTAGTTCAAACAACAAGTGACATTGATATTCTAGATGATGGGTATAGATGGAGGAAATATGGGCAGAAAGTTGTAAAGGGAAATCCAAATCCAAGGTAAACTCCACTCTTTCTCTAGCTTGTCCTACAAATCACTGTTTAACTTTTAGAAAGTTATACTTTAAGCTCTATTAAGAATAACATTGAGAATCCCATCAGAGTTTTAACTCTAATGCTAGTAACAGTATACAATCATTGCACTCCTTGACTATTCAAATGTGCTATACACATATCATAAATGCATGACGTTTGCTATCTCAATATCTAACTGTGTATCCTTTTAGGTAAGTTAGCAATAGTTGCCCATTGATGGATTTCTACAGTGTGCTTATACCTGTTGCTTTACTTTTGCATTGCCTAAACTCTTAATTTCTTTGGTCAAATTTGGCAACCCTCGTTTCTCCCATGTGTGCATGGGAATCAAGTCTTCTTTACCATGTAATGTCTAAAGTCTAAACAGTAGTTAAAAATTATATCTTATGTTCTATATAATTATTCAAAGAATGTTTAGCAACATATTTTTTATTATTAGAAGTTTTTTAAACATTAAAAAATTATTGATAGGACTAGTTAAATTAGAAACAAAACATATATAATTCATGATTTTTAGTAATTTGTCAATAATAAGAAAAATATATTACTAGTATTTTTTTAATTAATTTTAGACTTAAACATGTTTTTATTTCCTATATTTTTTTTGTAAAATTTTTATTTTATTCTTTTAGTTTTTTTAGTCTTCAATTTTTGTAATTCAATACTTTCAGTACCTAATATCGACATAAATAACTGAATACATGAGTTAAAATTGATGATTAAAATTAAAATCCCACAAAAATATATAACTTAAAAGTACATTTAAGTTTTTTATTTCCTTATATATAAATTAAAATACTACTAAGAATTATCCTCAATAGTTAAAAAAAAAAAAAAAACATTTTGCTAAACAGTATTCCCAGATTGTCTTGTCTTACATTGTGTTCAATTTGTGACTGGTAGGAGTTACTACAAGTGTACATACCCAGGATGTCCAGTGAGGAAGCATGTAGAGAGAGCCTCACATGACTTAAGGGCAGTGATCACAACCTATGAGGGAAAGCACAACCATGATGTGCCAGCAGCACGTGGAAGTGGCAACAATTCTATCAATAGACCAATGCCAAACAACACCATTAGTGCACCCCCTTCTATATACACTAACAATTCCATCAACAATTCTCTTCAGAATCTTAGAGCATCAGCACCAGAAGGGCAATCTCCCTTCAACCCTCAGATGCTGCAAAGCTCAAGAAGCTTTGGATTCCAAGGGTTTGGAAATCCAATGGAGTCTTACATGAATCAGCTATCTGACAATGTTTTTACTTCTAGAGCCAAGGAGGAGCCTGGAGATGATTCATTTCTTGAATCTTTGCTATGCTAAAGAATTATTATTTTTCGCATAGTTTTGGGTATATGGTTGGAATTTTTTGAAGGGGTTGGTTCAGAATTTTACTTGACCAATAAGATCTGGTTCATTCCATTTATTGTATTTCTTTATATATATATATATATATATATATATATGTATGTATGTATGTATATTGTATATTTTCAAACCCACAGGATTTGTATACTGTATATTTAATCATTGTTGTATGCTCCATGTTTATAAATTTTTTTTATCATGATTTTGAGAATCTCCTAACTTCAGTTGAGAGTTAGACATGGAACTTATAAAATTTGTTGAATAAAATATAGAATTTTAACTTTAAATTTTAAACTCAAATGAAGTTTTAATATTTTTAGTTTAATCTGATTAAGTCCTACATAAGTTTGAGTATATATATTATTACAAACTCAAATTAAATTTAAATTCTTTTTGCCTTCTCTCCGTAAAGCTAAGCTTACAATTTAGGGATTTGAACAAGTCAAATAGTCCATTTTATTAGCTCTATACAGAGAGAGTTTCCTTTGCAAAACCCTTTTCTTTCCCTCTATTTTCCCAACTGATTAAGAGCAAAAATTGGAAACTTTTCTCAAGAAATGTGCTGTCTTAAAACTGTTTGTACCATAAATGCATTATATATTATAGTATGGCATAATTTATTACATTCATTTAATATTAATATGGAGGACCCAGTGCTTCTTTGGTCACTGCAAAAAATATCTTGAGGAGGATTGGAGATGCAGATGTCAACGGTTTTATATTTGATTGGGTGCATACTCCATTCAAAGATGGGGAGCTGAAAATTAATTGTTTTCTTTTTAAACAAGGAAAATGTTTTATGCATAGTTTGAAGATGATTTATTTAGTTGCCTCTTATATAAATTATTTTATTGTGTTTTTAGATGAATTTTTATTAATGTCAACCTTAAGAGCTGAGAATAAGTTGTTAATAATAATAAAATTTTATTAAAAAGAGAAATATTTATTATATTTTTATAATTTTAATATAATAAGTGTGTACTTATTTTTATAAAAAAAAATTATTTGTAGATATTTAAACTCAATCTTAAAAATTGAGATTGATAAAATTTTATATAAATAAATAAATTATATAATATTAATTTTTAATTATTGACATAAATAAACAAGGATGAGTCTATTCAAGAGGGGTCATCAACCTATAAAATTACTCTTATCAGAAATAAATTTTTGTATAATCTAACATTATGGTAGGTTCTACTAATAAATATTTTTGACTTGTGTTGAATGTGAGTGGTGGAGATTTTCCAGCACACACCATAATTTATGCTTGTCTGGATTCCTTGTACTGAGGGTGAGAGCAAAAGTGTTGGGAAAGTGCAGTGTTCCTGAGAGGTTGAGCTTCAATGCCGTGCAAGTTACCCATTCTGCAATAATAATTGAAAACTTGAATAACAAGGTTTTTTTATTTTAAACAGCGTTGTTTCCTATCAAGTTTGGAGTGTTTTTCTTCATCAACATTGGAAATAAGACAACAATTGGATCGTGCTATGCTCTATGTTAACCTTTGTGCCCCTTGCATGTTCATTAATGATTAATACGTAGAGTAATCATAATTAAATAAAATTAATAAATTAAAATTGAACAACTCCGTAAAATAAGAGGACTAAAAAAGAGTAGTTAGACCAAATATATATTTCAATATTTATTTAAATAAGAAATAAATAAGACGTAAAAGTTATATAAAAAGTCACAATTGAGATAACTCATTATCAGGTGAAGAGTTTCGTAATTTTCTTTCTTCAGTATTAAGAATGTAAGGCGTTTGAAACAATTATTACATTCATGCCATTATCTCGTTGGATTGGCATTTAGTCGAAACATTATCTCAAATGATCTAGAAAATAACGTTACAGAGGTTTTTAAGATTGTTAGCAAACAAAATATCATTTATTTTTATATGCAAGTACTATTGTTTTTATAAAATAAACAGTGTAAGGAAGAATGGGGTGGTGAAAATTTTATCCTTTTAACTCTTTTTTTAAATTATTTAAGTTACACTTAAAGGAAAAAATTATAATTAAAAATATTAATCTTGATTTTTAATATTGAATTAAAATAATCAATTATAATAAATTTTATTGAAATGTTTTTAATATAATAAATATTTTTTAATGAAATTTATTATTTTTAAACAAAGTGACGTTAACTAACATCCAGATTATTCCGACGTCGTTTCTTGAAACCAGCGCGAAGGGAAACTGTTGAGTTTCCCATTTTACCCTCGAAACCAAATTCAATTTTCAAACCCTACCCTCACTCTCTTCTCTCTGAAAACACTTTCTTTCTTCTTTGGTTTCTTGGCACCGATCCATGGAACCAACCGTAGCCAAACACGGTTTCTTGAGGAACATTCTGGTCCGTCTCTTCTCCTTCGCCGTTCTACTCGTCGCCGCGCGATTCGCCATCATCGTCACCGTCCGCGGCGGAACTTGCGACTCCGCCGATTTCTGTTTCTTCTCCGATAACCTCAATCTCTCCGCTCCCTCCCACTTTTCCGACGCCGCCGATCCATTTCCCGGCAAGAATTGGCGCCGCTCCGTCGAGCACTATGCCGCCGTTTTCCACGATCTCATCGCCGAGGGCTCCCTCTCTCCCTATTCGAGAGCTCTCTGCATCGACACTCCCTCCGGCGAGGATGTCTTGGCGCTTAAGGAACTCGGCGTTGTCGATTCTGTCGGAATCTTCAAGAAACCGTTGCCGCCGTTGATCGTTCAGGGAGATGGTCTCCGGCATCCGTTTCCCGGCGACGCGTTCGACTTCGAGTTCTCCGGAAACGGCGGCTTGGAACGGTCCCCGAGACCGGCGGAGTTCGCCGCCGAGATCGGCCGGACGCTACGACGGGGCGGGGTGGTGGCGGTACACGCGCCGGTGAGAGATGCTTACAGCTTCAATTCTTTCCTTGAATTGTTTAATTGCTGTGAATTGATCAGAACCCGAGAAATCAACGGTGTTGATTCATCTCCAATCCTTGAAATTTTGATGAAGAAAAAAAAGCGTGATTTTGAAACCCTTGAATTACCCCCAAATGGCAATTCCGTGAATAAGTGTTCTGTTCCGGGTTATAAACGTGAAATAGTTAAAAATGCAGAGGCTTTAATAACAGAAGAACCATTGAAACCTTGGATTATATTGAAGAGGAATGTGAAGAACATAAAGCACTTAACTTCATTGGTTGATATAAGCTTTAAGAATAGGTATGTGTATGTTGATGTTGGAGCTAGGAGTTATGGTTCCAGTATAGGGAGCTGGTTCAGGAAACAGTACCCAAAACAAAATAGAACCTTCGAGGTTTATGCAATTGAAGCTGATAAGACATTTCATGGAGAGTACAAGACTAAAAAAGGGGTCACTTTGTTGCCCTATGCAGCTTGGGTTAGGAATGAGACATTGTTCTTTGAGATAACAAGAGATCCAAGCAACAAAGTGATGATGAAAGGTAGAGGGATGGGGAGGATCAACCCTGTGCAGACATCTTCTAGCCATATGGGTGACATGGACAAGATTCAGGGTTTTGATTTTGCTGACTGGCTCAAGAGTGCTGTTACAAGTAGGGATTTTGTGGTTGTGAAGATGGATGTGGAAGGGACTGAGTTTCATTTGATCCCAAAGTTGATTCAAACTGGGGCTATTTGTTTGATTGATGAGCTATTTCTTGAGTGCCATTATAATAGGTGGCAGAGGTGTTGCCCTGGTCAGAGAAGTGCAAAGTATCAGAAGACATATTCTGAATGCATGGATTTGTTTACCTCACTAAGAAATAGTGGAGTTCTTGTGCATCAGTGGTGGTGATAACCCCTAAGAAACTTGTTTGTAGTCATTTTTTCCTTCTGCTTTTTTCTAACATTTTTTGGATAGATATTCTTTTTATTGCTCCCCACAGTATATAGGATAGGATTTTATACGATTAAATTGATTCTTTCTCACTCCTTTTTGTCAATTGTCAAGCCTGCATATGAAGAGTTGAGTGAATGGAAATTTTTGTTTATTCTCTTTTGATATCTTCACTTCAATTATAGAATTAGTTATTTGTGATTTCTGTTTTCGTGACCAAGCTTTTTGTGAATAATGTTTTTGCTTAGTTGCAGCTTAATTGACGGGTTAAAGATATTACCATTTAACTGTGTAAGGAAAAAATGGTTGTTGAAACTAGAGTAGAGTGTTTGGAAAGAAGCATAGCTTCTGGTGCCGGATTATTGTATTTTAACGTGACTTTGACATGTTTGATCACCATGTCACATGTCTATCCTCTCTGCATGTAGACAGTTCCCTAATCATGGAGCATAATCGTTGTCTGCATAGCTCCTGAACTAAACCTTTCTCATTATGGTCACTAGCAAGTGAGTCTGCATAGCTCCAAAATTATCATTTCATTTGAATATATGACCATTAGTATAAAATCTATAGTCCAGTAAGCAAGGAACTGAATGGTGAAGAGATTGATAAATATACTGCACATAAACAGTATTTGGTTTACATATTCTTTTGCTGGTCATTAAGCAACAATTATCACTCTAATATGTTTACTGCAGTTTTAATTATACACATTTTAAATAAGTAGAATTGTGTTTTCTGATAACATTAACCAAGTGGCTTTGTGAACTGAATTGAAATATTGTAATTGAAGCAAAGCAAGCTTTACATACCCTTACTCGTGCTATCAGCAGGTATTTTAGTAGATTATTTATGTTTCAAACTGCTAACAGGATTTCACGCATTTATTGCATTTTAATATCAGCCTCTGCAAATAAAGTTCAGTTTTAGATAAAAACTCTAATTCAATGAATATTAAATGGATGAACAATACAATAGGTGGGTTAACTTGAAAATTCTGACCTATGTTACAATTGATGTAAAATAGTTTCTTATTTCAATACTATTAGTTATAAACTTTTATATTATATCTATATTTATTGAATTTTTAATGTAAATTTAAACACTGTCATTTCAGTTAATATATATGATACGGAATATAAAAGAATTTAACTTTAAAGATTTTTAATATGCATAGAATAATCTCTTTGTTAACTTTTTTTATTCTTAAAACTTGACAGATTAGGTCACGTGATTAGTAATGACTAATTTGTTTTTAGAATTATCACTAAAACTTTAACAGCCTTAAATTTGAATGATGTACAACTTATAGCCTAACTTTTATAAAATGTATATTTTTTAGTCCTTCATATCTTGAAAGTGTTCTAAATATAAAATTGACAAAATTCATTGCATGACCGACATGTTACTCATTTTATTTCAAAATTATTGTTACTCATTCTCATTTACCTCCTTTTCATTCATTTTTCATGCAAAATATTAATTATCTAATATTTATCTTGTAATGCATTAGCATCTTCCTCTCTGTGGTATCTTTTTCGTCAGCTTTCACTTGAGACAAATAGAGCACGAGGATGCTTGGGTCCCAAATTGTAAATTATCAAAGGTTAAAATATTTTTTAGTTCTCATAAATATAAATAAATAAATTTTAAATCTTCAATTTTTTTTGTTAATTTTAATGTTCATAAATTTTATATTTTTTTAAAAATACTAATTGTTACCACTTAATGATAACATGGAATGCCACTTTATTTATCACTTTACAATGATCGCAGACATAATATGATTTAAAATAAAAAGTATTAAAAAAATAAAACCTAAATTTAATTAAAAATTTTGAAAGATTAAAATTCAATTTATCACCTTAATGACATAACATGTCATTTTATTTTATCACCTTAAAAAATGTACTTATCTGATGTAATTAGATGCATATTTTTACATATTTTAATTATAAAAAATTAATAAAAAATTGGAAGATTAAAATTTAATTTAATCTTATTTATAATTAAAAACATGTGTAAGAAAAAAGAATGACAGGACACTCATATGAAATATATTATATTATATTATGTTATATCGTCAGAAAATAACAATAAAGATCATTTAAAAAACAAATCTAAAACCAAAATTTATAAAAAAAAATAAAAAAAATTCAAATTTAATCTGATTTACAAACATTAAAATAAAGGAAAAAATGACAAGATACTTACATGATTATGTTTGGTCAAAGGACAGTAACGTATAAGAGGGAACCATTAGCGTTCCCTCAGCTGTTACATTGATTCTCTCTCTCTATCTCATCCATCCATGATCACAATTCTCTCTCCAGTGGTTTCTCTCATCACAATCTCGTGCTTTTCACATACAATGTTTCTCCACCACTCTCATCCATGGAGGTAGCACACGACAACCTTAATCACAATGTCATGCATGTTGCAACTGATCAGCCAGACATGCAGTTTGAAGGGTCTTTCATCTGTGAAACAGTTGAACGCATCAACTCAAATGGTCTATGGTTTGGAGATGACCCTCTTGCCTATTCTGTTCCTCTCTTCTTGCTTCAGCTTCTCCTCATGTTCATCTTCACCCACTTCATTTCCCTTGTTCTCAAACCCTTTGGTCAACCCTCTTTTGTTTCTCAGATTCTTGTAAGCTTGCAAGCTTTCTTGTTCATGATCTTTTTTCTGGGAAAGTACCATTCAATGTGTTGGTGTTGGGTTCTTGATTAATCTTTTGTTGGTTATTAATATTATCATGGACATAGATAATTATATATGTTTGAAAACTCATTGTATATAGATTTTGTGGGAGAATATTATGTCCATTGACAAATTCCATTTGATCATTTAAGCCAATTTGAATAATGTTTTCAACAAATACTTAGAAGAGAAAAAAAATAAAGAAGTAAAATAAATTAATTTTTTTAAAGTTAAAATCAAGTTATACTCATCAGCTTTTGGAGAAGTTATATGAAAAAGTTTAAAAAAATTGATGTAGTTGATTTTAACTCGTGAGAATTTTTCTTTTTTATTTTCTTCTCTTACTAGTAAACTGGGGTTTCATAATAATATAAAGCCATAGGTAAGCGCTGTCAAAAACAAACTAAAGAATGCTTTACAAGTCTAACTCCTAATTGGATGCCTTTTATGAAAGCACACATAGTTGCTAAATTATTTAATTGGTATATGGTTTATTGAAACTAAGAGGCTAGTGAGATGTATCTAATTCATTTCTTCAACGTTTTGTGGTTAACCAGGGTGGTGTGACTTTAGGTCCTTCTATTCTTGGGCGCAATTCAGCATTCACTGACAAGGTTTTCCCATCAAAAGGAAGAAATGTGCTTGACACCATAGCATTTTTTGGTTTTATGTTATTCATCTTCTTAATTGGGGTAAAGATAGATCCAACCATCATTTTTAGATCAGGTAAAAGGATTTTTGCCATAGGAGTTTTAGGCTTCTTTGTTCCTTACATTCTTTCTGGAACGGTTGGCCTCATCCTCAGTCACTTTGCATCATTGGATAATGATGTTTCCAAAGTGCTTCCTACTGTGGTGGAAATTCAATGTATCACAGCCTTTCCAGTAATTTCTTGTTTTCTTGCTGAATTTCACATCCTCAATTCAGAGATTGGGCGGTTGGTCACTTCTTCTTCATTAGTGTGTGATGTCTGCTTCTCTTTAGTCGTGGCAATTAAGTTTGCTGCAAAGTTATCCTTCACAAAGTCAATAGGAGTAACTATTGGCTCTTTGTTTTCCATCGCTCTTCTTATTGTGTTCATTGTGTTTGTAGTTCACCCAGCTGCATTATGGGCAATTCATCAATCACCAGAAGGGAAACCTGTTCAGGAAATTTACATTTGTGGGGTTTTTCTAACACTAATATTCTGTGGATTTGTGGGTGAAGTTGTTGGCATGAATGCAGTTTTTGTATCTTTCATGGTGGGGCTGGCTATACCAGATGGTCCACCATTAGGAGCAGCATTGGTAGATAAGCTTGATTGTTTTGTTTCAGTAGTGTTCATGCCTACCCTTTTTACCATAGTTGGATTAAGGACAGATGTATTTGCCATACAGAAGATGAAGAATTTTGGTGCAATTCAGTTAATTATTTGGATTAGTTTTTGTGGTAAAATTGTAGGGGCGTTGTTGCCTCTCCTTTTCTGGAAGATGCCGTTTCGTGATGCCTTTTCTCTCGGTCTTATAATGAACTGCAAAGGCACTGTTGAATTGGCCTTGTTGATTAACTTGAAATTAAAAAATGTAAGCAATGCTTTTCATCATGTAGACATTACAACTTAAAGAGTTTGTTCTTATAGGCTTAATTAAAGGGTGCACTCCTATGAATTTTCAGGTCATTAACGATGAATGCTTTTCAATTTTGGTTCTTACTTTAGTGCTTATAACTGGTATTGTGTCACCTGTGGTGAAAGCTCTATATGATCCTTCTAGGAGGTTCCTTGCTTACAGAAGGAGGACAATTATGCATCACCGGGATGATCAAGAATTGCGCATACTAGCTTGCATTCATAAACAGGACAATGTTCTAGCTATTTTGAATCTCCTTGCTGCTTCCAATCCCACTGAAGCAAGCCCCTTTGATTTAGTTGTGCTCCATCTTATTAAGCTTGTTGGGAGAGCTTCCTCTCTTCTTGTAGCACATATGCCGTGCGAAAAGCCTCGTGAACATCCTTCTCAAACTGAAAAGATTTTCAATTCATTCAAGAAATTTGAAGATGCATATAGGAGCAAGGTTGCATTCCATTTCTACAAAGGCATTTCTCCCTATGCTACAATGCACAATGATGTATGCTACTTGGCACTTGAAAAGAGAACAACTTTTATTATCATACCTTTTCATAAGCAGTGGATAATTGGAGGGTCAACAGAGTCATCCTTTGCTTATAAGCAGCTCAACAAGAATGTTCTAGAGAAAGCTCCTTGCTCAGTTGGTGTCCTCATTGATCGTGGCAGTCAGAAGATGTTTTGGTGTGGCTATATGAAGGAATCAATATATCATGTGGCTATGCTTTTCTTTGGTGGTGCAGATGATAGAGAAGGACTTTCATGTGCAAGGCGCATGTTAGATCAATCTAATGTACATATTACTCTCTTTCATTTTTCATCTTCAACAACAGATATTGTTGGTGGAACAGAAAGGAGCAAAATGCTTGATACCCAAATCTTGAGTGAATTTAGGCTTAAGGCCTTTAGGAATGAAAGAGTTTCTTACAAAGATGAGTTAGTAACGAATGGAAGGGATGTGCTTTCAGTTATTGAATGCATGGAAAGTTGTTATGACCTTGTCATTGTTGGGAGGAGCCATGCACAGTCACAACTAATGTCTGAACTTACAAAATGGAAGCATGGAGAGTTAGGAATTGTGGGAGAGATTCTTGCCTCCTTGAACATTAAAGCCAAATCGTCAATTTTAGTGGTGCAACAACAAACTAGATTTTGGGGATCACGTGATCCTGAGGAGTCAACACATTTGAGAACAGTAAATTTATAAAACCTTATAGGCTTTGATAGCAACAATTATATATATAGACCTAGTTCATTTTGGATATAGATCATGTACCAACCTTGTGTACTTCCAAATTTAATTTTATTCCTTTCTTGCCTGTATTTTCTATTTTTCCCTTGCATTGATTTTGCTTATTCTAGAAGTGTTTTTTCTGCTTAAAAATTTATTCGTGGAATAAACCAATACAATAGTCAGAACATCAGTCTTTATAAAAGCAAGAAGCTTATCAGCACAAGAAAACTAGACTAGACCATGACGAAAAAACATCAAATTCTTTCTATTGCAATGATTGATGTTGCCACAAAGATCTCTATAGTTCCAGAGTCTTGTATAAATTAGGCCTTCTGTGACTTATACATCAAAGTGCAGACAACAAATTAAGAAGTCACCCACCTTCTGATTTGTATCTAAATGTTTAATGGCCTTGAGAAAGATGTACACAAATTGCTAAAAATGTTTATAGTTGGTTTTTAAATTTGATAATACTTAATAAATTTAAATTATATGTAAACTGTATATAAATCTGCCTCTGTATATGTACAAACACAACTGGTTTAACTAAAATATTATCAAATTTAAATAATAAAATAAAATGACATTCTCTTGCTGGACTAAATATTCAAAGGGATTGATATTATGTAAATAGTTTTTTTTTCAACATTTTAAAAAGTCACCTTAATTAAAATATAATATCAAATATTATAGAGTTGTCTAAATTTTAAAAAAAAATTCAAAACATCTTTTAAACTTTTGAAAGATACATTTCATCTTCATATCATGCAGTTGGGGATGGATTTATAGGGGTTGATTCTGACCCCTCCTCAAATTTTTAAAAAATAATTTATATATAGGTTTATTTCTTCTATTATAGTATATTAATAAATTTTTTTACTTTCGAGAGTGAGAACCTTTTTTCAAAGTATTCTATCTTAATGTTTTATGTGACTCCAACCATCTCAAGCATTTTTATTTTATCATTTTTAAATTTATTTTCTTAAATATTATTCTATAAAGTCTGTCAATTTTAATTTATTCAGTTATTAATATAAAAAACTTTCTATATCTATAAAGCACCAAAAGAATTCTAATAATATAAGTATAATTATTTTGTACTTAATATAACTATGCATATAGTTTGTTTATTTTTAGTCCTCCATTTTGTGCTTTCTGAATTTTTTTCCTGCAAGTGTTGCTACAAATTGCCTGTGCATGTTTTGAAGATAAAGCTATATTGATGTCACTTTCTTCTTTATTTTGACTAAAGGACCAAATTCCTAAATTATAGTAACATATCTAACATGGTACGTACCTCATCTCAGGCCAACAAAAAAGGATTATTTTTTTAATTTTCGAATTACTATTCTTGCCAAACCATTTATACCGGATAACAATAAACTAAATTGTCACTTTTCAACCATTAAGCTTGTATCTTCCTCCTCCATCCATTATCTAAACTCTCTCTTTCCATCATCTCTCTCACACACATAATTCTTTGAACTTTATTTGCATTATTCCTATCCTTAATCTGGGTATTGGCCATTGTTTTGATTAGTCTTTGGAGCATTAACTTTTCTCACATCTGAAAAAATGGAAACTAAAAGTGCAGATCTGTCGATTGTTTCTGGAATGATTGGCAATGACAAATTAATATGTCAATATGTAAGAAAAGTCACCAAAAGGGGTATTTGGCTTGGAGATAATCCCTTCAATCACATCACTTCTATCATAACAGTTCAGATTGTTTTTATGTTCATTATTGGTAGAATTAGTTATTTCTTGCTAAAGCCTTGTCATCAGACCCTGCTCATTGCACAGATTGTGGTATGTTTTCTTAATTCCATCACAATTAAGTGCTTTTGTTGGTTGATTAATTTGAGCTGTAATTATCAATTAGCTAGTAACTAAAGGAATTGAAGAACAACAACATTAACCTTTATATATGAAGATACCATTCATTTTGCATTTGGTTTTTTTTACTATCTAGGAAGAGCATAATTATTAAAAATATAAAAACATTTCACAGGTAAAGCCACGATTGTTTATAATTTTATTTTAAAATGTCTTTCAGGAAACCGGTAGAAAGGAGGCTAAATTAAATTTTTAATCACTATATTTATTACTGTTTTTCATTTTAATCTTTACATGTAAAAAATTTACATTTTAAACTTTTAAGTCGTTTACAAATTGATTCCTCTCATATGTCGAAGTTATTAGATTTGAAACTTGTAAGTGATATCATTTTTCGTTCTTTATATAAAATTTTATAATTTATTTTAGTCAATATATATATATACACACACACTTTAACACTTACATTTGACATGTCAATTTTTGTGTGGTCTTTTCATTAAAAAAAATTTAACACCATTATAACTTCTATTAATGATGGAGATTGATTTATAAATGATATTTTATATGAAAACTAAAATGTAAAACTTTTTAATTGAAGAACTAAGCTAAAAAAATTCTATATAGGTATTAAATTCATAATTTAACAAAAACAAATATTTTTTTCCAAACTAAACACATACATATAATCAAACTTTCCATGACATAACTTTCCTACAAGATTAGATTTCATCTGATGAAATATTTTGTTCTTTTTTCATTGCTTTCATCAGGCTGGAATCATATTAGGTCCTTTATTGCTGGGTACAAAGGATTCATATTATGAGCTGATATTTCCAACAGCAAGCAGATTAACACTCACAACATTTGCAGAATTTGGCATGATAATTCATTTCTTTAAAGTAGGAGTGCAAATAAATCCCATGCAGCACTTGAAGATTGAGAAACAAGCAGTGGTAACTGGTCTAATAGGCCACATGTCTGCAATGGCACTTGGCACTTCAGTTTTCAACATTGTTAGAGTAATGCAACCTTTGGCAATTGATGACCCTGGAACTTATGCTTTGGTGGTAATTAGTTCAGTGTCAGCATTTCCTGTTATATGTGGTTTCCTCACTGAGATGAACATTCTCAATTCGGAGATTGGAAGAATGGCATTATCCACTTCTATAGTTAGTGAAGCATGTATGTGGACATTTTATTTTCTTGTATTCAACATTTTAAGAGCCTTAAAAGAGCATTCATGTAAACCTATGTTGGAATTGGCCGTGACAGCATGTTTTTTCTCAATCTTATTCTTCATTCTAAGGCCACTTATTATATGGATCTCCAACCGCAATCCACAAGGAAAGCCTATGACAGAGAGCCATTTTTTGTCAATCATTTGCATACTTCTGTTTGTTTCATTCTCAGCACAAGTTGCAGGACAACCTTCTTTCCTTGTTGCTTTTTGGTTTGGTTTGGTGTTACCTGATGGTCCTCCTTTAGGTTCTGTGCTAGCACAAAGGCTTGACACTATTGGTTCTACTTTGATTGTTCCAGCCTTTTGTACTATTAGTGGGCTAAGGACAAGTGTTCCTTCGTTATCAAAATCAAAATCAAGTGTAGCTGTTATCTTTATTTCAGTGTTTATAGGAAAGTTTGTGGGCACCCTTTTACCCTCACTTCACTTCCGAATGGAATTCTGGGATTCTTTTGCACTGGCTCTAATCATGTGTTGCAAAGGCCTTGTAGATATTTCTCTTCTCAACATATTATTAAACTCTAAGGTACGTGGAATTGTGAAATACTTTCCCCCTATCAGTCTTTAAAGATAAAATTAACTTTAAGTAACTAAAAGTAGTAAGCTTTTATAAGAAAAATAAGTATTTATTACATTATAAAATGTAAAAGTGTAATAAATAATTTCTTTTCTAATAAGAACTAGCTGCTTTTAAATACTTACGATTAACCTTAAAGGCTGATGTTTACAAAACCATATGATCACACCTAGATTTAAGATTAGTATACACATCACATTTCATTTGTTATGTCTATATCAGACATCAGCCCACTAATTGTGCTAAGAATCCCAATTCATTGATCCAACAAGTTCTTTAAAAACAAAGTCATAAGTTGTTTTAGTGTTGTGCTATTTACTATTCAACGATTGATAATATATATTATGCTAATTTGCTTTTGTTTGATGTATATCAACAGGCAATAGGAGAACTATCTTTCACTCTTGCTATATATATTATGGTGGCTGTAACAGGGTTTGCAACTTTAGTTGTTTATTACATATACGATCCTTCAAGGAGGTATAGAGCCTATATTAGAAAATCAATTAGGGACTCTCAGCAGGACCTTGATCTCAAAATACTTGTCTGCATCCATAATGAAGAAAATGTGTATCCAATCATCAACCTTCTTCAAGCCTCCAACCCCACAGAGGCTACACCCCTCTCAATCTTTGCCTTACATCTCATGGAGCTCTCAGGAAGGGCAACTTCAGTTCTTACCAAAACTGAGAACACCAATAAGTCATCACAACACATATACAATGTCTTTGATCAATTTGAGCAGCATAACAAAGGGTGTATCACATTGCAATGCTTCACTGCAATTGCACCATATGCAAGCATGCATGATGACATATGTTACATAGCTATGGACACCAAATCTAACATTGTGATCATGCCATTCCATAAGCAATGGTCCATTGATGGAAATGTTGAGTTCTCCAATTCTTCAATTAGGACACTAAACCAAAAAGTTCTAAAGAAAGCACCTTGTTCAGTTGGAATTTTGATTGACCGAAGCCAATTGAGTGGCAAACTTTTAGTGATCTACGAAAAGCTATTTTGTGAAGTTGCTATGGTCTTCTTAGGTGGTGGTGATGACCAAGAAGCACTAGCTTATAGTTTGCGCATGGCTCAACATCCACATGTGAAACTAACAGTTTTTTGGATAAGGGTTAAAATGCAAGTGAACCAAAGGAATGTGAGGAACACTTACATTGACTTGATGGAGTATATGCATTATCATACTAGTAATAAAGGCAAAGTGACATTCAAGGAAGAGATTGTGGATGATGGAGCAGGAACAGCACAAGTTATTAGAACCATGGAGGGACATTATAGCATGGTCATTGTGGGTAGACATCATATGGCAGATAATCCATGTACATTAGGCTTAACAGAATGGTGTGAACTTCCTGAGCTTGGACCACTTGGAAACCTCTTAGCTACGTCAGATTTTACTTTTTCAGTTTTGGTGGTGCAACAACAACCCCCCTTTAGCTATGAATTACGGTATATTAGGTGAATCTCAAGAAAAAAAAAATTCCAATTTTGTTTGCTCTTTAACTCTAGAGAATATTTGTTATAGATTAAATGTAAGTTGAAATGTTGAAAGTCTTTGAGGTAGGTATATATTTACACCTTTCACCTTACGATATGTGAGCTGAGTATAAGGAGTAAATATTCATTTTAATTATTAAAATTGTAAATATTAGTTGATTAATTTAAGTCTTTAACTTCATAAAAATTTTACTTTAGTCCTTAATATTAATTTGAAAATAATTCATTTTAGTCCTTTTGTATTCTAATTGTGTGTGTATATATATATATATGAATCTGTAAAATAAGAGATTAAAATTAATGAGATTTTTATAAAATTAAAATCTAAAATAATTATTGCTTATAATTTAAGAAACTAAATTAGATATTTCCTTAAGTATAAACTTTAAAAAAAAAAATACAAGAGATTTCTCATCCCATTACAAGTATACAAGGTTGAAAGAAAGATACTCTAGCAAAAGCGTAAGTAACACAAGTTGAGACTTAATCAGAAAAATGGTAAGGAATGCCCTTGATTAAGAAAATAAAAGTATTTTTTTTTTCAATCCATTTAAATATGATTTTGTATTAAAAAAGTTATTATTTGCTATTATTCTCAAATTTTCGTTTTAAAAGTTATCCAATCAGATTTTAATTGATCAAAAGATGCATATGAAAATTAACTTGGAAAAGTGTCGTTAATCGATTGTAAGGCCTACAATTGATTACAAAAACAAATAATTAATACGGTTTATAAATTGATAAAAAAAAAAAACGTTTATCAATTATAGTTTAAAGGTGGTGTGTTATTTTTTACTTTATTTCTTTATCTAATTACAACAAGTATAGAGGTAATCTTACAGTATAGTAAATTTAACCTTATTTAAAAGAAATTGAGTATGTAATATGTAAATCAATCATCCACTGATTGCTCAAATTAAAATGGCCAGTTCACTATTGAGGTCATTAAATACAAAGTTATAAAGTTGAAAATAATATTTATATAACATTGTTCTAATATTAAGTCCCACGTTAGTGAATTAACAAAAAGAAAATCAAAGATTATACAAGTAAATAAGTTTTAGTCTACAAGTGTTTAAGGTATGTTAGAGAATTGAGTCTCTAGCTCAATTGCAAACACTCCTTTTTTCATAACATTGAATCGGGCCCATGTATTAAAATCTCAATAACACGTACGAAAAGATAGTAAAGTTATCATAGAGGTCTATCCATTGTACTTTCAATTACAAGAGTAAGCTTGGATTCTAACTTTAGTGCGCATGATCACCATGATTTGCATCTACGCCTTATTATCAAATGTACTACGAAGCAAGAACCTGAAACTATTGTACAAGTGGCCCATGATACAGCCATTGTGGCCCATTCTAGAAAAAAAACTTTAAAGGGTTCAAAATAATAATTTTAATATATATATACAGAAAAAAAATATCTATTCATATCAATTTAAATCTAAAAATTAACTTACATCAAATTATAATTTTATGTTAGTTATATAAAATACTTAAATTGAATAAAAAGTTTTTAGACTTACTTAATGTCCTGTTGTGATGTGATTAGAAATGCCATGGGTAGTTATTATAAAATCAACAATGAAATTTATACGGAAGTTTATTGAATTGGCTTATACGACAAACTTGTACAGAAGAAGAACAATTATGATGACAACTATACATATTTAATTGAATTTAGCAACTACGACTACTCATCGTACGTTTTCACCTATGCCACACATGTTCTTCTCCATCCTTCGCTTGTTTCACACTTTTATTTAATTATTCAAGGTAATTAGATATCTATCCATATTTTTAATATATTAATTGAAAATATTTAACATAATATTAATATGTTTATTGCAATTTTTAATCAATACAATTTAACATAATTTGAAATATTTTTTTCTACTTCTAATTCTTTAAGCAACATACGAATAGAAGGAACTAGGGAGGATTAGAATGATTAGTAAGGGTAGGGAGTTACATGTTTGGCACTTGATGAGATTAATATGTATTTGATTCATTCTGATTTAGAGAAATATTAGTTTTTAACTTTTAGCAAATTTGTGAGAAGGTATTTAAAAAAAACAATTATTAAACGCTCACTAAATAGATTAATGTAAGGGACATAATAAATTTATATTAACAATATATGTAATATATAGTACACTAATAAATAATTTTATTGATTAAGAGATTTTATATGTTATCAATACATCAAAGGTTAGTGTAGCACATTTTAATATTAATATAGATCTTCAATATCCTAACAATTAGACTTTTGTTATATTGAGGTTGTATTAATAAAGATAATTTTAACACTTTGGTATTCTTTCAAATAAAAAAATAATTTTGTGTATTATCTAAAGAGTTAGCTAGGTTGGATGGATGAATTATGACAATATGTCTGCATATATGGGACTAAAAACACCAAACAAACAAGGACAATGGATCCCCACAATTTTTTTTTTAAAATTCATCTTCTTAATCCAATTCCTCAAAATTGGGATAGAAAAATTTAAATCAATTAGTAAAAAAAGAAAACAATTGCTTTTGTGGTTGTGAACATGCAACTACTTAAGGGCATTCTTTTTCTACTTTTCCAAATAAATATTTTGATCCATTAACCATAGAAGAGGGGTAAAAGCTTGAAAGGAAACATTTTGCCTGGTTTAAGAATTAATTTATTCCTCTCAGTTATATTCTCAAACATGTTATATATACTTGCTATTATTTTTTCTTACTATTGAAGTTTAATAATGTACATCATATTGGATGATGACCAGAAAATGAAATTTACAGGGATGAATTTGAAATTCGTTAACTTCAAACACACATGGAGACATGTTCTTGTGCATCAAGTTTCTTTAAACTTCAACCATTGATGGAATTGTGCTTATTACATATTTACATCAATGTCAATTATTTAGGGTCCAATATTCAAAGCCTATATATAGTGAGATTTCAACTTATTCCGGGAAACGAACTCATAAGTGAAGCACAATCATGGGGTATCAGCTAGATTGAGAGATTATGAGTGTTAGTAATATAATTTTTTAGTATATTTTCTTAATTTATTTTTTATTTGGAAATCATAAAATAATGGCCTTAAATTAAGAATAAAATTTATATAACTTTATAATTCTCAACAAAAAAAATCAATTAATAATAAAAAATATTTAAAGAAGTATAAAAAAAAATGTTACTATATTTTTTGTAGATTCAACCAATTACCCTCCAAAATTTGGAAACTGAGCCCCGTGAACTTAGCGTCTTGCTCTGCCTTTTGTAAACAAAGTGCTAACTTACTCCTTTACTTTGGATCTCTCTCTTTATAACCATCTAATTACTTGCTTCTATTGTTTGCGATGCATTGTTTTTATGAATTTTAAATTTTTTATCATATCAAAACCTGTTTTTCTCTAAAAAGTAAAAAAATCTCAACTAGGAACTTATATGTGATTTTAACAATTTTTATTTGCCAAAATTATATATTCTTACAAATTTAGGCTGTTATATTAAATTAAAGGGATTTTTTTCTCCCTCCTCTATGAGCTAAATTCAGTACACAGACCAATCAATTTTAGCATGTGTTCACCTAGGCATCAATGATTAAGAGTCTATTTTCATGTCTTCAAACCATATTTAAGAAAATGAAGAAAATTTTGGTCAAACGGTGTTATTTGTGATAAGAATCTTGTACAAATAGGGAGAAACTAGTCAATTAGGCTGCTACATATTGGCGTACAAGCTTTGAAAGTTCAAACTCTATACCTTAGACGTGACTAAAGTTCTTGAAATGGAGAAAAATGTTTATTTTTCAAAAGTAGAAAAATTATGCCTTTATTTATGTATATAATTACATTTTTTGAGTATCTTCTATTAAGAGTAATTATATTTGAGTCAATTGAGACTATTATAGACATAAAACTTTTTCTTTGAGTATTTTACTTAGACTTAAAAATATAGTTTAAGTTGAAACATTTCTTACTAATTAATTAATTAATATGCTCAGTGGTACTCTAAAAGATGATTTTATTATTTACAATATAAAAAACTTTAAAATTAGAATTTAATTATATTACATTGAAAGTTAAAAAAATTACAACGTACCAAGATTAATCTCTTAAAGACAATTAACGGCGTGCGCGGGGGTATATATCTTTTGATTGAAAGACAATTAACATTCCTAGTTTAAAATAAATTTACCAATGCAAAATACTAATCAAATCGATGACTCTTTACCTAGTAAAAAGTGCATCCAATCAATCCTATACATATTTTAAGTTATGTTGTTTAAAATTAACGAAAAGTTAAACCATTTGATTTCAAAAAAAGTAAACAAATTAAACAAAAATCAGTTAATTTCAATTTCAGGTTCACCACAAGTAATGTTGATTTATATATACAAAAGAATTTTATTATACTGGTATGAGTTTAAAAAAATTTAGGATTTAGGTTTACACTCACTCTAAACCTTTTATTTAACTTACAGTGAAGTAATAAAGTATATTTGATTAAATATAAATTAAATAAAAATCTCATATTTGAATATAAGAATTTTTATAAGCTGCTTCCATATATATATATGATCCAAACGAATTAGTATAATAATATATGAATGAGTTGGAGTCTGACAAAGGGATGTGCAAAGAATTGTCTAATATTATTGTGGGAGAGAGGAGAGGGAATCCATGTGAAGAAGTGAGTAATTAATATGAAATAAGTTAAGAAAGATATGCCAGCTTTTTGCTTTGTTTCTTTATCAATGTGCCGTGGAAATGTCGCTATTTCAGAACTATGTGTTTGCAAGACAAGATAAGCTACCCACATTTATTTATTTTTTTTTATTTTCAATTTGTGAGTATTTAATTTGGAATTGTATTCCTCATTCACACCAATTAAGCAAACCCCATCATTGTTTTTTCTCTTTTTAATGTTTCTAATATATATCTTTTTCTTTTTGCCAAATGTTTCCTTCTTATTATGTGTGTAACTCAAAATCGTCTTGTGTTATAATGTCCTCTTGTGAGTAGTCATAATCTAATTCTCGATAATTTCTTCTCTTTTCATTTTCGTATTTGTTTTCTTAGTTAGCTGAAAGCACAAGTTATTCAGCAGTTTTGAATTTTTAATATGAGTAACAACGCGAATGGAGTTAAACTAACAGTTAATCCATCTAGTTTCATGTTGTTGTTTAACTTTCGTTCCTTTAATTTTCCATATTTATTAGTATTTTTTGTTTCAATCTAATTTGATCTCCACCGTTATAATATTAGTCTGTGAATTTGTCACTCATTTAAATTTTAATCTCTATAATTTTTATTTATTTAAAAATTGATCTCTATTTTTCATTATGAATTCATCATCCAAACAATAAACTTTCTGACCAAAATTCAAAGAAGCCGAAACCTTACGACTAGATATTTAGTTTAACCACAATTAACTCGTTAAAGCTATACACTCATTAACTAATGATTTATAACTCACTGGTTACATATTAAGGGATTTCTTTTTCTGTAAATGTTAAACATATGTTTTGAAATATAATATATTTAACGAAAATAAATTAATAAGAAATTTTTTTCTCATAGAAAACTCATATAATAAAAATTTATCACTTCCACAAAATTTTAGTATGTTTATTTAAACTTTTGAATAAAATTAAAAAAACTATAAAGAAAAACATCTTTTATTATTTTGATAAGCTAGTTTAAGTAATTTTTTTAAAAATAATCATATAATTACCTTTTTGACAAGAAAAAATAAATCATTTCATGAAGTGGTAATCGATAGACATCTAATTATTCCACTAACCTAGCATGAATTGACTCATAAAAAAAATAAAAAGGAATAAGGTTGGGGAGGGAGCAAGCGTAGACTTGCAATCATCAACCCTTCATCGGACATAATCTATACTTTTGCTTAAAAATTAAATAAGCTTGTTGCCCGAAATTCCCTCCCTTTGTTGCCTAAGCAAATAGCTTATGTATATGCTCAAGTTTTACTTTGACTTCTTGACAAGAAAGAAAAACACTTGTATATTTGCTAAATTATTGGTACTTAGATTATTGCTTTAGTTACAACTGTTCATCTCCTTAATTAATGTTGGAATAACACTTAGCCAACAAACAATTTGATCATAGTAATTGAAATAATAATGTCAGCTTAAGCCTTCTTCTCTTTTTTTTTTTACGTTTTTATTAATATATAGATTCCTTGACTAGCCATATGTGCCTAATATGCATGTTCCAACTAAATATCGAAAATAAACTCAGCTTAATCGTTGGAAAATGGGCTATCATTCAAATTTATTTAGATCATTATATACAGCTATTTATTTTGCTTTGAGAACAAAACTACTCTAAAATTTCGTTCGGATCAACCATTTAAGACAAAGATAAGCTTGGATTTCAAATTGTGGGTACAAATTAAAGTTCAACACTCATTTTTCTTCACACACATACATATAGAAGGAAAAGGAAGATATTTGCATGCAACTTGAGGTTGGGAATCGCTTGGTACAAACTTGAATTTTCACTCTCAGTAATTTTTCTTTCCTTTTTCTTCCCCTCGTTGGTGCAACGGATCAAACAATGGCAATTGGCAGGAGAAAAAAATTAAATTGGAAAAACAAATATAGGAAAGCAAAGTAAACAATTTTTATCCACAAAATCAAATCCCACTTACATTTATAAAAAAAAAAAAAAGTGTTTTGCTATTTTTCAACAATGAACCATTTTTTTATGGTTCAGCCTCTCCACCCCACCATGCCAAATTTCAACACTAACCATCATCGGCGATGGAAACAATTAGTCTTCCGATATACTCTCTAAATGAGGCCGCCATATTCCGACGCGGCCTTTCCGGCGATCCCGGCATGAAAATTTCTTCTCTTTAGTTACTATGTGAGCGACTTTGAGGTATCCTTGGCATTGTGGTGATGAGTAATCATCATCACTACGCTTGTTGCTTTTCTTTGATGATGATGATTTCTTGTTAAGATCACTATCATTGATGCTTCCCTTCCCGGCATGTCGTTTCTTCTCCGGCAACGAAGATTCCGGGATCAAGAAGTATATGCTACCCCTCTTGAGCTCAGTCTCCGGCGAGAGGATCAAAATCCGGCGAACAACACCCTGAGAGCTAGGTTTGCTTAGAATATGATTAGGGTTGGCTTCGAGAACCTCTCCTGCAGTGATTGAACGTGTAATCTCTTCTACATAGCCATTCAAATGAACAATTCGGATCAAGTCTAGAGCCCCACATGGAAGAACACAAGCCAAACAGCACCTTAAGCTGTTTCCCATTATTATTAGTCTATGAAAAAAATTTAAAAAGTAGCTAGAAAACTGATCTAGGGTTTGAATCCTGATCAGCAAAAAGAAAGAAAAATAGATAGTTATACTTATATATAACTATATGATTTCTCTGTGTGTGGCTAATCAAGCTTTGAAAGTGGTGGAATTGTTTGAACAAGGGAAGTGTTGGAGAATGAGGTGTGTATATATAGCAACATGACCGTACTTGTAATGCAAATGGAGGATTTAATAATAATTGTGGGGTGATGGTGATATGTTCTAGTTAATAATTATGAAACTGGCTCCATTCTAATTTACGATATTGCCCTCTCAGAAATAAGTGACTTCAATTTTTTGGGGTTTGGATTCTCACATGGTGGGGTTCCCTTCCTTTTATACGTATTTAACTGCCTTGTCTTCATTTTAAGTGATATAGTGACTGCTATATATTAAACTTTGCCTACTTTGGCTATGGATCCTTCTTCTTTTTATTTATTAATTAAAAAAAAGTGACAATTAATATATTTTGCCTATTGTGTTTGGTAAAAATAGGTGGATATATGTACATTAATAATTTATAACACTCGTTATTAATTGAATTATATAACAAAACACAACGCCCATGAATTGTGTGTATATACGTTCATTCAACTTTCTTATATTTTGCTTTAAATCAATGGTATATTTAGTTTAACGAGTTATTAGTTATATTTTTTGTGTTGAATTTATATTTATAAATTTTTTAACATGTTTTTTTAACATCAAAGTAAGTGTCTGTACACGTATAATTGTATAGAAAAGCTAAAGTTAGAATATACTTAAATAAAGAAGAGTATGCAATGAAATTATTCAGTTTCTCCTCTACTGTTATAACATTACCAAATATCAGTAAGTAAAAACAATTTTTGTATTTCACTTAATTTTCATGTATCTTTTAACTATGTTTTTCTACCGTTCTTATCAAGCATTCTCCATATTAGAGTATTAATTAAGATGAAAGTTAATAATTAAATTTGAGTTTGTTACCGTCTAACAGTGATTACGAGAATGAGAATAAGAATCATACTATATATGCTACCGCATTTTATCTTATAAGAAGTCATATAATTCAAATATTTATCTTCCCATTTTTATATTTTATTATTATTTTTATGTTGAAACACACACACACACCTATTAAAAAAACGAAAGAAACAAAATATCATTTCCCATGAACTGAGACCTTGGTTGATCAAACAATAATTTAGATCCAGAAGCTGCCATAGGAAGTAGTGTGACCTGTACGAAGGCTATAAATAACGATTTTTTTATTTCTAATGCAGAGTTTAAGAGTATCTAATGAAAATTAATAAATAATATTTTTTATTAAATATTATAGTATTTAATATTTTTAATGTGTAACTAAAAATTACTATTTTATTTTATACCTTCAAAAACACGTAAAAATTTGATAAAAGAGACAAAGAAAAATTGGAAAAAATAAACCAAAATTAGAAGGGTTGCTAAAGCCCCTATTAGTTTCTTAATTAATCAAACACAACTTCAATAATGACAAAACTAGAAAACTATGAAATCCGCGTGAAAGGGTAACCATGCATGTTTACCAAAAGAATTAGGTACGTATTGCATTAGGAAAGTACATATCTTCAAATACGTACGGCGGTGTGTGTCTAAAAGCTAAAAAACTACTACATTAATGATTAAGCACTTGCAATCCCAAACCAATATTCTTTTCTCAAATAAAATTAATGAGGAATAAGATTTGTTCTATACTAATTAATATAAAAAACTGGTATTAGTATTACTTCAAGTTTGCATGATAGCTACAATGTTTATAATCATTAGACATTCAATCAACATATTTAAGTATAATTACTACTGTTAAGTGATAATTTTTATGGTTTGAGGGTGTGTATTCATTTTGAATGTATTTGTATAGTTACCTGTGTATTTTTATGGTGGAAAGTACATGATCCTCTCAAGCAGCCAGGGCAATGATTCAACTTAATAATTGATGCAGTCATGCTAGTCATGCTATAGCTATCTTCATACATGAATTTTTTTGCCTTTTAGTTAAAATGTGGACCAATCTACCATTAATTAGTTCATATCCTAAGTCCCAAGCTACCTTTCATATATTTCTTATATATAATTGCTGGGAATGGGGACTACCATGATGTGATCTTTCTATTACTTCAAAAAATTTCTTTTCATGACAGATATTTGTATGTCCTTTTTTTCCATGAAAGAAAGTAGGTAATGACATGTACAACTCATAATTGATTAAACTAATAAGGTCCATATGTATATATAATAAAATATATATATATATATCGACCAATTAATGGATCAGAAATTTTGGTTAAAAGCGTGTGAAAATTAGACACCCTTTCAATTCTACAAATTCGGTGATCAGATCTCTCCATCGCCCCATATTTTTAATGCGTCAGAATACCTTTTTTTTTTATTCATTTATTCATAAAAATAAAATATTACTGAGAAGCCTAGAGATTCCAAAGTTACCAAAATTTATTTTAAAAAAGCTTTTTTGTTCCTTATTTATTTTTGAAAGTCATTTAATTTAAATTTTCAAATATAATTTTTTCGTTTCGTATATTTTGTTGTTATGCTTGTAATTTTACTGAATTTTCGACGTATATGGAACTATTATGTGACTGGCTTTTTCAATTATATGTTAGCTATATATATTTAACTAGTTAGCTGTATAACTGGCCTTTTTCTTTGTATTGATAATTAATCTCTCCTTAGAGGTAGTGAAAATTCAAACTTGATATGAAAATGCAAGAAGAAAAGTCTCTTACAGTTTGGACTAACATAATTTGGCTCTATACAAAAGGTTTTACATAATAAATCAAAAGAAAAACAATAAAAAAAAGGGTACAAAATACGACTACATATCGTGTAAAACTTATAATATATAGAATAAAATTATCATCATTAATCTAAGACATTGATCATGACATTGTTCTTCAACTCATATATATCTTACCAATATATTTCACCTTTGTCTTTTCCTTCTTCTTTAATCTTTTATTGTGTGGTATAACTAGAGTTTTTGGCAGATAGTAAAGTATTGGGGTGCTGCTAGCTAAGTGCGAAGACGAAGCTTCGTGGCCCTAAGGTTTCAGGCACCGACCACAACAGCTGAAAACCTCAATCAAACGCTTCTCTCTCATAAGTCATAAACAATTGTGGTGGTTAAAGGAACGCACGAGGCATGCCAATTACAAGATTCCTAGTGCACTATTAAATCTAACACAATGAGAGAGGCTTAATTAATTTGAGGTACTAAAACTATGCCACTAATCCATTATTGAACAACGTGAGCTTAGTCTGTCTCTACACTAAAGCCAAGGTGGAACCCCATTAATTAATTAACCATACTTCCTAATTTATCTTTCTCAAGGTCTAAATATGTGTAATTAAGTAAATAGCATTCATGTATAAATGATGGGTAATCATCATTAATTTGATTATTATTATTATTATACTATCCCCAAAATTAACGCAACCGTGGTACTGGCTACTATATATATACTCATAATCTTTCTTGTACCTATAACTATATAAACTGCGCACACCACCATCCTCGAGGCTCGTTCTGTTATCACATAATCAGTCAACTGAGTCAAGTGCATGTTCTTCTACTTGTGTAGTTAACATCCCGAGAAACTATATATATATATATATATCATCTCTAGGTACAGGATTGAGATTCAGATGCTTCGTCTTCATCTTCAGCCATATGTATATATATAATTGTCAATTAATAGCTGGCAATGTTGGTTAGCTTGAAGGGCTTGGAGGGGTGTGTGCATATATATTAAAAAACAAATTTACGTGACACATAATATTAATAATAATAATATATAAATATTACATGATTTAATGTATTTAAAATCATATAATAATATTAAATACTATAAGAGTTCGTATAAACTCACGTTAAAAAAAATGTGAATCTATAATCCACCTTTCACCCGCCCATAGAAAGCCAAAACAAATCTGAGTATTGTGCTTCATTAAATGTGATTCAGTGTATTAAGTTTAAAACAACCTAATAGAATGAGTGTAACAGAGTTAAAAATTAAACATCGTAGCAAATGAGTAAATAACTGGAATTTTTCAAAACATAAATAAATAAAACGGTGCTAGCTGATGATTCCTGAGTGAACGTGGTAACCCGTTTATATATATATACACACACACGACAAATTTAGGATTTGTACTATAGTACCATTTCCCGTAATTCTGCTTGGTGCAGAACTTGAGATTAGATTATTGGTGTTAATATTTTAGAAGATCTACCAAATCCTCACCCCCAAAATTTTTATTCATTGGTTTTCCTACTACCTATACGTAATATTAATGCACTACATGTGTGTTGCTGTATAAGAGGGCTCGTCTGAATTTAATGGTAATAATTAAATTCATATTGATATATGTCATTAAAAAGTTTAACTCACAATAATAATTGCTAAAGTTGGCTAAGCAGCCTAACGAAAAATAAAGAATCCTGATTATGTAAATTAAAATTTGCTTTAAATTTGGAGAATCTAAATGCATATACGAAGGTGCTTTTATGGGCCAAAGAGAACAATAACATAACTACAAAAATTTAACAATGTTAATGTAAATTCGTTTTAAATTAATTTTAGCTGGAAGGAGTACCGAAATAACATTAATGGTGAGTGAAATTTTTAATTTTTTACTACATGATAATAAACTTCTCTTCGTGATTTAAATAATAATTTTTATTTAAATACAAAACATAGTACTGTTGATGTTTGTCATATTATTCTTTAATTAAAATTATAATTTTACCTTAATAATCTATAATAACATTAAATATATAAATATTTTATTAAAATAATACTCTAATTTTAATTAATAAAAAATACGTATAAAGAATAACATATAAGTTTTATTTTTTATTTAAATAATATAATAATAAACAATTAAAAGATGGAACAGTTCTAGAAATATTTTCTCTAATTAAAACACTTCTTATAATACACTAATTATTAGTTAAAATTTTAAAAAATATATATATAAAAATATGAAAAAATATCATTAAGTTATGAGGTAGAAAAAGAGCAGAATCTATATAATTTTTAATCATTTTTATCTAAAAAATAAAACAGTGTTAAAAATTATGTTGATATATCTCTTAAACGATAATATTATTTTAAAAAATTGACAAATGCATAAAAATTTAAAAAAAAATTGTGAGTAGTTTCACCCATTTCTTCAAACATAGATTATTTTTTGTTTTTGTTTTAAAACAAAGACATAAATTTAGAAAAAAAAATCATTTTATCCATAGATCATAGACATTGAGTTAGTTTGTATATATCAAATATGTGTGTGGGTATGAGAGAGAGAGATGCAATAGTTAAATGGAAAAATAACTGTAGGCAAATTATTTGGGAAGTGTTGGTGCAATGTCCATCTCTTAGTATGTAAAGCAAGTAAGGCTTGATTTCCGGCACTGTCGAGATCTTGAAATGGCTGGTTGAAGATTATTCAAATAGACCCTTCATCATACTATCAATCAATGCCTATCTTTTGTGTTGTTAATGCCTTTGGTTTTTTCTCACTGATATCGATACTACCTTTTAGATTTTTCTTATTAGCTCGCTTTTCCTTTGTGGTAAACATTCAATCTTCTTTGCTAAAATCGTGTAGTAAACAAACTGGCCTTGCATGGAGACAAGCTATTATCCACGTATATATAACTTTAAATCATTAAAAATGTTATCATTAATTTGTAAAAGCTGATCAATCAATTATAAATTATTAATAAATGATATCTTTTTAGGTGATGCATAGACACAAACATAAATTCATGATAATTCAAACACGAATCTAACACAAATAACCATCTGTAAGTGTAGCATGAACATGAAATCAACTTCATTGTGCATATATATTCACATTAATTAGAAAAAAAAAAACTTTAAAATCTTTAATTTCAATTACCAAGCATACATACAACCTAAAACCTGATTTAACCAACACTATTGATAAGCTGAATGGATAATGAAGATCTCATAATACACAAATTTCAATCCGAAACTGATTAAGCTGCACATCGATATAGTGAAAAACGTAAGTATTTATATATATATAGTATTTGCTTCATATGTGAGAGTACCAAAAAATGCAAAGAAAAAGAATATACAGAATCAACTTTGGTGCAGCGGATCCCCCGGGAAGAATTATTGTATTAAACCCAAAGAAAACTTTAAAAAATAAAATTGAAAAAAACAATGAGCCTATTCTCTTTTCTTCAGTCAGAAAACCACGCACAAAAGAACAAATGCATCTCCAACTATTGTCACATCGTTTAATTTGAATGGAATATATAAGAAGTAGGTGAGATTGTATTCTATCTTATCAAATTTTCATATTACTATATACCTGACAAATTGGCTGTGCATGTTAAATTAAGCTTTACCTCAAGATGTTATTATAACTACCAAATCTAAATATCTTTTTTGTGAGCATTGCTTCATGTTTCGAAACATTGAATGGGATCTTGGAGAACGAAGATCGAGATCAATTTTAAGCATTGATGTTAACTGGCATGGCCTATAAATTGTACTATATGATTTCTATCCACGAGTGGGTTAGGATCCAACCAAATCTAATCTAATATTAAAACATTATTGTCTCGTCCTAGAAAAATTGGTTCATGATAGCCATATCCATATTTTCCGCGGTGCATGCACCAGTGATCAATTGACTACAATCAAATTGAATGGAGATGTGCAATCAAATTGGTATTGATTAAATTCCTTCATAAATTTTGCAATGTTGAATATGGTTGGTGTGTCCTAAAAGATGTGGTAGGAGGATTCATAAATCAGATTTATAGAGTATTGATCAATGTAAAATTACATGCCTCCAAACATAGGTGGGTATGTGGGGGCGTCCATCTATACTATTTTGTACAAGTCTATAATTAAATGGACCAATTTATGTAATTGTTCATTTAAATGTATCTATATTTAATAAATTTATATAAGCTTGTAGTTAAATAATAGGTCAGTGCGTAAGATGGCCAAAAATATTTTTATTTGAGTTTTTATTTGTTAATTTTTTATGAAATTTTAATAACTAATGTATAATAGTAAAATTTTAATAAAAAAAGAGAATTGTTTATTGTACTTTTATAACTTTAATATAATAATATATGTTTTTTCATAAACCCTGAAGAATAAAGTTAACAAATATATTTCTTATTTATATTTAAAATTTTATAACTTTAAAATTATTAAAAAATTTAAAATTGATTTTTTAATTTATGTTAATTAATAGGTTGGTCAGCAAACTCACCAGTTATACCGGCTAACTCTCAGATAATTGTATTTAAATAAGTCACATTTTTAAGCTCAATTCCATAAATTTGCAGGTTTTTGCACACCAGCCTAAGCCAAGGCTTATATATTTACTTCTAATTCCAAAATACAAGTTTGATTGAAATGAGTTTTAATTATTAACTTATCTTAAATTTTGATTGAACTAAATTTTTAAACTTAAATCCGTACTTATTTTCAAAGAAACCCGTCGACATATATAAAAATTTAATTGAAATCGAATTTAAGTAAGATAGAATCAGCTTCTTCTAAATTGAGACATTTATAATAACACAAATATGCAATATTTACTATTTCAATTAAATTTCAATATATGTGTAGATAATTAACTTAATTTTAAAATAAGAACGAGAAAAAGGAATTAGTCTTCATTGTCATATGTATGGTATTCTTTTCATAGCATATAGCGCTACGTTACAAGTATACTATAAAACATCCTTTTTCTATTTTATTTAATTTTATTTTCTTATTTCTGTAGCCTAAAAGGGTATACACGAAAAGAGACAATGAAAAACTAAGTCAAATTTGTTAGGCTAAACTATTGAATAGAAATATAAATTGATGAATATAAGTTTATTAAAAGAAGTTATATAAAAAATCGAGTATTAATCAAATCTATGCAAATAGATACCGAGTTAAATTTTAGGACATCAATGAGAGTTTCTTCCTTTTTTTTTTGAGGTACAAGTTAGATCCAATGATACGCGTTGAAACACACTTCCTTAAAAGAACAAGTTCAGTTGACCCAAATAAAAAAAAAGAGTTCAACTTGGATTAACACTTTGTTTCACTATTAACCCAAGTGTGGCTAATTAACCTCTAATGTTTATTTGCATTTATTGTTAAAAAATTATATGAAATTTCATATTATTGTTTCATACTTTATATCTTTTTTTCACGTAATTTTCCCTATTTTGTTATATGAATTGACTGATAAGATTAAGGATCGTTGCAAAAATATATAAAAAAAAAAGGTGCATTTTTATTGTATGGGAAGCTTGTCTTCAAATCCTTAAGATAGAAAAGCCCTTCTCATGTCCTATTCAATCTTTCAAGCCGTTGGCAAATAGTCTAGTTGAAGACAATAAAAGTGATGGAATCAGGAATAGATGACAATGGAAGCGCTACCATTGCACCTTAAGTAGTCTTTGGTCGAGATTGTCCGATAACTTAAGTTGGGTCAAACTCGATCTTTATAGTTGATTATCATAGCATGTTAAAAATATGTTAATATATCAAAAACAGGTTTAGAACTCCAACATACAAAAGTTACGGATTAATACGAGATTAAAACATGCTTGAAGTTAGTAACAAAAGAAATTAACTCCTGCAACTGCTTTTGCACCACTTTATAATATTATGATTTATGAAAATTTTGTAAAAACAACATATTTGAGTGTCTCCAGAACCCTGCTTAGTGTTTAATTGTTTATCAACAACTGAATTTTATCTTTCTGCTTAGAGTGTTATGATTCATGCCGCTAGCTGCGTGATCAGCAGTAGAATGCAGGATTACTGTTGACAAATTCTGGGCGCAGCTTGAAAGCGCTTCATCAAAATACTTAAAAGGCTCTACTTCTCAGTATCAGATCATATTTGGATAAAGAAAGACGAGCAATAGGGCTTAGAATAGAAAATGTTTTTAAGTCTTAAAATGAGTTTGTCTATAAACGATCACAAGTTCATCCTTAAACATTAATAGGTTATGATCACGTTTTTCTTGGAATCAACGATAAATCCACATTCACTTCTAAACTTGAGTCTAGTCTTATAACAATATGCATAAACAAATTATCCACGATCAAGCAAAGATAGCTATTGCTCAATCTCTTCAGCTACTTGCAAGCAAAAGGAGAAGAAAAACAGAATCTTCCCGGGTGCCAATCAAACTTCATTAACCCAAACCAGGATTTGCAAATATTGATAAAGGCAGAAACCATTATATATGGAGAAAGTTAGCAAATATTAAAAAACATGAATAAATAGTGTTTATGAATCTCACAAATCAACACATTAATAAAACAACCCAATAACTAAACTAGTAGCCCTAACCCACTCCACTAACTACTGAAAACTACCAAATTTCTTAACCGAAACCGCCATTAGCCTACTCACAAAGGCTTATGAACGAATCTTCTTGGCTAAAACTAACAGAGACAGGACCCAAATCCTTTTTCCAACACACAAAAAGAAGAGATCATCATCCTAGTCCCTGTAACTGTCAGGACTCTAGCCTTGAACTGAGAAAACTAAAACTATAAGAGGAAATGGACATATATTGATCAAATTTATTAAATTTCGTGATCAAGTATGCTCAGTCATAATTCTAAGTAATCAAACTTGTGTCATAAATCTAAGCAATCAAATTTTAAACTCGTCCTGCAATAATGTAACAGTTGAAGCAAATCACCAATTGGAACCCAAATTTTACAACAGAAGCGTTTACATAATTCATCAAACTCAGATGGTATTAACTTCAGAATATAAAAAAATAATATATAACATAATGATTCTAATTCCTAACCAAAAAAACATACAGTGCTATACATAAATAGCACGAGGTCACAAATTTTTAACACTACATTTGTGACATCCAAAACTTTGTATTCTAATTACACTTCAACCTCATTCATACGTACACACAAGAATCAGTACCTTCCTACCATCACTTTCGGCCCCCATTTGATCCACTGCTTCCCTGAAACAAATCATTAAGCCGAGCTTCAATGTCCTCCATTCCAAACTTGACATACTTATCAGCATGCTTGCCAAGTTCCGGGACATTGTGGAACCTTCCAATGAAGCTTGCATATGCAGGCAACAATATCTTTTCCAGCGAAATCCGAATTTCTTCCCTGAGCTGTTCATCAAAGACTAACCACTGAGACTGCACCCTGCAAATCTCCTCAAAATGATGGTTGAACAACTTGAGCTTCTCCTTCATAGGTTTTGCCGCCATTGACATGGACCCATTATTCTCCACTTTGAGAAACCCGAGCAACTTGTTCCAGGAGCTTCTTTGATAGCTCACATGGCATTGCCGGACTTTGCCAGTGTGTTTTCGAATCCAATCATCGCCTAAAAGTGTTCCCAATTCACTATCTTTAGCCTTCTGAACAATGTACCTCCCATTATTCATCATGAAAACAGAGCACAAAGCAGGGTCCTTGTAGATTTTAGATTTCGCTTCCAAATTGCGTTCTAATATGTCCATAATCCAAGTGATTTGAATAGAAAACGAGGAGTTAGGTTGCAATTGCAATTGCAACCTATCCTCAAGCTGAGGGTAATCCTTCAATGAAACCTCATTGTCTTGGAAAACTAGTTCTAGGGTTTGCCGCGACCTACATGCGGCGCGGAGATAGTTCATCACATAGCGTGTGATCGGATGAAGTCCGCCCCCGGGAACCGCCGCCTTCACCGGATCTCGGCTAATTAGATTCTCCAATTCCATGAAAATTCCCCTAATCGCTTCCCCCAACCTCTTCCAAATCGTGACGGCTTCGTTAACGAGGAACGCGCAGTACTGATCGGAGAACAACAATTCGAATTCGGGAATCAGGTCACGCATCGTCTCGAACACGTCGAGGACTCTGAACAACCGTTCCGGCGAGCGGCTCCCGATCGCGACGGCGTCCGCGAAGTTCAGCAGCTGAATCGCCGATCCGCGGCAGACCTCCATGAAGGAGAGATCGGCGGAGGAGGAGGAGAGGCCGGAGAAGACACGATCGCAGAGACGCCGCTCGCTAGGGAACAGAATCTTGAGAGCGACTTTGGACGCCTTCATCCATCGCTCAATCTCATCTTCGAGCTCTTGCCAGGGCATCTTGTGAACCTCCGAAATACTCAGTTTCTGCAAACCTAACCTCGACATGCTCTCCTCCAAGAACTCCCTCCGGCAAACGCCATACACATGCGAACACTCTTTCCCGAACCCCGCCGCCACCATGCGCTTCGCAATCTCGCGGAGATCGTTCACTGTCCCCGGCGGCAGCGAGTCGATCACTACGTCGTAATCACTCACCGGCTTTGCCACCGGAATCAGGTCATTGCCGCCGCCGTCGTTTTCTTCTTCTTCGTCGTCATCCGAGTCAAACGGCGAGTCGTCGTTCCGAGTTGAGCCGCCGTTGTTCCGAGTCAAGTCGTACAAATCGCCGCCGAGCTCCATGAGAGAGCGGAACTCATCCTCCGCGCGGAACATAGCCTGTTGAAGCATCTCATCGGCGCGTAGGAGGCACGCGCCTACCTCCTTGTCACTAGCCAGAGGACTCCAGTCTTCGACAGCAGCAACGAGTTCGTCGACGGCAGCGAGAAATGAGGCGGAATCAGCGGAGTTAGACCAGATAGATTGATCAGAAGACACGTGGCACAAGATCCGACGGTCAATAGAGTTAAGTTTCTGTTCGAGTGCAGCGCAACCCATGGGATCATTCCCCGCACCATCGTCAGATAGCTTCTCTTTGGAGAATCTACCATCGAAGTTGGAGAATATTTGGAGGATATCATCGGCTATGTTGTGGTTGTTGTGGCCCAGCGTCTTTGCTATGTGCCGCGCCACAGCCAGCAATTTCTCTTCCCCGTTTTCAGCCATTTTGGTCACCGATCAGTGAGGCTTGGTTAGTCACTCTTAAAGAAGGGAGCACGAAGAAGAATACGAATTTGGCTTCTCGAGGGTTGAATTTGAAATGACGGATATGCCCCTGAAACGACGCGGCTTTTGGTGAAACAGTGAAGTATGGAAGGGTAAAATGAGGAAAGTGAAGAGCCCAGAGAGAAAAGAGGATAAAGTAGAGAGAGAGAGTGTGTGTGCCTAGTCGGGACCTGGAAGGTACGTGACGAAAACGTTGAAAACGCATTTTGATGGCGTTTTTGTTCGCTTTCTCTGTCTTGTCCTTTTCCATTGTCATTCCTTTATTTTATATTGTTTTCTTTCATTCATCGAAGCTTCTCCACTTCATTTTTTTACGTGTTTTTCTTCTTTGACCGGAGTTATGTGTCTATTTGAATGTTGCAAGTATTAGAGGTAAAAACGGTTATCAATTTTTGGTTGATTTCTCTTCAATACTACTATAGTCGGTGTTCACACACTTTCAACATCTTCAACACAAATTATATAACTAATTAATTAATTATATGCTAAAATTTTTTGTCAAAAAATATAATAATTCTATAATATTAAAGAAGTCATATACTAGATCATATTTTTAATTCTTTAATTAATGTTTTTAGGACACTGGTTAGCGAGATCCACAGTTTTATTATAAAAAGATGTTGAAGAAAATGTTTAGAGAGATGAAAATAACATTTAATACATAAATTAAATGCATAATATTATATTTTTATTTAAAATTTAAAGTATAATATCGAATTAACAGTAATATTAGTTTTAATAATGTGATGCTAAAGTTAATGTTGATATTCTTAATATTTTTTGTTTTAATACAGTAGAAAAGTACATCCACTTTTTGTCTTTATCTTAAAACAAGATGAAACTTGTTTACTAATTCAAAAAGAATATAGTTTACAAGTTTAAAAGTAGTTAGTTAATTAAATAAAATGATTCTTAAACTGAGTTTCCGTTTAATTTAGTCTTCACTCATCCAAAATCGTACAATAACTTTTTTTTATATATAAAAATTAAAGTAAATTGAATAAAATTTACAAAATGCGTACATCTAACGGAGTAAATTCTTATTGTAACATAAATAGGTTGTAAATAAATAATGTAGCAATAACTTTGAAGAATACTTAAAGATGTCACGAGATTAGAACTGTAGATAATATTTAATAATTATATAGTTATGTACATATATATTAAAATCTTCCTTATTTAAGTAATATACAAATAAAATTTCTCAATCATACATAAAAATAAAATTATTAATTAAATAGTAATCATACAATAAAATAAAAATTATGTATATTTATTTAAATAGTAATTAAAATTTTCTTGTATATGGCTATGTTTGTTTCTAATATAATGAGATGGGCAGAGATGAGGATGCAGTGAAATGTATCAATTTCTGTTTATTCACGAGTTTGGATGAATAAAAAATGGTGAAAAGAATATTATAATTTAAGTGAGACTTGTGTGAAAATAATTCTTATTATATTTGTCGTGAAATAAAGATAAAATTTGGGTCCAAAATTCAAATTTATATATTTATCCTTGTAAAAACTTTTCACCCCCTAAATTTAGAGTAAAATAGTCTGAGTAATTTAGATAAAATATATATATATATTAATACACGTTTCAATCTATTTAAACACAAAAAAAAAAAATTAACTATTTTTTCATTCTGATTTCCGTCAAATCAAACACCATATTATTTTACTTAAAATTCATTTTTTTATTTTATTTTACTCTTCTATGTTATACTTTAGTAACTAAATAAAGTGTAAGTTTTGCCTTTAGTCTGATTTGGTCTACTTTGCATAAAAATTAAAAAAAAAAAAACTAATCTACTATAGGATAAAAAACGTACTTTTCTCGGAATATAGAATTTGCAGTTAATATTATGTATATGTTTAAGTTTACGTTTAAATAATTTATATTTATATTTATTTTAATATAAAAGTTAACTCACGTTTATATGAATTTTAATACATTCTAAACATATAATAAATTAGTTCGAGTTCAACAAATGAGATAAATTAATATCACAATATTTATAGCTAGATTACATTTTTCTCCCATATCCACAAATATTATAGTTTAAAAGAATATCAACTATAAACAATAAAAATTTATTTAGGTGAATTTATAAAAAAAAAGATCAATATAAATAATAAATAAAAATTTTATATAAATTAAAAATATTTTATCTCTTTAAATTCTAAAGAAGTTGAGTGAGAAAACTTTTCAGAACTTTTAAAAAAATAAAAAGTATAAATTATTTTTAATTTATAAGATAAAATTTATTTATTTTTTATGCTAATTTTTTCTTTTATAAACCATCCTACGAAGGTTTACAAAAATATGACCTAAATTAAAATAAAATAGTAATGGAATTTGCTTTTTAAAGTTGGAAAATGAAAATTTGTGAGTTGTGTTCCCAAACCAAAAACAGCGTGCTTGAGATAGTTTTAAGCACGAACCATGACTTTTCCGTTTGCACATTCATTCCTTGTCTGTTTACTTTTTCAAGATCTTATTAATGCCCTTGTCAAAGCAAGTTACATTTAGCTGGTTACTTAAAAAAAGTTACTCCCTCTGTTCTTTTATAAAAATATTATAATTAAATTACATTAATTAAAAATTACTAAATTAATTAATATGTTGATTTAAAAAGTAGATTTAATCTTTTTAGTTAAAGTAGAATGTTATTATTGTAGTAATTGTTAAGAAGTTACAAAAATTTAATAATAAAGAGCAAATATATACCTATATAAAATAATAAATGTTTGTAAGATAAAAAAAAAAGTCTAAAAAATTCTTATAAAAGGAACCAAATGGAATAAAAGCTTACAATTGTTTTTTTCTAAAGGTCTTCTCATGTATATAATTAATAAGCAGATGTTTACAAGTAATTAGTGAATAATCCTTAAATCTAGAGAAGATCTTATGGACAATCCATTTAACAGCGGGGTAGTGATCGCTTTAAAGTTAAACCTCACGTTAGCTTATGGTACAAATGTTCGGGTTTGGAAAATTTTTTGAACAAAAGAAGAAATGAAATAAACATTTTTTATAAATTTTAAATTACAAGAAATGTTTTAATTATTACAATAAAAAAGCCTTCAAGAAAAAAAAAAACCTGTGTACTTAAGATTTTAAAGAAATTAAATAAAAATTAGTATTTAATTTATTAAATTTTAATTTGATTAATCAAAATTTGTATTTTGTTTTGGTTAAGGTAAGAAATCAAAGTAGATCAGTTTTCATAGTCCATTCTCCCGTTGTTTTATTTATTTTGAACATGAGGTTCTCATTCTTATAACAATTGATTGGCTTTTTTTTAGCTTTTCGTAATTATCATGTATGATCATTATCAAAAAGAAAATAGAAAATACTATTTTTTGTGTATATTCAACCAAAGAAAGTGTATAAAAATTATTTTATTGTTGAAATAAAAATTTTCAGTTTCAGCTTTTAAGTAATTAACACCATATTTAATACAGTATATATTTCCTTTATTTCTTACTTACGAGTCCACTTAAGCATAGTTTAAAACCTTGGGCACAATAGACAATAATCCAGTAATCGAAGCCCAGTTGAGTTGCTGAGTTGAGTTGCGTTGAGTTGGGTTCTAGGTTTTCCTCTTTGGACACACTTCAACATTTCAACACTTCATCAGCATCCACACTCACTCGCTGCACCTTCATCTCGATCCTTCGGTTTCAATGGCGTCCAAGTTCGGCCTCGCCGGAGGGATCCCTGAGCGCAAGGTTCGTCCAATTTGGGACGCCATTGATTCTCGCCAGTTCAAGAACGCTCTCAAGCACGTCACCACACTTCTCGCTAAGCACCCTAATTCCCCTTACGCTCTCGTAAGATCCCTAATTCCAAGCCTCAACGCGTTGATTTCGTTCTCTGTTTACGGATTCATCTTTTTATGTGTTATGGATTTTCCAATTAGGCTCTGAAGGCGCTCGTTTTGGAACGAATGGGGAAACCTGATGAAGCGTTCTCCGTTTCGCTCAATGCAAAGGAATTGCTCTATGCTAACGATGCTCTGTTGATGGACGACCTCACTCTCAGTACCTTGCAGATTGTGTTTCAGCGACTGGATCACTGTTAGTGTGCTTCATTTATTTTATTTTATTTTATTTATTATTTTATTGTTTTTGCTGCTGTGTTTGATATTGTTATATGCAATGTTATTAAAAATCAAACTGGAGATTGAACTGGTTAGAGCTTGTCTTAGTGTCTTTTGAAACGTTGGTTTTATGTTTGTCGTCTAGTGTGTGTTAGTTATTGACTAAAGTTTGTGTTTTTGAGCAGTGGATTTGGCTACCGGCTGTTATGAACATGCTTGCAGTAAATTCCCTAATAACTTGGAACTGATGATGGGTTTGTTTAACTGCTATGTTCGTGAGTACTCGTTTGTGAAGCAACAACAGGTTTGCCTTTGTGTGTGTAGGTGTTGTTTAATTGTAGTTTTTCCAACTTCACCCTTTTTCTATTTTCTGATTGGCAGACAGCTATCAAAATGTACAAGCTTGTTGGAGAAGAGAGGTTTCTTCTCTGGGCAGTTTGTAGCATCCAATTGCAGGTTATCCCCACTTCTTGTTTTTCGCCTTCACATCTTGTGCAGCATGATTTAAGACTGTTTATTAATATTCAATGCTCAGTCAGTTTGAAAGGGAATAATATGATTGGAAAATGTTGCCATGATACAATGGATTGATAAGAAAATAAAGTATATTAAGAATGTCATGATCACTGCTAGTACATGTACAACAGTAATAACTAATAAGTTGATTTATTTACAGTTTGTGCTGGCCAATTTTCTGTTATTTTGGCTGGCTTAATTTTAGAATTAACATTGCTTTGATTCTTGGACTTTTTTTTTCCCCCTCTTCTGTTGGTCACAATTGTGATTGAGACAGGCTTAACCGCTTAAGAGATGATGGTATTTTTTACGGCCATTGTCCTCTTACACGATTGCACAAAGAACATGTCACAGTAGGACAGATTATGAAGTAGTGCATAAACTTTCTAATTTGTGTCAAACATATTTACATCACACATTTGGTAGAAAATAATATAGTTTTAAGAAGGTATTTTACATGCAGCTCAGATTGATCTCAAGGCCTGTGGGTCACCAGAGCCAAGATCAAAGCTGCTGATGATTGCAGTAGCTCAACTGTCTGGTCTGGTTTCAGGTTCAAGAAACTTTTGGTTGCATTGATAATGAGGCTGTATAAGTATATGTATAAGTCTGTGATGTACGGCAAAGAATCTACACAGATGCTATTAGGTTTAGGATAATGGTGATACAGTTATGAACATGTTGCGTTGCCTGGATAGCCAAGTATATCTGACTAAAGAGCCTTGAAGCTATAACCATCTATGTCATTCATAATCCATTATATTTATTATGTTACAATGATATTGATATGGTCTAGAGTTGGGCAACTTGTAGTTGATATCAATATTTGATGGCTAATATTAAAATCTTTTCTGAACCAGTCTCCTCAATACTACAGTGCCACTTATAATTATATGTAACTTGGTTTTAAAACATGACTGACCTTATGCATCTAGATTAATAGTTTTTTGTGAGTCTGTGACATTGTTTCTGGTTTTCTTTCACCTATATTAAATTATTCATGATGGTGGGGTTGATATTATTCTGTCTGAAACATTCTATTGACTTTTTTTATGGGAACTGGGCTCCTGATAGGTGCTTTGTGGCAATGGAGAAGACAAGCTTCTACTTTTAGCTGAAGGCTTACTCAAGAAACATGTTGCTTCACATAGCTTACATGAGCCTGAAGGTGATCATGTTTCTTTCTTGTTCATTTCTGATTATTTTAAAGGAAAAGAAATTTATTAAGATAAAAGGAGAAGCTAAGAGAAATTGGAAAACAAGATATCCTCCTAAGAAATGAGTATACAAAGCAACCCACTCTGTACACATATCTCTGAGGGAAACCTCTTCAACAAAACTACTAGAATTACATCATGTAATGGCTAAACATCTTATCCTAGCCCAAACAAACTACTCACTCAGAGAGCTCTCCTCAAATATTTAATAATTACATTCCAACCAAATGCTCCAATGCATAGCTTAAGCATGTACTACACACTACCAGAAATGTTTGCCCTTTTAACATAAACCAAAACCAGCAGAAATTGGTACAAATTCCTAGTACACTCCCAACATTTTCCAATGGTGCTAAACAGAGAACTCCATAAAGAAACAGCTACAGGTATAGATCAGTGTAGAAAGAGATGTAGAATTTACCTTGAGCTCATAGCCCATATGACACATACGAGATGAAATAGTGTTGTCCTTCACTACTCCTGTGACCTAGGAATTTGTAATGTACATTGTTATTAATTCTGTGATGGACAGCTGTTCAAATAAAGGGCTTGTCCTTAGACAAAGATTTAGACTTCCAAATGGGTTCACCAAGATGGAGCAAAACTGTATTTGGAGAATGATTTAAAAGAAGGATTTTAATGAAAACACCATAGAAGGCTTGATGGACCAAATCCTCTTATCTAGACTAGAGGATAGAATGACAAAGTCAAGAGAATGGAAGAGAGACTCTGATTCAAAGGATTCTGTATCATTTAAGTAACAGAAAAGTGAAGGATTCCAAAGAAATAGTGGAATCTTGACATGAAATCTAAATTGTGGATAGGTGAATTGTGTCAGGAAGAAAGATGAAAAAGATGAGAGAAAGCAAAACTAGAAGAGGAATCTCCTACCCAATTATTCTTTCTTATCTATTATGATAAACCATTAGATTTTCTTGTGTCATTGAACAAAACAAATAATATGTGTGTGCATTTAAAATTTTCAAATCTGGTTGCAGCTCTTATGATCTACGTTTCCATATTGGAACAACAAGCCAAATTTGGGGATGCTTTGGAAATTCTCTCTGGGAAATTGGGATCACTATTGACAATTGAAGTTGATAAGCTACGAATGCAGGTAGTCTGAATAGTTCCTTTTGTGTAACTTCTGTTTAACTTTTGAATTGGTATGTTTTTTTTATTATTATAAATGACTATCCAATTAAATTAAGGGGACATTGGTATATGGACGGATGTTCTTCATTGGTTGATGTGGTGGAAGTCATAATCATATAAATCTGTGTGTTCCAAGGTTAGTGGAATATGTTCCATTTCATTCAGTATTATCATGATATAATATTTGAAAATAGATCCTTTTGGGGGAATTCTTTTTCAAATTCCTATTGTAAAGTTAAAATTTGTACAAAAGTGCATTATTTTGAGATTTAATCTGTTGTTCGCTGAAGTGCTTCTTTTTCAAGGAGTGTGGAATAAATGTGTATCTCTTTCTTAATTGAAGAGACAGATCACACACATTAGGAGACAAAGCCTTGCTAAATATTATATAAACCTGCAAAATGTCATTAGAATTAATTCCATAAAGTAGCATTGTCCAATGGGAGATTTGACAATAGTGGAAGCTTTGAAATTCCCAAAGTGTATTTTGGAGAAATGGAAAGAAAATACGAGTATGCTTTACTACAAAACACACCTGAAGAATCAGTCTTTCAGACATTTTTGTCTGTATGAAAAGATAAATGAATCAAATCAAGCAAAAGGAAGAGTGAATTTGCATTGAGCTAGGATTGTTTTAATGCCTTCCACTGGTGCTTTTCACATAGCTTCTTTTTCAAGGTTTTTTTTTTTGTTTGATCTGCAGAGGAATTGAAAAAGATTTTTTGGCTTTAATTTTGTTCTTCTCTGTTGTTCTATCTCGTCATCTATTACCCTTGTATTTTTTCTTTTCTTCTAATATTGTTATTCTTTCATAAAATAGAAAAAAAAAAAAAAAAAGGAATTTTGGAGCTGTATTCTCATTTCTATTGTTTGACTTTTCTTATCAACCTCTATACTTTGACTTTAAGTTGACAGGGGAGACTTATGGCTCGGGCAGGTGACTATGCTGCTGCTGCTGATATCTTTCACAAAATTTTGGAGTCATGGTATGCTCTGGATGCTTACTTTTAGTTAAGGCATAAAATTTTAACAGACAAACGATTAGATTGTTCATGAGTGGTAGAGGTTAATGGGTAAAAGTGGTCTAGGCTGTGTTGAGTATCTCACTAACATGACATCTGGAAATTATTTTCAAAATTAAAATTAAAAATTAAGCTTTTATGTTTTTAGCTAGTCTAGCTTCATTTTCCTTATTTGTGATGTGATTCTATTTCTATTCTTTTGTATAGGTTAATGTGCTATTCTATTGTCTTCATTGATCAGTCAGGTCTTTACTTGTAACTTTTGGGCTAGTAGGGGAATATAGGCAGGGTGGGACTGTTTAATGCCTATGGCACCTGGACTATTAAAGTCCCAAAACTTGACTGGTGGCCACAAGCTGACCTTTTATTGTGGTTTTGTCTGTGAAGCACGATGAATTTCTATATATTTTTTCTGTTCTCTGTGGTCTTATTTTTCCACTGTAGCACAAAAAAATGGACGCTGTGATGCACATGTATGTACTAACTGACCTTCTGGTCCTTGAATTTCCGTTGGCTTTTATTTATTTATTTGATTTCAGACTATCCTCTATTCTTGATTCTTGAATGTGATCTGTGCTTTTATTAAGGAATATATGTTATGCTGTTGTTCTCTATGATCTAGCTTATTACCTTGTAGTTTATAAATTAAGCTGTGCCTTCTCTATACATTTCCCAATGTAGTTATGAAGTGATTTTTAGATGTTTGTTTCCTGAATTAAACTCATTCACAGTTTTCTTTTTTTATCATCTTTTACTTTTGTTCCCCATATTTTTCTACCGTTGATGTTGTTTCATCATTTGACAGTCCAGACGACTGGGAGTGTTTCCTTCATTACCTTGGCTGTTTGCTTGAAGATGACAGTATTTGGTGTGATGAGACTGTTAATGATCCAGTTCATCCCCCAAAGTTTGTCAATTGCAAAGTCTCACACTTGACAGATGAACAGGTGAATGTTTAGTTCACAGGTGGTCTATATTTATGACTTTGACTTATGCATAGAAGGACTATTTTACTATTTGCATGGAACTTGATTCTCATATAATTGTAAACTACTATATGAGTGCAGTTTGACAGTCAAATATCAATTGCATCAGCTTTTATACAAAAGTTACAAGCAGATACTGTCAATAACTTGATAAGGTGTCCATATTTGGCAACTATAGAAATTGAAAGAAGAAAGCATTTGCGTAGGAAGGGGAATGATGACAGCTTAATGGATGGCATTGTGCAATACTTCTGCAGGTATCTTATGGCACAAGAGCTTATCATTCCTATACTCTCTTATTTTTCTTCTAAAATGTCATGCATGTAAAGAAGTCTATTTTAATTTTCACAGGTTTGGTCACTTGGCCTGTTTTACTTCTGATGTTGAGATGTTTACTGAAGTCTTCACTACTGATAAGAAGAAGGAACTCTTGGAGAAGTTAATAAAAGTCAGGAACGGTTTATCAGCTCCACCAACCAAGACACTTGGGCTATCTATAAGCTTTTTCAAAATCAAACAATTATTGCTGGGGGACATGTTGAAATCATCCCAAAGTGGTGGGTCTCATACTGTTGCATTTGAATATGCATTAATTTATCAAATGTTATCCTTAATATCCCAATGTATTGCCCTGTTAGAGATATAACCCATGTCTGGGCCCTCACCTTATGAATTATGCTTTTAGGAGAGTTTGTCTTTAACATCGTTAGATTCTGTATATTGAAATGTTAGCAGTTCAATCCTCTTTGCCACCATCCTTTAATTAAATTTTAAGAATAGTGTCACTGGCAATTCCAGCACAAGGCTGATAGGGTGTGTGCTTGATCCACAGGGCTAAATGATATATTTTCTTTAATGAACACTTGTAGGAGAAACTATTGTTTGACACCTGATGTTCAGTCTCCACAGATCTAATGCATTTTTCAGTACAAAGAGATAGATATGAATAATTATATTAGTGTAATTCACCTCAAAGCATGTTTATATTTTTGAATTAAATCATAATATTTCATAGAAATTGGTCTCCATTTTGATGGTTGTTACAATATTTTTTTTTGGTCACCACCATGAATATGCTCACAGTCCATATTGGGTGTAATGTAATTAATACAAGTTCATCTAAACTTGTCCCAGATCTTGAGGTTTCTTGTGTTCAAATGTTTGAAATGTATTGCAAAAACCTTGTACTTTCAAAAGATTTGGATCCACAGGAGAGCATGCATGGTGAGGAGCTGCTTTCAATGACGTGTAATATTTTGGTCCAGGTATGTCTAATATTTTTGTATCACATCTAGGTAAAGAAATTGAAGACATTCTACTGTTATGGTTTAAATTTTTTTGTTTTCTGTTGATATATGAATCTATAAGTTGATAGAGATTACTGATTTACTGTTATGCTGGAGTTCCTGCATATCTTTTGGTTTTTTGGGGGTGGGGGTTGGGAGTGGGAGGATACACAGGGATACAGCAGTTACTTTATAAGGTTTCAAATGGACAACATGCAGAGTTTGACAAGCTTTTGCTTATTTGGTTTGGTGTTCCAAATTCTTGACATAAAGTTGATGTGTGAATTTTGACTACAGTTTGTGTTTTTTTAAAATTGATATCTTATCCTCTGCTCTTGTACTTAACTATTTTTCTTTGTTGGTGTTTCTTCTATTTTAAACACAGTTATGGCTTTAATAGGAAGCAATCCTGGCTTATGCTCAATTTAAACAATGAACTTGGTTTTGGCTTTTAAGAGTTAACCATAGTGTATTGTTTCTATTGATGTTATTTCCCAGAAAATGTAGCAATTGAATGCTTTTTGTTTTGGAAGTATGATTATTTGAATAAAAAAATGAGTCTATTATTTTCCCTTATAGATTGTTTTTCTCCAAAAGAAATTAATGTAATTAAGTGGTTAGAGGATTCAAAACACTGAATTTGTTAGTTTCTCTATTTTATTGCCAAGCAATAATTCTTACTTTAAAATTTAAATTCATTTTACTTTGGAATTGTGTAGGATCTCCTGTGCTACATAACATTGCTAATCATTGTCATGTTTTAGAAATGTGTTACTGTTAGTTTTCCACATTTCAAATATTTATACAATGCTATGACCACTGATAACCTCTTGTGATATTATTTGTGTAGTTATTCTGGCGTACCAAGAATGTTGGCTATTTGGTAGAGGCAATTACGGTTTTGGAGTTTGGCTTGGCAATACGAAGGTCAGGGTTATTTGTTTTGCATCATATCCTGGAATATCACATGAAAAATGCATAAAGTTCATATATATGTGTGTGTGTATAGAGAAAGACACACATACACAAAGATATATACAATACTGTACTGTAATAATATTATATGTCAGCGAGAATAGCAACTTTATCATATTATAATGTGGAAAAATCTTGTAAAGGGCTCTGCTTTAAAATTTACAATTTAATATGACATTTGTAGGATTTGTCTCAAATTAATATTAGTGTTACTGTTTGGAGGCATTTTATACATATATATAATTAGAAGATTTTTTTTTTCTACAAATCAGGACTGTCCCAATTATATTATTTCTTGATTGAGTTTATCACTACAGTGGTTAGCAATAGGTATATGCCAGCTTTTGACTTGTGAACTCACGGATGTTGCCATTTCCAATCAATCAATTGTTGACTTTCTCACTTTCTTGGTCAGTTGACCTTATATGTGTAACTAAGGATGAACAACGGCAATGCAAAGATTTTGTATTTCATATATTATTACACCATATCTTTCATTTTCATGTTGTACTTAATGCTACCAACTAAAGTATACACGGAACCATTAAAACTGATTTTTTTGTCTTCCTACTATCAACTAAAGTATATGAACTAAAAATATATTTCATTAATCTTAAATGGATTTTAAAATTTAGTCATTTTGTTGAGACAATGTACTGAAGGGTATATTCTTGAATGGGTGTGTTCTTGTTTTGATTACTTTTGATGTGGAGCATTTATTCTACTGGCTTTGAAGCATTAAATGGTTTGCTTCAATCCAGCTGATCTCAAGCTAAATAATGGTTATGTTACTTTTGTGACAGGAGATTTTTCTTCTTTAAAATAACATGCATCCTTCTTGTCTATGAGCAGGCATGTGTCACAATACAAGATCTTGCTGTTGCATCTGTATAGCTACTGTGGTGCTCTTTCAGTGGCACATGAATGGTAAGGTAGTTTGATTCTTTAATCTTATGGAGTTTCATAAAAAGTCACCATAATTCTTGTCACATGCTGATTATTGGATTATGTGTTTCAGCTCCTTAGATTATTTGTTACCACTATTCTATTTATAGCATTCGTGTCTTTTCTTCAGGTACAAATCACTGGATATCAAGAATATCTTGATGGAAAGTATTTTGCACCATATTTTTCCCCAGATGTTGGTATCTCCACTTTGGACTGAGTTAAATAATTTGCTAAAGGATTACCTGAAGTTTATGGATGATCACTTCAGAGAATCTGCAGATTTAACATTTCTTGCATATCGCCATAGAAATTACTCAAAAGTATGTATACTGGAGTTTTTATTGTTTCTGGAGATTTTCCTTTTGAATTTAAATACTTGAAGTATATGGATACATAAATTTTGATTAGGTTATAAAGTCTTTTGCATAAATGATGGAGGAAATAAGTTTTAGTTAGAATTCTATTTTACTTTTGTAAAAAATGTTAAAAGTTACTTTTTGATACTGATCTCTGTTCATCCTTGTTAGAAATGAAGTCAAGATATGACCATGTTTTGTTGTATTCTTAGTCTAGTGCCATACATAGTCAAAACATAAATAGTGCATCTGTCCTTGTGCATAGCTTGATTTAGATGGTTCTGCTCATGTAACATAAATATATACACAATTCATTATAATCTTTAACTCATGTCAATTCAAATGTTGAAAGCACCATGTCTTGTTTGAGTTGATTGAATCGAAGCAATGTTATATTCCAGGTAATTGAATTTGTTCAGTTCAAAGATAGATTGCAACACTCTAGTCAGTATTTAGTGGCACGATTTGAAACACCAATTTTACAGCTAAAGCAGAATGCAGATAACATTGAAGAAGAAGAGGTGAATCATATCTTGCAACTATAGTCTAGCTAATTACTCTTAATATTTGATGGTAGTTTTAACGAGTTCATACTTTCTTAGGGCATCCTTCAAGGCTTGAAATGCGGTATTCACTTTCTTGAGCTGTCTAATGAGATAGGGTCAAAGTCTCTGACCTTCAATGAAGACTTGCAGTCACGGCCCTGGTGGACACCAAATTCAGAGAAAAATTACCTTTTAGGTTATTTCTTCAACCATATTTCTATATTAGAAACAATATGTCTTCTATTCTTGCAACTATTTAGCATCATTATATTTAAAGAATACAAATCCTAAAAGTATGTCCCAAAGTTAAAGCAAATATTATTCTGAATCATTTAACATAATATCTTAAGCTGTTCCTTAACGTTGCTTCCTCAAGCAAAAATACTTTGGGCTTGAAGGGAGGTCAAAGCACAGGTTGACTGTTATTATGCATTGTAATTGATTCACATTATGAAATGGGGGTAATAATTATCAAATTTTAAACCACTTGAGCAGCAAAGTTATTGTACCTCTTGCTGCATCAAAAAAATACAGAGAGAGAGAGAGAAAGATTGCGTTTGTTGTTTACAATATTAAACCTATTGGATGGTTGACTTGTGTTTCAGGGCCATTTGAAGGGATTTCTTATTATCCTAGAGAAATATTGGTAGGTCGATTTTATCCTCGATGATTTGTGGCTTGTTTATACTGCTTGTTTCTGTAAGAACTAAATTATCTACTCTCCCCTCCCCCCCCCCCCCCTCTCTTTTTTTCTTTATTGCATGGTTTGTCAACGGATATAGACCAAAGAGAGGGAGGAAAGTTTAAAGAGAGTCATTGAGAAGAAATCCCTACTTCCACGGATGATCTATCTATCAATTCAAAGTGCTTCAGTATCAATCAAGGAGCATGTTGAGGTCAATGGTTCTGTTCTAACAGATATCGCTAAAGAGCTGAAAATATTGCTGGATCGCAATGCACAATTTTTGGGCTTTTCTCTTAGTGAAGCAATAGAAGTGGTCATGAGTTTCTCTGATAGTGAAAAATCTCCTGTGGTATGATTGCTTAAGTTTTATGCTACTGTTATTTTCTGGCAAATATGATGTAGGGTAGGATAGTTCATGACTGAAGTGAAATGAAATGCTTTAATTGACATACCTGCACACTGGATGTGGGGGTGTAGAAAACTGAGCTGTACTAGAATTGACTTTACAGTTTATGATAGGATTTGCAGTTTTAGGGCATTTTATTTTTTTCAAACACCTGATAACTGTTTCAGCAACTTTCATCACGTTCAAGCTACATGAAATTACCTTATTATATGTGGTTGCGACTTGGAATTTGATCCATATCGTCTTAAAAATGTTGCAGGTTTCTGACTCCAACTTGATAGACTGGTTGAGTTTCTCTGTATTTTTAAACGCATGGAGCTTGAGTTCCCATGAGTTTGTGCAACCAGATAGATATGGACATAGGCCTCGGATCTGGGGCATCTTGGATTCTCTGCTGGAGAAGTATATTTTAGAGAAGGTTAGGTCGACAGAGCCCTGGGATCAGTGTCGTTGGAGTGATGTTGAACTTCTGATGCAGTTAGTAATGGAACCTTTGGCGTGGCATGGACTTGTTATCCAGTCTTGCCTGAGATCCTGTCTTCCATCTAGTAAAAAGAAAAAGAAAAGTGGATCGGCTTATCAGTCTAGCTCAAATCTTGCTCATGCAATCACAGATTCTGTCCTGCATTTATCTCGTGTTTTAGAGCATGTTATGAAATGGATAAGTGAATGGAACAGAAGACCTGAAGATGAGAGTTCGGAGGACATTCTTTTTCTTGTTCGGAAAAATGGTCATAATGATGGACCGGGGACGGTTTTTGGCATGTTAGAAACGTTTATTTCCTCTGTGAATGATGCAGAACTTGGTGATCGTATCTCCCAATCACTCAAGACTTGGAGTCCAGCTGATGTTGCCCGGAAAATGACAACTGGGAAGGTTAAAGCACTGATGGAATTTTTTGCCATCTGCCAGTCAAAATTGAAGTTATTACAGTCTATGAAGCAGCAGATAGCTCAACTGTGAAAAAACGTCATTTACTGGTTTCCAAGTTTTTAATATCAGCTTGACAAACGGCTCTTCAATTTCACCAGACAAATATCTTCAATGTCAAGGGTTGAGAAAATGTGCTATAGTTCTGCTGTTATTTTCATTTTGCAGGATACCATGTCTGAAGCTTCTGTGGAACAGGCTTCATGTTTTGTTGCTATTTTAGTATTGGCTCTGGTTTTTGTTGGTCATTTTCCTGTAAAATTTTCTCAAAGAGTGGACATCAAACATTTTCCCCTCGTTTCGAGCTGTTGCCGGATCTTTTCAGAATTGTAGCTGTTTGTCTGAGCAAAAATTTTGGCAGTGTATCTACCATTGGTTTGATTGCTTTTTTAGTGAAAATATATTAGCTATATTCTGATCAGATCTTTACATCTTTCCAATTTAGCATCTCATAATGAAATTTATGTTTGTTTTTTTTTTTTTACGATTATATTTTAGTATTTCACATTTTCCTTGGCTAGTATTTTTTTCAAATACTCGTGCTTAAATTAGGCAGTATTTGGATTTTAACAATTATAAACTTTTTCAATTTCAAAATGTTCACTTTAATTTATTATTATCTAATAAAATAGAATTCACACTTGTTTAACCCGATTCAAGATTAGTAGAAAGTGGACTTCAAGTTTGAATAATTTATTTATCTAAAATAATTTAGACAATTTAAACTCAACTATCTTATTTATATATCTTCTAATTTGTTGTTGATTCATCAATGCAAGATTTATAATCTAAACGATAGACGCCATTGAACTACTAAAAAAAGGTTGCAATGAGACCAACGTCTGTCCAATGACTGGCATTGAGTTTGTAAGGAATTAGTTTATCCAATGCAAGTATCATTTTCTATCCGTATTTGTATTTAATTAATTGAGTTAATATAATAGTTTACTAATCGATGTGACGAAAGAGTGTTTGTGCTTTAGGAGCTATATGCCGGGGGCAATACACAGATTATGAAATTATGCATGAGTAATCATGCGTATTGAGATCTACGCTTCTTTCACGCACGAACGAAATAAATACTAGAAATCCCACCTCCATAGTTATAACCTCTATTTTGGTTATTTTAATTTCAAATGCTTAGAATAATAATGACAATGTTCTCACAATGGTTTTAGGAGACTTTCATAAGAGTTACGTTAATTATTCAAACTTAAATGAGAATCCATGCCTTCTATATTGCGAGTTTCAACTTGAAGCTGTTTAATTTCAAAGCTTTTATTGTTTTGTTCCTCTTTGAAGTGAAATCCATCTAGATGTCCAGCATAGAAATTTATGGTTGGTTATCTTGTGTTATTTTCAAGAGAGTGAATATAAATAGCCCAAGGGACTAGGTCGGCCAGAAGCCTTATCTTTGAAATTCAAACTGACAAAGCCACTCTTGTTTGACATAAGGTCCCTATGTGTATGAATATACCATGCATCCAACGAATCTAATTATGGTTAATTACTCTAAAGTCACTTGGGTGACTACCTAAAACATTAAAAATAATGTTACAAGTACCATCACATCCAAATATGGTGATTAAACCAATCAACCTGCGTCATATGAAATATTTTAGACACCTTATGTGAAATAGATGCTCATATCAAATCAATTAGTGCCTAGATTGATGATAAAACAAGAACTCCCTTTTATTTTGTGGTTGTTTTTGCATATCGGATGTATCCTTCAGTTTACAAAGTGAAGAGATTATTGAAGTGGATTTTTGTTTCTCTTAAATAGTTTTTATTTCATATATACGACTAAGAATTGAAGTCTTGTTAAGGGGCAAACAAAAACTCTTTTGTTGGAGAAAAAGGGTGAAAGTGCATATTTACTAGTTTACTAATTAGAAGTAATTAAATATCTCATTCATTGTGCCAGATTGCATCTTTATTGGCTGCATTATTTACTTTTTCCTTCTGGCCGTTTTATCTTTCGTCTTCTATTAAGCTGAATTATAAATTTATAATTTGAAGGAGTGAAGGTCTTAAAGCCACATCTAAATAACGCAAAAACTGGCTTGAATTCTTTGAATTATGGCACACTATGTTGGACTAACCAACGTAAAATATGATGGCATGTTCAGACCACTATTAGTTTTTATGAGTTGTCTTTGCGTTATTTTTTCGCACAAATTTTGTATAGCAAAAAGAGAATTTGAAAAGGAAGAGATAAAAATGTGAGACGAAATGATGAGTGTGTGGTATGTTTGGATATGCATCCAAATTGGGAAAAGCAGGTCTAATTTTTTAAATGCTACTCTATGTAGCGTTAAATTGAACGCAGATCCAAAATAATATAGCATAAAACCAAACATGCATGCATGAGATAGAAAGAAAATAAAAGGAGAAAAAATAAGTTGTAAAATGAATCATATGAATAATATTTACCTCTACTTTTGCTTGTGTTATAATGTTAAATGTTGTCCTTCATTCATTACCACCGAACCAGAACAAAATTCAACTTGATCTTAACTGCCCTATTATCTTCTTTCTTATTAGTTTTCGCTTTTCCATAGCTTGAGTTATTGCCATATACGTCAGTGCCAGAATTCAAGCAAAGAAAATGGAGATTGTCAGATTGCCATGTCAAGAAAAAATGGATGGTTCACACGATGATACTGACGTTTGGAATCACAACTAATATTACTAACTCTTTCACTGTGCATGATGAAGACCCGTTCATGAAGTTGAAAATTCGCAACTTAGGAATACACTCTCTTGACGAGCGAAAAAGTGAGATCAATATAATTTTTATAGTTTTAAATAAATTATAACAAATAACTAAAAATGTGTTAGAAAGATTGTGTGAGAGTGTGTATTGTTAGTGTTTCTCTTTGCAAATTTTGCTTATATGAAATTAGTGTCATTTTCTTTGAAAGTTACCATGCTAGAAAGTACAAACTAAACTTCTGTTTTGATGGAGGTGAACATTCAAGTGGGATCATCCTCCCCCTCCCCGCAGAAAAGGGTAAATAACCGTGAATATAGGTTGTCTGGTTTAACAAACACCATATGTTACAAAAACAGCACCAAGCCTTAAATTAAAGTGGTATGTAAAAAAACTATGAGATTCCAGCCCCATGAATTTGACTTTGAATAATGCTTTGCTCGGAGATGAAGTTATTAGGAAATGGAAGTAGGAGGGATGAAAATGTTAAATTATATTAACTCGCTCTAGTTTAAAAGTAATTTGAAAAAAGGCAGATAAAATGTAATTGTTGTCTTATATATGTCCTCTATAAAACTTTTGCCTGTTGAGATGATATTTAAAATAATTTTTTTAATGTGTTCAAAGACACACAATAAGAAATCAATAAATAAATTTTCGTTAAAATTTGTAGTATTTTTTGTTATTAATGCATTAGATTTTGTGATATATAAAAACTTACTGTACATTTATTTCTATTGTATGTCCAAGGCTATATGTCAAAAAAATCATATTTAAAAAAATATATATCTTTAGTATAAAAAGCACATACAATAATTTTCCATTCTCTCTCCTTAATTATATAGGGAAAGATGGGATTTGATGGGTCTAATTATTGTCATTTTATTAATATCATATTCCTGAACTTTCAAGACATGGCAGTATTTCACCCTTAAGGCTTTCGAGTTTTACTTCACAGAGTTGTACATTACCAGAGTAGTTTTTATTCCTTCTTTCATTCTCGAACAAGTTTGGTCGTCAGTGTAAGAGCTAAATGATTAGTATCTTAACAAGCACTTTCTAAAGAAATTTGTTAATTCAGATGTATTTCTACTTTAGTGCATCTCTTTACATCACACAATCTAGCATTTATTCTACAGTTGATTATGCTATGCACCAAGCCTTTTACTTTGTTAGACTAATTATTCAATATTAAGCACCTTGTTGACTAAAAAATAATTGCCCGAACATTTCTCTTCCCAAGGTATTTCCCCACTGTATCACTCTTAAAATTGCTGCACTGCAGACCAAATACCGCATAACCCATGAAACTCCATTAAACAAAGTCAAACCACAATGAAGACTTTCCTCCTCCCTGGCAAGTTATGTTGCTCTTGGTTCTTACTTGGCCAGCTTGCTCTTATTGCTTCCCTAGCTTCAGTTGCAGAGGCTCATTACGATGAATTTACTGCAAGTGTTGGTTTAATGATCATAAACTATTCACTACAGGTTTGCAATATGGTTTGAAGCAGTTAGTTATTATCATTCCATCAATAATTTGATTGAAATAGATTCAAGCAACGCCAGTGAGGAGGCTGTGCAGAACCCAAAACATAATCACTGTCAATGGGCAGTTCCCAGGGCCAATTGTAGAAGCTAGAAACGGAGATATTCTTGTAATCAAAGTAGTAAATGCAGCACAGTACAACATCTCCATCCACTGGTAAACAGCATCATCATGCATTTTCACGTGAATTTCATGGTTAAATATATTCACTATGCTAATGATACATAATTGAAATGCATGTTCCTCACAAACCGATAATGTGTCGTGTGCATAAGGCATGGGTTAAGGATGCTACGAAATCCATGGGCAGATGGACCTAGTTATGTGACTCAGTGTCCCATTCAACCAGGGGGAAGTTACACATACCGACATAGAATCACAGACCAGGAAGGGACACTATGGTGGCATGCTCACACTGGCTTCCTAAGAGCAACTGTTTATGGGGCTTTCATCATCTATTCGAGATTGGGTTCTCCTTATCCCTTCTCTATGCCTAAGCAAGAATTTCCCATCCTTCTTGGTATATCTCTAAAAGTATCTCTTATTCTGCTCAACTCACATTTTATAATCTCCTTGCACTGTGATTAAACCTTTACTCAGTAGTGAGCACTTGAAAAAGCTAACGAGCTTTTCATTTTTAGTGTCATAACACATAACATTCTGATGATGGCGCAGGGCAATGGTTTGATACGGATCCCGTGCTTCTCCAAAGGCAGGCAGACTTTACAGGAGCACCTCCAAATACCTCTATTGCGTACACAATTAATGGCCAACCTAGTGATCTTTACAGATGCTCCAGCCAAGGTTTGAAATAGCTTGGGTCTGCATTCCCATATGATTTAAAAGGATATCAAGTGTCCATTTCTTTTAAAGTTTAGTAAAATTAATTCTGAACAGTTGAACATAATTAAGATATGTGCTTCAATTAACCTGAACCATAGATTTCATATACACGTATACTACAAAAGGAATTTATTTTAAAAGTAAAACAAACATGCCCTGAAATAAATGATAAGGGATCCGGATGGTCTGCAATGAATTTTAAATCACAAATCATCTCTTCATTTAAAAGTATTTTTCATTCTATTAAAATGAAAGATAGTTGAATTAGTGCCAACAATTAGATTGTTAACTACACCAAAAGTAGCTCTATTTTGAGTTCCAGATTCCTTGATATGACAAACATACAATGCAGAAACTGTACGTGTTCCAGTAGATGCTGGGGAAACAATTCTCTTGAGAATCATCAACAATGCACTCAATCAAGAACTCTTCTTCTCAATTGCCAACCACAGTATGACTGTTGTTGGTACGGATGCTGCATATACCAAGCCTTTCACAACTACAGTCCTCATGATAGGACCTGGTCAAACCATCAATGTCCTAGTCACTGCTAATCAACCCCCAGGCAATACTACATGGCAGCACGAGCCTATGAATCAGCCAGGAATGCTGCCTTTGATAATACCACCACCACTGCAATCCTTGAATACAAATCTACTAGAAGCAGTAACCAAAACAGACCAAGACCAATCTTGCCAGCTTTGCCAGCCTACAATGATACAGCCACTGCAACAGCATTCACTTCTGGGATCAGGGGTCTTTCCCGGGTTAAAGTCTTCAAAAAAATTGATGTGAATCTATATTCCACAGTGGGGTTGGGATTAATCAATTGCACAAATCCTAATAGCCCCAGGTGTCAAGGACCAAATGGAACCCGGTTCACAGCGAGCATGAACAATGTATCTTTTTTACTCCCACGCACCACCTCCTTGATGCAAGCCTACTATGAAGGAGTACCTGGTGTCTTCACCACAGACTTTCCTCCCACTCCGCCTTTACAATTTAATTATACCGGCAATGTGCCAAGGGGGAGGTGGACGCCTTCTCGGGGAACCAGGCTCTTCAAGTTGAAGTATGGCTCCAGGGTGCAAATTGTTCTGCAGGACACAAGCATAGTAACCACAGAGGAACACCCTATGCATGTTCATGGATTCCACTTCTTTGTAGTTGGTTCAGGTTTAGGCAACTTCAACCCAGAAACGGATCCCCACAATTTCAACCTTGTTGACCCACCTGTGAGAAACACCATTGGAACCCCTCCTGGAGGATGGGTGGCCATTCGTTTTCTGGCTGACAATCCAGGTAACTTACTATACTACTGCAAAACTTTATCTTCTGAAGTTTGTATCAGGATCACATATTAACCTATTACATGATATTCTTTCACTGCTGCAAATCAGGAATTTGGTTCGTCCATTGTCACATAGACTCGCATCTGAACTGGGGTTTGGCAATGGCACTTTTGGTGGAGAACGGAGTTGGCCTTTCACAGTCAGTACTACCTCCACCCCTAGATCTACCCCCATGTTAAGATTAATTAAGTATCATTAGTTAATAAAGTTTATGTTCTGTTTTACAAGTTCTTGAAGGATTTGCCAAATAGACACTACATCTTGCTGCTGTTCCCAATACCAGACTTAGACAATGCTTGAATGAGCAGCATGTTAGCGATTAGTTGATTTGGTGGACTTTTAAACTTTATATGAGAAAAATAAAAGATAAATGATTTGTAATCATTATATTTATCAGTTTAATATTTTATAGTAAGAGAAACTGCTTCATTCTGTTAAGTTCATAGAAAAAATATTTCAAGACCGGACAGTGATTTGCATCTTTTACTTCAGTGGAAGAAACGCCAACATATTGCAAGTGTGTAGACGGATTATTTTGTACAAAGCACGCTAAACAACCTAAACACATTACATTTAGTTTTTAGCAGGCTACTATGAACAAGCATGTGAAGCAGCTGATCCTGGACATCTAACAAGCAAATACATCATCACAACTCCTTAACAGGATTGCCTATTAATCAGCAGCATGCACCAACTGTCATGCTACAAGGTTCTTATGTATATAATAATAGGAAGTAAGCTTCCTTGGAGCAATTTAATCGAAGGGATGCACTATAAGCAAATAAGAAAAAGAAAAATCTTTGTAGCAAAATAAAGATTAAGCACATCTTTAACAAGGTTACCTAGATCAACAGGATCCAATAGGTGTCAGACTATACATTTTTCAGCTATTACCTTATCACCAGATAAGTGAAACACTAGTCTCAAAAGGGAAACAAAAAAGGGAAAGTTGATATATGATAAACTTACAATAGCATGGATCCAATACTAGGCTCAAAATGTAACATGTATCAGGCTACAAATTTCAAGCAACGGGTATCATTGTGCACATTTTGACATCTATATGAACAAAAGCGCATACCACATCTCACACAAGTGTAATTGGCAGAAAAACCACAAACAGTGCAAAAGTGGCGGCGGGAAGTTGAGCTCGGAGGTCCAACTGCAGCTTTCCAATAGGAGGGAACATGTGGGGGCAATGATTCTAAATTTGCCTGCATTTGTAGGAGCTGGGTTAACACAAACAAAAGGCAATGCAAAAGTAAAATATGAGTGTTACTAATTTCTGTGCATGCTCTCTTGTGGATTCAATCACTGACCTCATGTAAGAGCTCAAGGAATGTTCTTGGGGCCTTCCTAGCTTCAAGTGCTTTTGCCTGCCTCGTCTTCCTCTTGGTGCCTTTAGATTGTTTTTTCTGTACATACACTGCAAAATAAGCAACTGAAGTGAATTTTTAATTTAAAAAATGTTTTACAAATATTTACAAAAAATAAGAAATATTACACTGACACTGAATTCCAATCAAATTACACTTGGTCGTTGATAACCCTCTTTATTTTTCGGTTTTGTTAAGTTCTAATATAGTATAAGTATTAAAAAAATAAAGAATTTATTACATTGGAAATATAAAACCGTTTTGTCAACCCTAACAGCAATTTTTTGTAACACAAAATAAAATCAACACTAGAAAAATAAAATAAAATTAGGAAATGAAAGGGGGAAAAAAGTAAACCCTAACGTTGATCTTCATCGTCTAAAGAAGCATCGTCGTCGTCATTATTAGCATCAGCGATTTCAAACCCGGCATTGTCATTCTCCAAGGCATCCAAACGGGCAAGTGCCGCCTAAATCGATTGAATTGCAACAAAATCACGCTTCTTAATTACACATTAATTGATTATTCAGAATTTTTAAAAAATGAGAAAACTGAGCGACGGAGAGAGGAAACCTGAGTGCGGTTGTCAGAGCTGGCAAGTGCGGCGGCCATTTTGGACGCAACCTTTCGGGTTCGGCTTGACATGCGGCGCACTGAGTTGGAAGCGTCATCCTCCATTTTTCTAATTCTATCCAAACACGGCCTTAATCTTCCACAGAGAGATTACTGATTCAAGAAACACTCAACTCAAACACGCTATAAGTCACTATTCACCAATCTACGATACACGATCCTGAAAATTGTATAGCCAAAACAACTGTATCTATATATATATATATAAGATTCGACATTAATTATTATTATTATTATTATTATTATTATTTATGTATACACGCTTTTTTGTTAAGGATCATGAGGAGCTTTCAAAAAATTTATGAAAAACTATCATAAGAAATTTAAATAGAAATAGCAGTGCTTGTACTTTGTCAAATTCTCTGTGTAAAATGTTGTAATTATATTTAATTACCTTTTAAAATTTTATTCATTTTCCTCTTTTCTTTTCTTTTTTACCGTTGCTAATTATTTATACTTTCCCTTATATTTAACTCCCTCAAAAAAATCAACGTTCTACTTGCTCTCACTTCTCTCCCTCACTTGTTTGATTTCAATGATGTTAAAAGTTTAATAGAAAAATAAAGAGGAAGACAATGCTTACTCATTTTATATATTTTTTTTTTATTCTTAATCGTCTTAAATTAAAAATATTATAATATATGTTTTATATAAAGGCATTAAACAACGGTTAATCTTGTTTAATCGTCTCTCGAATTTTGATTCTGTAATAAGAGAGAGAATATTTACTCGTAACCAGATAAAAAAGAAACATTTATCTCCTAACCTATGATTATGAAGTAAGAGAGATACATAACTCAGCTTTACAGGGTCACAACTACATTATCTACTCTTTTCTAAAGAACACTAATTAAACTTGTCTCCATCTAAATACTAGTTCTTAAATATTCACACGTAATCAAGTTAATTTGGCTATCTATTGGGAAACTTAATATCTCAACTCTTAATGCTAAGTTAACAACTTTCTACTGGGAAAATTAGGCTTTGAGATCATCATGCATGCAATGGTAGAGGCCAATTTTAGCCTCTTAAAATTTGTTGTTGCACCACTAAAACTGAAGCTGTGCCAGGAAAATCTTCAGAGGAAACATACTCTCCTATGACTCCCAAATCTTCACTTTCAACATTCCATTCTGACAACCCAGTAAGAAGAACAGCATTTATCCCTTGTTTCCTTCCAACTATCCAAAGATCATAAGCACCATCGTTCATAGATTGAATTGCACTAATTGTTTCTTCTCCATTTCTAACAACCACCTCTCTATAAGTCATTCTTTGATTGGCCTCATTCTTAACCCAAAACCATGTCACTATTCCATCATCAAGCTTCTTCTCCATTTCATTGTCCCCTATATAGTTGTGAGAGAGAAACCTTATAACTGTGAGGTTCACTTCTTGGTCAGTGTTAGCAAGCATCCTGTCAGCATAAACAAGAGCCTCTCTAGCATCTGCACCACCAAGAAACAACACAGCAAAACGGTTTCCAGCAGAATGGCGAAAGGAATTTCCCAAGGTGTTGATTTCAAGAAGACCCTTGTTAACAAGAATTGCAACTGAGCAAGGTGCATGATTCAAGATTTTTGAATTCACTGCTCTTACTCCGTGATTGTAAATAGCTCCCCTATTGAAAGGTAAGATAATTAAAGAAGCTTCTTGTTCAAGAGCAAGCTCACATGTGTCTTGGAACATTGTTTGCTTTGGAGCCACAGCTGTGAAAAAACGGAGCTTCACAAACACCCCTTTAAATTTTTTATAATGTTCAAGGGCGTTCATGGTGTGTGTCCAATGGTAAATGTGAGGTAGTTCTTGTTTTTCATGATCTATGAACAAAGGGCTAGCTCGACCTACAAGTTCTATTAGTCTAAGAGCAGAAACTGAGAGGGGGCTGTTTGAGGTTGGATTGGAGATATCAACTAGATGGATGAGACTATTTATGGTTTCAGTGTCTAGAATACATAGCACTATTCTAAGTTCTTGGGTTGGAGGGTTGTGTTGGATGTTTCTTCTTTGGTTCACCATGTATGGCCTTGTTGGATCATATAATGTGGAGATCAAAGGAGTGAAAGTTGCAGTCAATACTGTTGTCATAAGCAACAATAATGTGAAGCCTGGCACCTTTAAGACCTGTATATGCATCCTCGAAAACCATAATTGGATCAGTTCTTTGAAACCTATGGTTTTCATGTCCATATATAAATGATTATCGATCCTTCATATAGAAATTCATAGTTTGTAATGCAATTTTAAAGTTTCTAATAAATAACCACATTGTAAATTATTATATTAAATTTTCATTTTTTTTAATATAATATATGGTATAGTCAATAGAGTAAACATGAAAAGTAGACATAATTAAATCTGAAATTTATCAGCACATTCTTTCTAATTTATAGAATGGTTAGTTTGTTCCTGTAATAGATGTATGTAATTATATGTTTTTTGAATGATTGAACCAAAATCTCAATAAGGTGGACCTTACCCTTTTGTCTATCAAATGCACAAACAACATAAGTTCAAGTTGGCCTCTCAAACTCATAATGAGGCTAAGGGTTAGTCCATCTCTGAGTGGCATTCGCCAATAAAATAGAGCAATCCAAGTAGCAAAGAATTTGATCAAGTAGCCAAGTAAAACCATGACAAACAATGGTGCCAAACTGGACCAAGAAGAAGCACTCATGGCATAAAAATCAGTATATGATCCCACCAAAAAGAATGAGAATGGCAGAAGGAAATCTGTCATAATTGTGTTGCTCCTTTCTATTAGTGTTGCTCCTAAACGAGGCCCATCTGGAACAGCTAGGCCCAACCACAACGGCCCATTAGCAATTGCCATACCAAACATGTCAGTTATGAAGCCCATCACAAAAACCCCAAGGAAAATTGCAACCACAAAAGTTTGATTCACTGGGTGCCCCTCTGGGGTTTTGTTATTAATCCACATCATTGCAGGCCTAACACAAAACAAAATGAACAATGCCAAGGCCACAAGAGTAACCATATACCACAAAGCATTCTGTGTTTTTGATTCTCCTTGGCTTCCAGCCTCAAATGCTACAACCAAACCCACACCAAATGCATCACCAATCAATGCCACGGACAATGCCATTCGACCCATTTCCGAGTTTAGAAGGTTAAGCTCTTGAAGTATATGGTAGAGAACAGGGAATGCTGTGATTCCCAAGTACCCTGAAAGCACTCCTATTGAAGAAATCTTTGATAATTCGTTGTCCATGTTCTTTCTCATGTATAGTGCCACAATAAACACTACAAATGAGGGAATGGTTATACCAAACAATGCCGTAGACACATGAAATCTACCTGATTTTTTCAAAAGGCTCGGATCCATCTTCACTCCATAAATGAAAAGAAAGAACATGAATCCCATTACTCCAAGATTGTTCATCAAGAATTTGGTTGAGTCCGTTATCATGTGACGCTGGTACCATCTATTGCGTCCCAAAAAGGAAGGTCCAACAATGACTCCACCCTTTGAAAACACATTAACATTTTAGTATATAATATTCAATTCGAAAAGAAATCACAATGCCATGCATGGTGTTACGTACAATAATATCATGTCAATAAGAAAGTTTAATTTTAACGTGTTGTGTTTACATTATCAACGAATTCAAAGTCATTTTGCATGTGACTTTTAAAGTGTGTTTAAAAATATAATTTAAATGTTTATTTAACAAATTTTTATTAAATGTGGACTTATGCTGTCTATTTGACCATAATTTTTTAAAATAAACTGAAAAGAGACTTATTAGAGTCATCGTCCATTTACATAAACTCTTTTAAATGCGACCTAAAGTAATTATTATAAAAAAATATTTTTTAATTGCATAACAATTTATAATTGTATAACAGTATAATTCTTTTTTTTACAGTATTAATATATTTTAATTGAATTCATAAAAGAAATAATAGAAATAAGATAATAAGAAGCTTACTATTATTTGAGAGATAATTAGAGGTTGTTTGAGAGGCTTAAGAAGAAAACGAACAATGCGAGTGATGGTGGTGATGAGAACGAGATTGAACATTAATCCTGAGAAGGAGTGAAGCAGAGGATTTTCACCATAAAAGATGCCAGGGTGATAATCTTGTGATGGCTGACACACAATATTGGGATAGGAAATTGCAGAGTCATTAATACTAACAACGTTAGCCATGGTTTCTTCAAGGACACGAGAAACATTGAAGTTCTGCTTCCACCCGTTGGATGTTTGTTGCAAACGGTGTGGTGGGTATGCCCTAGCCATGCATCAAGTTTTTCTGAAAAACCGTACACATCAAAATAACATAGCAAGTGTTGAGAGAGAAAGAGGTCCTACAAAGGATTGTGGATACACGTTAAAGGGGGAGAACTAGCGTTATCCTTTCATTCTAATGGTTAACCAGCTTTTCTTCATTTTGTGAGGTAAACATTTTCTATTTTATATATATATATATTAATTTCAGACACAATTTCCATTCAGTCTTGGCTTTTCTTTTCTTTTCATCTTTTTATTTTTTTTGCATGGATTGTCTGGCTAATCATATATAAACTCGTTTCATCAAAATAAAAAAATAAATATTAACATTTTTTATATATATCTTCAATTGTTAATTTAAAAAAAAATAACAAAAACACCTAAATCTCACTCTTTCTCGTTCATAATTTCATGATTTTCTCTTATATTACTATCATTTTAATAATTTTCTAAAAAATTGTGTTAAAATAATTGTATTAGCTGCTATCCTCAGTTAAAAGTCATGTGGACATTCTTGCTGTCATATAGCAATTTTAATATTGAATTTTGTTGAATGTGGTTATATCTTTTGTCCTTATATTCTTTAAAGCATACAAGTGTCATTTTGTAACTTTTATTACGCATTTCTATTTTATAATTTTGAAATATTTTCTATTAAATATTTTATTCTCTCTGAATTTTTTTTCAAGTCTTTGATGAGAGATATTTCTGTAGGTATAATCATGAGACTAACTTCCGAATCAAAGGCAATGGTTAAGCAAAGTTCTTTTTATATATTATCTAAATTCAAAAGCAATAATTCATTGATGGGTATTTTACTAGTTATTTATATACTTCATACATCATAAAAGCAACCTAATTTCTTTAAACTATTTCAATTGGAGCTACCCAGTGTATATTTTCCTCCTTTCTTTCCTTAAACTTTAAGATTCTCAAACTTTTTTTCCAAATTTTGATTATGGTCTTGAGAATCCCAATAATTTTATTTTATTTTATTGTCAATAGTCCCAGTAATTTATGAACAGAAAATTGTGAAAAGGGGCGACAAGAGGCTACAAACACAAGGGCCCATCATATAAATAGTGTGACAGTAGTGGGCCCATTGATCACAATAAACAGTAGGCCCATGAAGAATGAATTTTCAGCAAACCATCAGAGGTTCAGAGGAATTCAATACGGTGCAGCTCAACTTTAGCCGCCAAGTGTCAGAGTACAGAATTAAAAGCTTTGGTGGAACCCATTTTTTGTAATGATGATGATAACACGGATACGGAAAATGTTACCCCTATATCAAATTTCCATACATAATATTCATTTGTAATGATAAATCTATGGAAAAATTATATTGATTATTGACACAGACAATGTGAGTTATTGATTTTGATAGAGAAAAAAGATAGAAAATTATTGGTATTGTAGTTTAATTCATCTATGTATCTGTGATAAGATGTTTTGTTTTTGGCTGTGTATAAACCCACACAAACACTAATAATCAATTATTTGGTTAATTTTTTGTAGTATACGGTTTTTTCAGTAAATCTTAAACTGTCAATATAAATAATATAGATTTTATTAATCATAAAATGCATTGTATTAATAATTGATATAATCGTATATATTAATTTTCTGTAATGATAAATTATTTGTTAGTAAATTGAAATATATTATTAATATAGCTCGTAATTTTTGTGAATAATAATTTAATCTTTAAATTTAGTAGAAATTACTAAAAAGTATATTTTTTTTATTGTGCATTAAAATAATATTTTTATACAGTCTTCTGCGGAACCCTGTAATGATAATAAGACACATGGAAAGTTTAATGGAATATAACATTTGCATACGTAATATTGATTGTGTAATGATAAAGATATGGAAAATAGATATTAACATGGATGAGTCTAAAGAAGGAAAAGATTGGTGAAGGTGTGTGAATTGAGAGAAAAGATTGTTTCTATGGTATAGTTTTTATCTAAAAGGAAATAATCTATATACAATATAAATTTATACAGGTTATATGATTAATTATAATATTAGAATTACATTTAAAATTTAAATTAAGCAGATACTAAGTATATAGTAAATTCATATGTAGGTGAATTATTCATATTCCCATTTTCTAATTGTTTTAAGAGGACAAGTATGCTTTTATTAATTTCTTTGTTGATTGGGAAAGTAAGAGGTTTTAAGTTATTTATTGAAAAGTAGAAAATGAAAGAGATATATGCAAAGGGTTACCAAAAAGGCATGAATAGGGTAGAAATGATTCCTTTGACAAGCATAATCATTTTGGTCTGCCATTGTCCATTGTGCATATTAATTTGCTTAGGTCGTCACCAACATCATCCAATCACTGCTATGCTCCATTTTCCAAAACAATTAATAGCCAAAACCCATGTAAATTTTTATATTATTGTATAAATTATATATATATATATATATATATATATATATATAAAAGATTCTTTTATATTAGTGTAAATTATATATAATTTTAAATTTTAATTTAATTTTAAAAATATTTAAATAGTATATATTAAGTTATTAATAAAAAAATTTATTTTTATTATAAGTAATGTTAAAATGTATTAAAAATGTGTAATTTTTTTGTATTAAAAATGTGTAATTTTTTTAATTTTAACCATTTAATGATATTGATTATATTTTTTTTAATTTTTATTTTTATTTAACATAATAAATATTTACCATTTTTTTATTTATATCTACATTTGTAATTTTGAATATAAAATTATTTATTTTGATGGATGGCTTTCAATATTAATATTAAATTGATGACATTGTTTGTTTCTCTTGTTGTATTTATTTAAAGTATTAATTTGGTCTTTTATTATCTTTTGATTAAAATGTTGATTTTATTGGTAGTCAAAACAATAGTTTTTAATAATTAAAAAACTATCAAAGTTCACAAAAATGATTAAAATAAAAACAGAAATGGATTAAATCTTTCATAGACATAATTTACAGAGAACTAAATTGAACTTGATAATTTGACTTTCTTAAGAATATATATTTTAATAAATTCAAATTATAAGGCTAAGTTTTCATGGAAATTAAATATTAACTATCATTAAGATATTTCTTAATAATAGACATCGTAACTTAAATACACAAAAAAGTAAAAATCTGATAAGAAAACTACTAAAAGGAAAACTAAATTAATAAAAATAATTTATTATATTTTTATTATTTAATATAAGAAAAATGTTTTTTAAGTTTTGAAATTGAACCCATGAAAAATTACTGAAAGCTATGCAGTAATGACAGAAGAAGCTTGGAAATCTATTATATGAAAGTTGGTTGTTTTGTCCCCATAATACAAGACACCTCATGTATCCTAAAGTTGAATCAAAGTTGTAAAGTTTGAAACAATGTCCTAATATTATATTTGGTCCAATGGCACATAATGGCCTACCAGATGATTCACATTGCATGCATTAACAGAAACTAGATTATTGACACTGGAAAAGATATACATGGTTAAATTTGGAAATGTTATTCTTTGTTAGATTGCCTAATTTTGGAGGTCAAACTTAGCATCATCATAAATGCCAACTCAATTTAATTAATTTGCATGAACTGAACGATTGAGAGTAACAAGAACATTAGAAAAGTTTTACAATGACTGGCAAAGAATGAATTGAAAGGTAACTTTTTGGCCTTTTCTACCACTTAACTGTCTTAAGGTTATAACTACAACATTTTTTTTTTGTTAAGTAAAACTTTGTACGTGGACTGCATAGTATTATTCAATTCAGTTAAAAATTAAATTTTTAAAAATATTATTTATTGTTAATTTTATAATTTTTTAATATTTATTTTTTTTAATTAATTTAATGTCATACAATACTTCCAGTGACAATATTTTTTTTTAATAATAGGTGCTATAGTTTAACTCTATCTATAGTTAATAAAAAAAAAGAGTTTGATCTTTGGGCAAGGTCATGAAAGGAAATTTCCTTTTATTGACAAAGATATATAACAAACTATAATAAAGTTAATCAATTTTAATATTAGGTTTTGTAATTTTTCTAAGTTTTTATAATAGTTTATGATAGTAATACATAATAACATTAATCGTGTATTATTTTCAAAACAAACAAATCGTGGGCGAAATTTTTTAAATTTTTACTTTAAAATAATTTTGTAAATAAAAATTATTCTACTTAACAGTTTTTTTTAAAAACATTAAAATTTTACTAATCAAACTGTTAAATTAAAAGTTTTTTCAATAGAATAGTATAAAAAATATACATATAAAAAATATTAAAAATTTTATTTTGAAGTTTATTAAAAATTGTTAAATAAAAATTGATTTTAAATTTTTATTTATGAACATTTAATTCATTTAAAAACTTGTTATATGAAATTAACATATTAATATTTTATTATTTAAAAATTAAATTAATGAATTTAATTTTATAAAAACTATTAAATAAAGTTTCTTAATTTCGCTTATATATGTACCCACATTATTTTCTAATTCAGAACAAAATTTTATTTTAATAATATATATTAACTTTTAATATTAATTTATTATATAAATTATTAAGATAATAACAGTTCAATCTTTATTAAAAAATAATACTAAAAAATATTCATGATTATACACCTAAATTTTGTCTTGGAGGGGTAACTGCGTGTTCTTTTAACTTTCCTTTTAATGGAAATTTAATGATGGAGATTATGAAAATGTTAATTATGGAGATTATGAAAATGGTAATGATGAGACGGTGGACCTGAACCAAGTTGGAAACAAGTCAACATCCACAGTAACTAACCCATTATTTATAATTCATGGAAAAGTTTCTGCACAAGTTGCAGTCAAATATCATGGAAACCCTAGATAGCTTTCTAGTTCCAAGGTAAAACTTTAATAATAAAAAATGGAACTAGGGTTTCACTTTTGGCCAGAAAGAGAAAGACTGCTACCCTCAGAACTCGCCATTAAAAATCGAACTAACTCATTACTCTTCAATACATCTTTTCAGAAAAATAAATATAAAAAATAACCCAAAAGCAATAGATCAGACCTCTCCTCTGTCATGCTCAGTTACTCAGGGAAAAAAAAACTCGTATCTTTTTGTGTATAATATATATATCA